GTTGGTGACAATCCTCTCCAGGATCTCGCTAACACCAACTTTCTGTCCGAGATCGCAGGTGGTCTCAACAACCGAGCGGTAGTTTCGCTTGTCTAGTGCCACTCTGCGGACCCAGAAGTTGGAAAAGAAGTCGTCCAGCACGTGAGACTTCAGATAGCCTGCCGTGACACCCTCAGTCTGAGACATCTTGGAAAGCACTGTCAAGACCACGCGCCTCATTTCGTCGTCGGGGCTTTGAAACTCTCGAAGTACGACATCCATAATCTGCGAGGTGTAGTAATTGGCGTACTCCTCGTCCATCAATGGGATGATAAACCCAACAGCCTTGAGGAAGGCAGCAAGGTTCTTTCCTCGTTGCCGCTTCGTGCCGGTCCAGAGCGGGTTGAGGATACTGTCGAAACTCTCGATACCATATGGATTGGCTGCCTCAGCCAGCGCCGCCGTCGCGAGAGCCGTGACGGTGCGCACTTTGGTCTGCTCGTCGTTGAGGTTGGGCCTGATGCACTCAACCAGGTCTGTGAGGTGAGGGAGAACGGAGCAGCCCATCAGGATGGCAATCTGCTGCACGATCTTGACACCAGTATGCCGTGCCTGCCAGCTCTTCTTGGTTCGCGTCACGGCTCGGAGAAACGGGATGAGAGCTGGTATCCCGAGGGCTGAGGCGACAACGGCGAAGGCACGGGCCGTTGTGTTCCGGACATACTCGTCGACGTGGTCTATATCGGGTCGCATGGTACTGATCATGGTTGACAAACCGGCAGCCTTGGCCAGGTTGGAGATGATCTCACGACCCTCGACTCGAGCATAGTAGTCTTGGTCGATCAGGAGGGGCTCGATGACAACGAGGATCTTGTGCGTATATGGCCTTACCAGCTCGTCCAGCTTGTACAGTACTCGATCAATGACCTTGACCAGCAGGTGGCGCTCCTGGTCCTCCAGTGTCCTCTCCATGAGAAGTGGCAGAATCTGGTTGAACAGTGGGCCGGCGCCGAAGCTTCGAGCATTGTCGGTCAGCTGACGCAGTGCAGTCTTTCGCATGGGCGGTGTACCGTTCTTGATCTTGAGGAGCAGCCGCATGATCTTCCTCTCCTTCAGCTCATCCACGCTCAAGTGTTCCTCATCAACAGCCTCGGTTAGTTTAGAGAAATACTGCATGTCCTCCGGCTTGAAGAACTGTAGATCGCCGACGCCGGGGATTTCCTTTGGCAACTGGTTCCCGCCCAACCGCACGGAGTTGGGATCCTGCATCATGAACCCGGTCGTCTGGACCGGCGTCTGCATGAGCTTGTGTGCAGGGGCGCGCACCGGTGCGTACCCCGGCGGCGGCTCGAGGACCTTGTACCCTTCGGCCTCCCCAGGCAAGATGGCGTCGAGCTCCTCGTCGCTAATGGGCGCATTCCGCACTGACATGTCCATGCCGATGGGGGCTATCGGGAGCATCGAGCCTTGCGAGGGGTGCATGGGTGTAGCGAGGCCGGTGTTGCCAACGGGGGTAGCGGCCGGGGCCTGGTCCCAACGAGATCGCTTCTTGGGGGCTTCGGCGCCTGGGATCTGGATAGCAGGGGCTTCGTCCCACCTCGACCTCTTCTTCTTCTCGGGTTGCGGCGGCGGCGGCGCAGGTGCCGCGTCGTCGGTCGAGCTCACGTCCCACCTCTTCTTGCGCTTCCGACCGGCCGCAGCCTCAGTAGAGCCGGCTTCCTCGTTCTCTTTATCGCCGTTGGGCAGGGCCAGTGTAGGCTTGTGTTCCTCGGTCGCGCCGGCATCCCCGTTCTTCGCCTTGTCCTCGATGGCCCTCCTCACACGTTCTTCTTCCCGCTCCAGTTCTGCCTTTTCCATGACGCTCCTATAGGTCTCGCCATCCTCGCCCGCGGCACCCGCCTGCCTGTTGGCCGCGAAGGGGTCGGCGCGCGTGGGTGTCAGGACGCGGTTGAAGCGCCTCTTCTGATAGTCCGTCTCCCGGTCCGAGATGCGGTTGCTGCGCTCGCCCCGTCCCAGGAGCACATCCTCTTCTTCAACACCCTCGCCGCGTGCGAACTCGTCGATTTGCGATTGGGTGGCGGTGTACTGCCCGACCAGCCGGCGAGAGTTGTCAGGGCCGTCGACGTCCATGTCATCGCCGTTGTCGTCTCCGGCAGGCAGCGAGGTGTGATAGCCGGCGAACTTGTCGGGGCCATTGCGTTCGTACAGGTCGGTATCGTAGGCTTCAGTCAGGCTGGCCTTTGTGGACGACTCTCGTTGTGAGGAGGGGTCTCGCGAGGCACCTTTCCTGGCCGCTGCAGCGGCGTTGCGCTCGGCCTGCAGCTTCCGAATCTGGTCGAAGTCCGAGTCCGACATGGTTGCTAGGTTGGTCGACTACATGTATCGTGTCGTTTCGTGTCTGCAGAGCCGTGCCACGGGGTGAGAGCGGATTCGGACGTGCTGCTTGAAGGGCGTTGATGGTTTTGGACAGGAGACGACGTCGCGAAAATTGGCTTAGTTATGAAATGTTAGGTGCCTAGGTAGGTACCTACGTACCTAGGCAGACTACCTAGCCCGCCTTAGCGCGAGGCTGGGAGCCCGGGAGGGACTCTGGTGCCATTTTCAGCGGCCTATCACGCCCCCCCCCCCCCCTCCAACCTCTGGGGGCCGACTGTCTTTGGCCTCGTTGGCGAATCATGCACAGACTACTACATAGTAGACGCTGCCGGTGTCGTTTGTTGCAAGATCAGATTCTCATTCCGGCAAGTAAATGCAACTGGGTATCATTTGATCTCCTTGCCCCCGAACCACAACGCCATTTCGACGGCCCGGTGCCTGCCGATGCCGTGTCACAGCACGGTCCCGTCGTATGATTTGATACCATAGACCTTCCCAGATCCCGTCGCAGCCCAGCTTACAAGTGCCCGTTGTATCCCCCCCCCCCCCAAGAATTGCCTCCAAACACAGTGCCTGAAGCTTTTGCCCGTGCAGTTGTCGGTGAATCAACACGCTCCCGAAGATGCCAACACCTTCATCGCTCAAGAAGCGACACCGTCCACGAACCCTCGGTTGGGTCGAACTGCCGCTCTCTCTCGTCGAGGGGCAGGTATTTATTCCCCCGCTCCAGGATCGTCCTGACTTCTTGCACGACATGGTCCGGAAGTAGAATCTCCTCCTCGTCCATGAACCTGGGCTGGAACAGAACCTTCATGGCACACACGCCCTGCTTGGCGGAACAAGAGAATTTCACCTGGGAATTCAAGATCCAGACGGTGATAACCTCCTCTACACCCTGCAGGACGACCTTTGCACTGCCAGAGCGAGCCTGGATGTCGATGAGTGCAGCAGCAAGGCACTGAGACAGAGATGGTGGGGCCGATAAGGACGGGCTCTTTTCAACGCCAGCGTGCTCTCCGAGGTTGAGCTTCCACTTGAAAATCGACAGCCCGTTCTTGCGGCCGTCGAGACGACCGAGCTGGGTCTTGCACTTGTGGCAGTGTGCATCCAGAGCACGGGGGCCGCTGAAGTCCTTGGACACGATATTCTCATGCCCCCCATCGTAGCGACGGATCTGCATGGCGGCAAGTCAGCGAGAGGGCACTAGGAGGAGCTTGGAAAAATAACATGATGTGACTCTATCAAATCGCGACGGGCCCGAGAACTCGGGGCGCCATCAGTGAAAAGCAGAGTGATTGACCCCTGCCTAAAGACGCGCGAACCGCAACGTAGACCTGTGGGTTTGCTTGTTCTTTCGGCAGCTGGCTGAGTGCAACAAGGGCCAGTGGTTCGATCTCGGGCAAATGTATAGGTCGCCGCACCATCAAGGAGGCGGACGCCTTCTTTAATGCCCTTGTTTGGTAATGCAGGCACGTGGGAAGATGGGGCCGGTTGGCTGGCCCATGCCCCGGCAGGATTCAAACACTTACCAGAAGACAGCTGCAGTCGTTCTGAGAGAAGAGCACCGTCATGAGGTCAACGAATCCCACACCGTCCTGCGCAGAAATGGCAGAGTTCGCACCGTAACCACGAGTGGCCAGCTGGTCTTCAGAAGCTTTGCTCTGGGCACCAGCGCCAGCGGCAGAACCACCCACATGGGCATCCGCGGGCTTGTGGCAATGCCAGAACTCCATCATCTCGGCCCAATTCTCACTAGGCAAGTCCTTGAACGCCTCAATGGTATTCCGCAATATTATGGGCTCGTCACACTTTCGGCACGCAACACGTAGTCCTGGCTTCAAGTCGGCGGCAGACCAAGGCACCGCACCAGCCTCGATATCCATTGCAGCCTGGGCTTCCTCCGGGGTGGGTAACAAACGCCAACTCATCTTATCGAGGCCTGGCTTGATCTCCCCCGGGAGATGCTCGCCAGCGATGCGAGTTTTGGCGGGAAGCCGCAGCCTGGTGCTGGTGCCTTCATGGTCGACAATCAAATGCAACCCGTCCCTTGCGAGGAGAACCTCGGTCTTGTGAGTTGATGGGGTGGGGAGATGGATGGCCACAGAGATACGGCCAAGACGTGGTAGGAATTCGGCGTATATGTTGGGCTCCCGGGTCAGGGGGTTGCTTGTGGCAGACACAGGAGGCTGGGGGTTGGCGGCCATGTTGCAGAAGAAGCAGGACCAGCCGAGGCCTTGTAGCTAAGGCTTGTCATGGTCAGCGGCTGGACTATGTTTGTCCAGGCATACCCGTGCGAACATAGACGTACATGTTGCGGTGGCCAGGCACAAGCAGGACTTGCATAGACGCAGAGATACAGACAAGAGGAAACTTTATTATGGCCTTGGCAGGTTGTGCCGGTAGAGGTGGTGCAGCTAAGAAAGACGGGTCTCGACGGCATGAAGATGATTGGTCGCCTTGTAGTAGCGCTTAGTGGAATGGATAAGTTAGTATAATTATAAAACCTACCTCTTAAGTAATAATATTTTATAAATATAAAAGCTTATATATAATTATTTATAAATTATATAATTAATAATTAAAATATAATTTAATTTTAAATAATATTAAAAATTTATATATAATTTTTTAAAATATAAAATTAAAAAAGTTAATAATTATAAATTTAATTAATTTTAATTTAATTTATTTATTTTATTAAAATTCAATTAATTTTAATTTAATTTAAAGTTTTTAAAAAATTTAAAGTTTTTTTAATATTTTTTTAAAAGTTAAATTTAAAATAAAATATTTATAAATTTAAATTTATTATTTTTATAATAATAAAATTTTAAGTTTTATTTTAAATATATTTTTATATAATTATAAATTTAATTATTAATAATATTTTATTAATAAATTATTAAAATTATTAATTTAAATAATAAATTATAATTATTTTATTTAATTATATAAAAGTTTAATATTATAATAAATTAAATAATTATTTTTAAATATATTTAATAAATATTTATTTAAATTATATAATAAATATTATAATAAATTATTTATAATATATTAAAATTTTAATTTTAATATATTATTATAATAAATATTTTATAATAAATAATATTATAAATATAAATTATAAAATTATTATAAAATATATTATAAAATATATTTAATTAAATTAATTTTAAAAATATATTATATTATAATCTTTTAAATTTTTAATTATTTATTTTTAATTTAAAAGCTAATATTTACTCACTTAATAATTATATTTATTTATTTAGTTTTTTTAACTACTTACTTAATATAAAATTTATATATAAAGCTTATATAAAACTATATATTTAATTAAAATTCTTTAAATTTTTAATACTTTTAATATAAACTCCTTTTAATACCCCTTTTAATACCTTTTTACCTTCACCTTTACCTTTATCTTCACTATTTAATTTATATATATTTAAGTACTAACTAAATATTTAAATACTAACTAAATATTAAAAGGTTAGAAGTTAAAAAGGTAAAGATAAAGATTATACTCTTTCTAACCTTCTAATACCCCTTCTAACCCTCTAATACTCTAAACTTCTAACCTTTTAATATTTAATTAATATTTAAATACTTAGTTAATACCTAAATATATATAGCTTAAAAGGTATATTAAAAAGTATATTAAAAAGAGTATTAAAAGGGATTTATATTAAAAGTATTAAAAATTAAAGAAGGAAATTATATTATAAAATCTTTTAATATTAATTTAAAAGTATTTATAAATATAAAGAAGTTATTTAAAAATTAATATTAAGTAAGTAGTTAATAGAAATTAAGTAAGTAAATATAATTATTAAATAAGTAAATAATAACTCTTAATTTAATATTAAAATTAAAATATAAAATATAAATAATTTATATATATTATAATTTTTTATATTTTAAAAAATTTAATAAAAGAATTAAAAATAAAATAAAAGTTTAGTTATTTAATAAAATTATAATTATATTTTTATTTTTATTTTTATTTTTATTTTTTATTTTTATTTTTTTATTTTTTATTTTTATATTTATATTTTTTATTTATATATTTATATATTTATATATTTATATATTTATATATTTATATATTTATATATTTATATATTTATATTTATATTTAAATTAATATTTACTTATTTAATAATTATATTTACTTACTTAGTTTTTAATTATTTATTTAATATAAAACTATATATTTAATTAAAATTCTTTAATCTTTTAATAATTTTAATATAAACCCTTTTAATATACTTTTTAATATACTTTCTAATATACTTTCTAACTTATATATATTTAAATATTAATTAAATATTTAAATATTAACTAAATATTTAAAATTAGAAGTTTAAAGAGTTAAAAGGTTAAAAGGAGGGTTAAAAGGTTAAAAAGAGTATAGTTTTATTTTTACTTTCTTAACTTCTAGCCTTTTAATATTTAATTAATATTTAAATACTTAGTTAGTATTTAAATATATATAAGTTAGAAAGCTTAAAAGATATACTAGAAGGGTATTAAAACGTATTAAAAGGTATATTAAAAGGAGTTTATATTAAAAGTATTAAAATTAAAGTAGGAAATTATATTATAAAGTCTTTTAATATTAATTTAAAAGTATTTATAAATATAAAGAGTTACTTAAAATAATTAATATTAAGTAAGTAGTTAATAAGATTTAAATAAGTAAATATAATTATTAAATAAATAAATATTAACTTTTATATTTATATTTATATTTATATTATATTTATATTTATATTTATATTTATATTTATATTTATATTTATATTTATATTTATATTTATATTTATATTTATATTTATATTTATATTTATATTTATATTTATATTTATATTTATATTTATATTTATATTTATATTTATATTTATATTTATATTTATATTTATATTTATATTTATATTTATATTTATATTTATATTTATATTTATATTTATATTTATATTTATATTTATATTTATATTTATATTTATATTTATATTTATATTTATATTTATATTTATATTTATATTTATATTTAATATAACTCTACTACTTAAGTTATTAGTTGCTTAGAAACCTAGGAACACTGCGGGAAAACGTGTGTGGACAGGCTGCTGCGGTAGCGTGATCCTTCCAGAATGCCTGCGGTGGCACCATCATCGTACCACAAGGCGCCGGGCACACATGCCACCTGCATCCGGGTCTACTCGGCAGACCATGCGAACCCTTGAAAAGTGAAGACGTGCCTTGAATAATAGTATGTCAAAAAGGTGCTGGCAGGCCCTATATATGTGATAGGTGGAAAATTGGGTGTCCTCATCTGGGTTGAGACTAGTCACATTTTCTCGCCGCCGTGCAACTGTAACAGCGTGAATAGACGCTTTTGAAAGATGATAGTATCGTCGGCGCCATCTAGAACATCCTGTCACGCGTGGACTGTGAGCAGTGGTCAGATGGGCGCCCATGGCCACGCCGACGCAGCTGACGGTGTGGTCCCAGCCACACAGGAGGTGCAGAGAACGGTGTGCTTGTAGATATTTAAATGACGAGTCTCGCAGATGCTCAATGGCAAGGTGACCCAGGCTCCCAAGAGGTTCCGGACGACAAGACCGGAGATTCGGGATATCAACGCAAATCGTGATACAATCCACCATGTCGGCCACAACACAAGTATCCTCTGGCATCAACCTTGGCGCAGGGCCGACCCTGACTCTGACGGGTGCTGGCGAAGAGAAGCCGACCAGGCCTCTGACGAGGGATGAGGCCGTAGGCTTCGAGGTTGACTCCCCGGACACATGGACTGATTTCCATAAACGCGTGCACAGGCTCAAGCCTCAGGGCGACTACGACGTCGACATGAAGATATTGGCCTGTGGCGTCTGCGGCAGCGATGTTCATACGCTCTGCGGCGGCTGGGGTGACCAGTACTATCCTCTATGTGTCGGTCATGGTCAGTCTGTCCCATCCTCCTCCTCATCCGACGATGCCTACCAGTAGGCATCTGCCTGGCAATAACATACAGATGCGCTTCTGTGAACCATCATAAAGCCTTCATATCCTGGCCCATTGCTGACAAGAGGTGTGCTCCCTGGCAGAGATCATCGGCCTCGTAACCCGGGTCGGCCCCAAGGTCACCCTCCACAAGATAGGCGATCGGGTAGGCGTAGGCGCCTCATCGTAAGCAGCTTCCAGATACAATCTTTATCCGTTGTTCAAGAACAAACACAAACATGCCCGGCTGCAGGGTTTGCCACGGGCCATGACCACCTTGTGGCCTGCTCCTCCCGAGGTCCCCATGCTTGCATCAAGCTACTTTGTTTGGTTCTTTGATGGCTAACTCGTCACGATGGAGGTGGGCATGCCTTGAGTGCCGGCAGTGCAAGAGGGGAAACGAGCAGTATTGCGCGCACCAATTGGACACATACGGCGCGAAGTGGCCCGACACAGACTATGTGACCAAAGGCGGATACTCGTCGCACATCCGGATCCACGAGCACTACTGCTTCCCCGTGCCGGAGGAGCTCCCCACCACCGTGGCGGCGCCGATGATGTGCGCCGGGCTGGTCAGTAATGTTCTTGTCCTTTTGCGTGTCCTTGTCTCTCATGGCGTTGAACCCCCGGGGCCCCAACAGCGCAGCACTTCAGGCTAACACGCCAACTGGTACAAGACCGTGTACAGTCCGCTGAAGCGGAACGGATGCGGCCCAGGGGCCAAGGTCGGCATCGTCGGGGTCGGCGGGCTGGGTCACCTGGCCGTCATGTTTGCCCGGGCGATGGGCGCTGAAGAGGTTTGGGCATTCATGCTCGACCACAGCCTAGACGCCGATGCGCGCGAGTTGGGCGCAACCGGGGTCATCGTAATGACCGACGAGGGCGTGCAAGAGCAGCACCGACACACCTTGTTCGTAACACTCCTCCCCCTCCGACATTTGCTCTGTGGCGAGCAGGGGACTGACCAGCTGACGATGCGGTAAACTCGAAGCGACCTCATTTTGAACAGCGCCAGCTCCAGTGTCAACTGCGCGCCCTTCCTGCCGCTCCTGGACGTGCATGGCCGCTGGATCAGCGTCAGTATGCCGGCCAAGGAGGACAGGGGCACCGAGGTGTCAACATGGACGCAGATCGAGAACGGGTGCCTGATCGGGGCGTCGCACCTCGGCTCGCGCAAGGAGGCTCTCGAGATGCTGCGCCTCGCTGCCGACAAGGGGGTTCGCACGTGGGTTGAAGAGATTGACATCAGCAAGGAGGGGCTCAAGGTCGCGCTCGAGAGGTGTCGTAGGAGTGCAGTTCGGTATCGCTTCTGTCTGACCGGGTACGACAAGGAGTTTGGTGACGACATCAAGGACCGCGAGGATTGACGTGACACGTGGGCAGCTAGCACGGGTGGTCGGGTGGTCGGGCAATCACCAAGACCGGACAGTACGGAGTAATGGGATAATCAATCAACAACTCTCCAACCAGACTTCACCTGTGCGGCCCAAGAGCTGACTTCGGCGTGCTGTTGTTTGAGAATTATGCCGGATGGCGGACGGACAGAGACAGCAGACGCAAATAGCAGCCACGAGACCAATGCATAAGCACTGCGGAGACCTCAAGAATAACAACCCGCTGTGTTGATTTGGTGTAACCGAGTCTTGTCCTCCGCCTTTTATCTATCGATCGCCACAACAAGCCATTCACCACACTGAGGACAAGCGTATGCTACGGGGGCGGCGGGGAACTCTACTCGTCGGCACCCTCCTCAGCCGCAGGCTCCTCCAGCTCCTCCTCCTCGTCCAGCGAACCAGCCGGTACGTCGTAAAGCCGCAGGATGCTCTTGTTCGGGTCCTTGACCAGCACGTACTTCCCATCGCCGCCGCCCGCGTTGAGCACCATGTCGGAGATGGTCCGCACAATACCCCAGCCGTTGGAAAGTGACAGGTTCATCTGGTTCGCGAAATCGCGCGGCTTCCACCCGATGACGCCCAAAATCACATGCTTGTCGTTGGCCTTTGGGTTGGCTCGGGAGACGAATCTGTGGTACGAGACCCGATGTATCAGTATGCGTTCGCGAAGGGTCATGTGCTGGGGCAGAATCTCTGCAACAGCAGGAGAGGCACGAGGAAGCGTGGAAACTCACCCAATCTTCATCTGGTCGGCCTTGGCCAGGATGCTCTGGACGGTCCACCGGGCAAGCTTGCAAGAATTGTTCTTCATCTCGGTGGCGACAACAGCACCGCGCTGCGACACGAGCTTGGAGCGCCAGTCCAGAGCGCCGCCGCTGCCCTGAGCCTTGCTGTCGAACTCGTTGAGCGCGTGCACACGCAGGAACTGGTCTTCGCCGCTGATGGCGTTCTTCTGCACAGCGTCGAGCTCTGTCCGCACCACCAGGTACACGGGGGCCTCGTCGTTGATGCTAATGTCGAACTTGCGGTACCGGTAGGCCTTGGACGCGGGCGGCTCCGTCTCCTCGGCCGCGTTGTAGAAGGGGTTGCCGTGCGCCATCTCCACCTTTTGTGACTCGAGCACCACCTGGTTGGCGAAGTTGTGGTTGATGTAGGTCGCCTCCTCGGCCAGCGCGGCCGGTTGGTTGATGACGTCCTTGGAGCCCTCGGACGCCTCGAGCGGCGCATCGGCGGCGTTCTCATTGACCGTGACCATGTCAAGTGCGGCGTTCTCGCGCTTGTCGAGGAAGACCTTGTTTCCCTGCTTGACGATGACAATGTCCCAGGGGTAGACGGAGCGGGGCGCGCACATGAGCATGGACAGCACGCTGTCGGTGGCAAAGACGGTGGCCTCGTCCTTGTCGGCGAGCTCCTGGATGATGGGGTCAGATGAGGTGGTGACGTTATAGGCAGCGCGGTCGATGGGGCTGAGCTTCTTCTCGGCCGACTTGACCGGCTGCTTGTCGAAGGAGCGGTCGTAGTATGACACGAAGCCGTAGCTGTCGATGTCCTCGCCCTCGTCGGCGTCCAGGTTGAGCTTAAGCAACCTGTTGAAGTCAATCTCCTCGAGCAGCTTCCAGTCGGCACGGATGTTGATGGAGGCGTCGCGGTTGCGCTGGGGCTTGTCGTAGTCCTTCCAGCCGAAGCGACGGCCACCGCCGCCACGGCCACCGGCGTTATTTCGTCCACCACGCCCGCTGTCGTAACCACCTCTGCCTCCGCCACGGCTGCTGAACTGCTGGCGTCCAACGCCACGGGCGTCCTGTCCTCCTCGGGCACCGCCGCGTTGGCCACGGCCGCCGCGCGTGAAGACGGCGCCGCGGCCGAATCGGGATTTGCCGCTGTCGCGAACGTTGGAAACGACAGAGAAGGAGGCTTCGTCCTGCTCGACGGGCGGTGCGGCAAAGAGGGAGGCGCTCGCAGAGCCGTAGGTCTGTTGGTCTGGATAGAGAAGGCTCGTGTCAATAGGGTGGAGCAGGGCGGTCGAGCCTAGAGTCTGGCATGGGACGTTCCAAGCAGACGGCGGTCATGCCACCTGCAATGCATGCCTGGCGGACGTACCTCTGTAGTTCCTGTTGTACTGGGCCCTTCCACCACGACCGTCGCGGCCATCCTTGCCATCAGCAGTCCAGTCGGCCATGCGGCCCAGTTTGTCCCCCTTGGAGAAGGGCGCATAGGGGACACCGTTCAGGGTGGTCTCGGTGGTGACTGGCGGCCCCCAGCCGTCACCGTCGGGCAGCGCCGCGATGATGTCGGCGATTGATGCAGGCATGCTGGATGTTGTGTACCGTCAAGCAAGGGTGCGAGGGTATGTGACGCAGTCAATGTCGAAGAAGCGTGAGGTCCGAGCAGAGAGATATGTTGCTTCGTTATTGTCGTGCGAGTTTGCTGCCTACCTTGCCGCCCTGGCTGGTCGATCGATGGTTTGTGCAAATTCGTCAAAAGCTGCAGAAATTCCATGTTTGGTGGGGTCCGAGCCTGCATAGCAGCCTTGGCGGGTCTGCCTGCCTTCCACCGGCAGGAGCTTAATCCCCGCTTACGCCCTAAGGTCTTGTAGTCCCCCTCTTAAAATACATCCTTACTCTATATAAGATTAAGGAGTATTTAATAAGAGTAGATTTAGAATTTTTAAATTCTTAAGTTTTTTTAAATAATAATAATAAATATTTTATTTTAAAATTATATTTTTATATAATAATATAATAAATTAAATAATTCTTTAAATTTATTAAATAAATATTTATTTAAATAAAATTAAAATTTATGTATATTTTTTTAAAAAAAGTAATTTTATTTTTATTTATTTTAATTAACTTATATTTATATAAATTAAAAATCTTTTTTAAATATAAAGTTAAAACCTATAATTATAATTTTATAATTAGTTTTTATTTAATTATATTATATTATTATAATTTTATTTAGCTTTATTTAAGCCTTTTTAAACTTTTTTAATATTTTTTTAAAAGAGTTAAATTTAAAAGGAGCCCTAAGTTTAAGTTTAAGATTTTTATAAATCTTAATTTCCTTTAAATTAAACTTATAATCTTTTAACTTTTTAAAAATATATTAACTATTTTAAATATTAATAACTTTTTTAAAGTAAAGGTTTATTTTATATAGTTATAAATTTAATTATTAATAGCTATTTCTTCTTCTATTTATAATAGAGTTATTAAATTATAAATTTAAATAATAGAGTATAATTACCTTATTTAATTATCTTTTAATTTAATTAAGTAATTACTTTTAAGTAGTTTTACTTAATAAGTATTTATTTATAAAGTAAAGTTAAAACCTATATTTATTCTTTAAAGGAATAATAGTTTTATTTTTATTTATTTTAACTAACTTACTTAAGTTATATAATAATTTTATATATAGTATTTAATAGTATTAAAATTAAGTAGTTTATAATCTATAATAATTTTAATTTTTAATAAGTTAATAGTATTAACTTAAATTAATATAATTTAATATATTAATATAAAAAGTATCTTTTAATAATAAATAATATTATAAATAATTATAAAGTTATTATAAAAGTTTTATATAATAAACTTAATTAAATTAATTTTTAAAATATATTATATTTTATTCCTTTAAAACTTTAACTATTTATTTTTAATTTAATAATAAAATTAAAATATAAATAATTTATAATTTATAAATTAAATATAATTTAATTAATTTAAATTAATATTATTAATTTATAAAAATTAAAGTTATTATAAATTATTTAATTAATATTATATAATTTAAACTTTTAAATTAATTAAAGTTTTAATTTTATAAAAATAAATATTTAATTTATTAATTTTATTATATTATAAAATTAAAATATAATTAAATAAAATAAATATACTTTATTATATAAATTTATAATTATATAAAAGTAAATTTAAATTTTAAAAACTTATTAATATATATATAAAATAATTAATATATTTTAAAAATATTAAAGAATTTTAAATTTAATTTAAAGTAAATTAAAATTTATAAAACTTTTAAATATAAATTTAAAAGTTTTATTTTAAACTTAACTTTTAAAAATATAAAATATTAAATAAATTTAAAAGTTTAAATTAAATTTAAATATAATATAATATAATAAATTAATTAAATTTAATTTAATTAAAAATAATTATTATAAATTTTTAACTTTATATTTTTAAAAAATAAAATATTTTAATTATATAATAAATTTAATATTTTATATAAACTATTTATATTTTTAAATTTTATTATTAAATTAAAATAAATAATTAAAATTTTAAAAATAAAATATAATATATTTTAAAAATTAATTTAATTAAATTTATTATATAAAACTTTTATAATAATTTTATAATTATTTATAATATTATTTATTTTTAATTTAAAAATAAAATATAATATATTTTAAAAATTAATTTAATTAAATTTATTATATAAAACTTTTATAATAATTTTATAATTATTTATAATATTATTTATTATTAGAAAATATTTTCTTATATTAATATATTAAGTTATATTTATTTAAATTAATATTATTAATTTATTAAAAGTTAAAATTATTATAAATTATAAGTTAATTTTAATATTATTAAGTATTATATATAAGGTTATTATAATTTAAGCCTTTTAAATTAATTAAAATAAATAAAAATAAAGCTATTATTTCTTTAAAAGTTTTAATTTTATTTAAGTAAATACTTATTTATTAATTTTATAAATAAAACTATTTAAAAGTAGTTATTTAATTAAATTAAGAAATAATTAAATAAAGTAATTATACTTTATTATTTAAGTTTATAAATTTAATAACTTATAAATAAAAAATAATTATTAATAATTAGATTTATAATTATATAAAAGTAGATTTCTATTTTAAAAAAGTTATTAATATTTAAAATAGTTAATATATTTTTAAAAAGTTAAAAATTATAAATCTAATTTAAAGAAAATTAAAATTTATAAGAATCTTAAATTTAAGTTTAAAGACTCCTTTTAAATTTAACTTTTTAAAAAAATTAAAAAAAGTTTAAATAAAATTAAATAAAGTTATAATAATATAATATAATTAAATAAAAGATTAATTATAAAATTATAATTATAAGTTTTTAACTTTATATTTAAAAAGTAATATTTTATATAATATTTATTAATATTAAATTAAATACTTTATATTATAATTTTTTAATTTTAATATAAAAATACTTTTAATAATATATAATATTATAATAATTTTTAAATTATTTATATAATATAAATTTTAATATTATTAATTCTTTAATAATACTTTTTAAATAATTTAAATTTATAATTTTTAATATTATTTTTAAAATAATTTTAATTATAAACTTTAAGAAATATTTTATTAATTTATATATTAAAGTAAAATATATTTTATAAGTAATCTTTTGTTAATATCTATTTATTATTTTACCACTATATATCCAACGGGCAAAATAAACAAATGATGAGAGGAAAACACAGCGATCAACCTGACTTATCCGTAGGCGTGCTGCTGCCGTCGGCACTATTGTCCCGGAGCTTCTCGTCTACCCTCTCAGTCGTGGAGGTGGTGAACACACCATTGCCCGACTCAGCAACACCGGGAACCCCATCCCGCGAACTGGTGCGCTGAAAGTACGCGTGCGCCTCGTCTGAGAACTCGTCATCTGCCAGGACTTGCTCCCCTTTCAATTCCTTCTCGCGCTTCTCGGCCTCCTGCGTCTCCCAGTCGCGGCGCAGGTCCTCAATTTTTTGTTTCAGGTCGAGGTCCGGGTTGTAGTGCTTGCCGACGCCCATCCAGCGCTCCCAGAGGCTCAGGTGGTTCGGGTGCACAGCAATGCCGTGGTACTCTGTCTCGCGGCCCTCAAGGATGTAACGCCAACGGCGTTCCTGTTCCTTAAGGTCAAGTCCCGTCGTGTCGGGCAGCCACAGCCAGGTCATTACCATACCTGCCAGCCCGAACCAAGGCACGACGTAGAAGCGCATCTGCGTGTCAATGTAGTTGTACAGCACTGATGCGAGGAGCGCTCCGGCCTTGCCCATGCACGCCGAGAAGCCGTGGGCCGACGCACGCACCGGTGTCGGGAACACCTCGGCCGCGACCAGGAAGGTGACGGCGTTGGGGCCGAACTGGTTGAAGAAGGATGACAGGTAGTACATTGCCTGGAACGAGTGGATGCCCTCGGGCGAGGTGTAGTAGTCCAGCTTGAAGGCCGGGATGACAAATGTCAGGAAGCACACCAGGAAGCCGATCTGCTGCATATTCTTGCGGCCGTACAGCTTGTTGTCGATGAGGAAGGACGCCAGGTAGTATCCGGCGAGGGCGACGAGGATGTTGTAGAGGTTCCAGATCCAGTTGGTCATGACGGATTTGGGGTTGTCGCTGATGACCTCGATAAACTGCGACTGGAACAACTTGTTGCCGTAGAAGAAGACGTCGTTGCAGAACCAACAGCCGGCCGTGGCTAGCAGGCGGCCGCCGAAGTACTTGAAAGTGAGGCGTAGCGAGTTGACGTCGTAGCCCGTGACCTTGCTCTTCTTCTTGGCGATCTGCAACTGGCGCGATGCCTGGGGCATCTTGTAGGCACGGTAGTAGGCGAGCCAGAGGGTGCCGACGGCGGGTATGGCGAAGGACAGGCGGAAGACAACCTGGGTGCTCTGTGTCCCATAAGGCCCGTCGCCCTGGCCGTGGTGAAAGATGAGCAGCAGAACAATCAGTAGGGCCTGATTGGCCAGCTGGCCCCAGCCCTGCATCAGAAAGGCGGTGGTGACCTTGCGGCCACGGTGCAGGCGGTCCTCACGTGTCGAGACCTTACCGGCACCGACAGCGCCCTCCATGGAGGATGTCGCAGTCATGGGATACTCGCCACCGACGCCAAAGCTGTAGACGAACAGGGACCAGGCGTAACAGATGACCCAGCCCTCGAGGGTGGTACCCCAGGAGGCGGTAAGCATGATGAGACCAAGAACCATGATGAGTGCATCCTGGATCAGACCAAACCTTCGACCAACCCAGTCACCGATAATCTAGAGGCCGTGTGGTTAGCGACGCGGGATTCCCTTTCCCTCTTGTTTGGCAGAGGGCTACGGTCGGGGGTTTTGAGGGGAAAAGGCGCCGGGGGGGGGGCGCTCGTTGTGTAGACTTACGCCGACAGCAACCTGACCAACCATGATACCGACAACCTCGAGATAGGTGACGGCGGCGATCCAGTTTACGGAGCACTCCCCATCATCCGTCTTGCTGCCCCAGCACTCCTTCCAGCCATCAGTGGCGGCGAAGTAGCTGCTCAGGTTTCCAATAGAGAACAGGACGTAGCCCTCCAGACCGAGGCCGGCGCCGGGCAGGATCGCGTTGTGCCAGTACCAGCTAAGGGGGCTCAGGGGATCCTTCTTCATCATGGAGCCGATCTGGGAGAGCTCCTTCTTGGCCTCTGCATTGTCGACCGAGGTGACAAACCGGATGCGCTTGGACCAGGGCAGGTCGGCCCAGTAGACACCCTCTGGCGTGTAGCTGTCATCCGGATGTGTGATGTAGTTGAAGATCTGACGCTCCTCCTCGGTGGTGACGCCGGCGTGAGGCGGATAGCTGTAGGCCTCATCCCCGGTCTCCGGGCCATGAGGTACGGGGATCTGGCCTGTGGAGGGGTTGTGGTGTTGGTCGTGGGCGAGGAACTCGGACATCTCGGCGGGTTATTATTCTTGGGGGCGGGGGTGTTGGAGGCGGCTCTGTGCGTATATATGGATGTGTATATATACGTATGCGGCGAGACCAGAGGAATTCCCACCACGGGCTGTATGGGCGTGCTCCTGGCTACTGCTGCTGCTCCCTGCGACGGTGATGGCGTTGGGGTGGTATGAAGGCCCTTTGGGGGCGAGGAGGAGGACAGGGAGGAGGATGAGCCGAAGTTGGGCGAGAGAAGCCGCAGGAGGGAGGGCTGTGGTCTTGACTGCAGAGCAAAGAAAAAGAGGGAGCCGGCGGTTTGAGCAGAAGACGGGGAGGGATGGGAGGTTTTTAAGAGACACGGGCCAGTCGCGGCGGCGGCGGCGCTAGCTCTGGTCGAGGCGGGCAAGGTGGCACGTCGCGGGGCTGGAGCTGCGCACTCACAGGGTGCCAGGGTGCGATGAGGTGGAGTGGCCAGAGGGGAGGGAGGGAAAAAAGAGAAAGGGCCAAAATAGTACACAGAAAATTCGGGAACCCCACCAGCAGGTCCCAGCAGGTGCAAGAGGCCCCACAAAATAGGTGTGAAAACTGGAGCGCTGCGATGGGACGAGGCGATGGGACGAGGGCCCGTCAACAGCGACTACGGCTCAGAAATCTGTGTAGAGAGTGTCAGAAGTCAGAAGTTGGAGGTTTGGATGTTACCCATGCAGTTGGGGCGCCGAAAGCTTATGTACGGCTTCGGTGTCTCTTTCTGGCATTTGGCATCCTGGCCGCGGCCTTAAAACAGACTGTAGACTCTAATAAAGGCACGTTGCAAGCATCGACGGACAGCGGCTTCATCTCGATCAACGACTGCTTGTCATGGCATCCGTGTCCCGCTCGACTACGCCGGCCGCCCTGTCATCCAGACACGCTTCTCATCGACGACGGCTAAGTGGACGGCTGCCACTCTGTCATGGTGTACGCCGTCCAAAAAAAAAAAAAAGAAGAAAGAGAAAACTAATCCAAAAGTGCCTACCTTCTCATCACTGCATCGCCCAAGTACACCCCCCCCCCCACACCCAGGACCAACACCGTGATCCCTCCCCCCCCAATGCTTGGAACCACTGTTGTGTTTAATTTTCCAGCCGTCCCGATGCGGCGCACTCCCAATGAGTTTATTGCTGTGTATCTGTCCTCGGTATCACGACATGAGCACTGCTGCACCACAGGGCTGCTTCGTAGGGTCCCACGGCCCCCACTTCACCTCGGTACAGGTCTGCTTGTATGTACCTATGTACCCGCCCCACACAATCTCTTCAGCGGGGGTCCCTGCGCCGCCTGCAGGCTGGCAGCCCCTTCCGCCTTTGCTGCCAGGGGCCAGCTGGCTCCTTCCCTTATTCGGGTCGTCCAGGTGGGGGATCGCCCAGGCGTGCCTCGCCCAATCAAAAGCCGCAACACACCACACGTGCGCCGTTGACAGGACGTCCGAGCTCGACGACACCTCGTCCCTTCCCCGGCTTTACTGTTCGCATGCGCCCCCGGGCATCATAACCCAAGCGACCAGGCGACCAGGCGACGGGCTCCCTTCTCCCGCACGGCGGCGCACAGCGGCACAGCGGCACAGCGGCAACAACAGCAGCACCAGCCTGTCCTCGGCTTTAAGCCGGCCCAGATGTCCCGACGCGACCACAAGGGGCCAGCCGCTCCACGAGGCCGAGGCCGAGGCGGACGCAGGAAATCGATACCTTGCCTCAGAGGAGAGGACACTTCGGAGCCACGATACTCGTCAGAGCTGATGCGACGCGCAAGATGCGCAACGGACGGCAGATACTGTGGCACAGGGTTGACAGCGCCAGGTCGAAGCCAAGTCGAAGCCAAGTCGAAGCCAAGTCGAGCTTGCTTCTCCATGCCCGGCCGGACGTCTATTCCTCTCCACAGTTTGGCGTACAGCAACGCTGGGCAAAGACCCAAGACCCAAGAGAGCTGGGAAGCTTACCCTGACATCGCCGTCGGAGAGGCAGGCAAAAGCAGGCAAAACTGCTTGACACCCCAGCTCATGTCTCTGGCGGGCACAGAGGGCGTACTCAAGCAGTTGGGCAACCAGGCTGGCTCACCGAGCGAGATGGCCGCTGTGATGCGCGTGCTCCATCTCGCGTCCAATCCCTCGATTTGGCGTTGATGCCAGCTCCAGCGAAGCAGCTCAACTCAGGTCCTAACGGGCTGGCACTCAACCCACTGTGCGCGTCATGCATGGAATGAAGCTTCCACTCCTGGGGTACGGCGCTCCGTCGGTATATGGCAGCCTCGCCGCCTCAGGGCCGCCGCCCGACGAGGGCATGCACATCCCCCCTCACCAAGAGGGCCCCGGAAGGGGATAAATCTCTGGGGCCCCAGTCCATTCGTCGGCGGTGCTGAGCTCCCTCGTTCCCAGCCTGTCACTTTCATCTGTCGTCTTATTCTGTCGGCCTTGTGGCTTGTATATTCCATCGCAGCCCCGTCTAAAGCCGCATGTGTGGACGACTTGCGCACTTCTTGTTGGCCACCCTTCTAGAAGCGGAAATTCGTCACACGACACTCGTTGCATCGGCCAAGCCACCCGCCTGCGGCATGGCGCCCGCCGGCGCGGCAGCTCACAAGGTACCCTCCACAATGCCGCTCAAGCTTTTTCTTGGCGATGCCGTGCCCCTTAGTGCGCTTGCTGATCGCATGTCCGACGAGCTGGCCGAGATGAGAAATGCGAGGCCAGCTGCCCCTGCTGTCGGTGTTTACAGGGAGGGCGACGTCACTCTTGCCCCGGTGGCTATATTTGGCTGGAAAACCGCAGGGAAAACGCGCCCAGGTTCCGAACCCTCTGAGTCAGGACGGGGAAGGTTGATAAATTTCCCTGGCGCCGGGTCTGGTGTGCGAGTTGAGCGGACGTACAGGAGTGAGGAAGATGCCCACGTGCTGACCTCCCCCCCCCCTTTTTCTCCTTCATCAGTCAACCGAGTGGGTTCTTCAAAATCGGAACACCACCATTCCCAGCCCGCCATGCCTATTTCCGGTCGAGAAATTAAGATGGGCACACAAGTGAGACTTCATGCCCTGAAGATGCATTTCGAACCCGAACTACTGCCCCCGGTGATGCTGAGGCCCGATTTACAATCTCCGGGTCGGCCCCCTATTAGGGTTCGGGTTGACACAGATTGAGAGGTGCGCCTTAAACTTTTCATGCCTTGACTCCTTGCCACCCTTCGGCCGGTTCCGAGTTCTGTTAACGGCAAGGTATATCCTCTACAGCTTCTTCTTAGAGATGCTGAAGGCAGGCGCAAAACTTTATTTCGATTCACCTCCATACACACCTTCCTTGTCCATATACCTAAAACCTAACGTGTACACCCAGTAACGTTGCTGTTGTGACGCACCTGCGTCGCCTCCTTTCTAGCGGCCGTAACACTCGCGCGACGGCCCAGTGCTCACTTTTGGAATGCGGCAATGTACCAGCAAATCATGCAGGGGCTCGTTGTTTCAATTGGACTTGCAATTGCCTCACTGGCTGTCCACGCCGAGTGATCCTAACGAAGCATATTTCGGAAATTGTGGGTCGCAGCAGAATTCATCTTCGTGCGTTAATGCCAGTGGTAATAACAGACACCTCAAGTGCTGGAGGTTCTTCACTGTTGGCCCCATGTGAAATGGACTCAGATGTTCATCATTGTAAGATTGAGGTCATGTTGATAGAATACAAACTGTTGTGACTTTGTGTGAAAGTGTCTTGTAAAGTTGCTTGTTGAGAGAAGGCCCTGGCTTAAAATGAATAGGAGGGGAAATTAGAAGTCCGTCGGTGCTGAGGATAATAACTATTATACTGTATGTGTGGTTTCTGCTTCTATTCCGTATACATCCAAGGACATACATGGCGCCTTTATATGGTGGTAAGCACTTAAATTATCACATACCTTATTACCGTAACACCGCCACAACTTCAAAACTGTGATGATGTCATAGTAAAAATAGATGTGGCTTGACTACGCTTTGGACCCCTAACCCTAAGGGGGACCCCCTTCTACTCCCCACCCCCCTCCCCCTCCCCCTCCCTATCCCTTTTTTATTCTTTCTTTTTAAACTTTTTTAATTATAATAAATAAATAAATAAATAAATAAATAAATAAATAAATAAATAAATAAATAAATAAATAAATAAATAAATAAATAAATAAATAAATAAATAAATAAATAAATAAATAAATAAATAAATAAATAAATAAATAAATAAATAAATAAATAAATAAATAAATAAATAAATAAATAAATAAATAAATAAATAAATAAATAAATAAATAAATAAATAAATAAATAAATAAATAAATATTATATTAAAAATAAAATAATATTATTATATTATTTTAATAATAATAATATTATATTATTTTAAATAATAATATTTTAAAAAATAAATAAAATTTTATTATATAATTATAAAAAGTATAAAATATATAAATTAAAGATTTATTAAATATTAAAAATTATTATTTTAATTTATTTATAAATATAATTTTAAATAAATAAATTTTAATATTTATTTATAAAAATTAAAATAATGAATAATTTATTTTTATTTTTAATAAACTTTTAATTAAATATTTTATTAAAAATTATTATACTTAAAAATTCTTTCCTTTAAATATTATTATTAAAATTAATCTCTTTTATTAATAATAATAACTTTAAAATAAATTAATATTTACTTATTTAATAATTATATTTATTTATTTAAATTTTATTAATTATTTACTTAATATTAATTTTTAAGTAACTTCTTTATATTTATAAATACTTTTAAGTTTAATATTAAAGACTTTATATTTTTAAATTTTTAATACTTTTAATATAAACTTTTTTTAATATACTTTTTAAGCTACTTTTTAACTTACTTTTTAACTTACCTTTTAACTTACCTTTTAACTTACCTTTTAATACCCTTTTTAATACCTCTTTTAATACTCTTTTTAAATATTTTTAACTTATATACTTTTAAATATTAACTAACTATTTAAATATTAATTAAGTATTTAAATATTAATTAACTATTAAAAGGTTAAAAGGTTAAAGGGTTAGAAAGTTAGAAGGAGAGTTAGAAGGTTAGAAAGAGTATAGTTTTTATTTTTACTTTTTTATCTTTTAACCTTTTAATATTTAATTAATATTTTAATATTTAGTTAATATTTAGATATATATAGATTAAAAAGTTTAAAAAAAGTATTAGAAGAGGTATTAAAAAAAGTTGAAAAGGGGTTTATATTAAAAGTATTAAAAATTTAAAGACTTTATTAAGTATATAGTTTTATATAAACTTAATATATAAATTTTATATTAAGTAAATAGTTAAAATAAATTAAATAAATAAATATAATTATTAAATAAATAAATATTAATTTTTTAAAATATATAAATTAATTATTAAAAATAATATTTATTAAAAATACTTTAATAAATTAAGTAATTTTAAATATTTAATAATAATAAATCTTTTATTTAATAATATTAATAATTTTAACTTTTTAATTAAAAATAAATAATTTATAAATTAAAAAACTTTTAATATAAACTTTATTATTAATATAAATTCTTTTATTTTTAAAAGTATATTAATTTTTATTTATACTTTTAAATATTATTAAAATTATAAGTTAAATATTTATAAAACTAATTAATAAACTTATATATTTTATTTATTTTATTAATTTAAATAACTTTTATATTTCTTATAATAAAATTATAATTTTACTACCTTTTATATTATTTTAAATAACTTTAATTTTAAATTAATAATATTTTATAAATAATTTAAACCTTTTATTATAAATTATAAGTATTATTTTAAATATTATTAATTTTAATAAACCTTTAAATAATAAATAAATAAATTAAAAGTTATAAATTAATTATTTTTAATAATATTTAAAATAATACTTAATTAATTAACTTTATATTATAAAAATAATTATAAAATATATTTTATTAATTTTATATTATTTAATTATTATATATATTAAATTTTTTAATATAAATATTATTAAATATAAAATTAATATAAATATTCTTTATCTTTATATAATATTATTAATATTAATTTAATATTATATAAAAATCTTTTATAAAGTTATAAAAGTTTAAAAAAGAAAAAAGAAATAATAATATATTTAAAAAAGATATTTAAAACTTTAATAATATATTTTAAATTATAATTAAATATAAATAATAATGATATATTAATTATTAATTTTAACTTTTATAAAATTTAATTATTATTATTTATTAAAATTTATTAATTTAATAATTTAATTTTTAATTTTATATAAATTCAAATAAATATATTAATTATATTTTTAATTTATATTTTTAATTTATATTTTTATAAATATTTATATATATAAATTTTAATTTTAATTTTAATTTTTATTTAAATAATTAAATATAATATAATTATTAAAATTATATAGTTAAATAATATATAATTAAATAACTTTAATTATTAATATTATTATTTTATTATTTTATTATTTTATTATTTTATTATTTTATTATTTTATTATTTTATTATTTTATTATTTTATTATTTTATTATTTTATTATTTTATTATTTTATTATTTTATAATAATATTTAAAGTTTTATATTTTATAAAATAATATTATTAATAATAATAATTTATATATACTTTTAAAATAATAATTAACTAAAATAATAATTATATAATATAAAATATATAATATAATTAAAGTTATAATAATAATATATATAATAAATTTAAATAATATTAATATTCTTTAAAATTTAAATTTAACTTATTTAACTTATTTAACTTATTTAACTTATTTAATTTATTTAACTTATTTAACTTATTTAACTTATTTAATTTATTTAATTTACTTAAAATATTATTTTAAATATTTTTAAAGACTTTTTATTTCTAATTTACCGTGGCCGCGTAGTGGACACCCGACAAAGCTCGTACTGTATCCCTAGGGGTTTTTAAAAACTATTTACTAATTAATACTCTTTAATAATAGTTATAACTATTAATAGTCTTTTCTTCTTTAATAAGTCTATGTGGTTTCGCTTCTATTCCGTATACGTCCGAGGACATATGTGGTTTCTATTCCGTATACGTCCGAGGACATATATAGCGCCTTCATACGGTGGTAAGCACTCAAGACCCAGCGCTTAAAAGAACACTGTCTCTACCTAGTGCTCAGAAATGAAAGCACACAAGATAATGGTGTACTCGAACTGGGTCAATCAATCACCTACAACAGTGGTTTGTAAGCAAAGACGGTTCCAATGGATCCATAATAGAATCATTAGTACAGACATGATGGGTGTTTCTGGCTCCCGTGCCAAGACTGCATCAATTGCAGTCAACTGGTATGTATTCGGGGTGTGCAGGTGAAATTATCAGCAGCAGGTGTGTGTTGATATGAATGTACCGTGACCTGAAGCTTCTACCTCCCGAACATGGCCGGCACCGTCGCTTGTAAGCCCCTGGTGCCCGACATCGATCATCACAGGCATATCAGGGCCGGAACGCTAGAAGTCGGTGCTCACAGTACCAACATGCAAACCAAATCTAAACACTTTCTTCCATGACATACCTGCTTGAATAATTAAATCTTACGGTATTGGTTGGGACTTGCAGACTTCAGGGGGTTAGGATGACATCCCGTTTGTTAGAAATTAGGCTAATTACCATGTTGTAATTAACAGAGAACATCAGGGAACCAAATATCAACAAGAAATCACCGTGTTGAATGCCAGGTGTCGTTGTAGTTTAAGTTTAATCTGGGTAATAATGTCAGCTACCATAAAGCTTACAGTGGGAACAAAGATGTCGGTAGTTCACGAAGGACGTCAGTTGCCTTCGGTAGAATAAAAGCTGGGATTCATTGTGCATTGGACGGGTCTATTACCCGGGTCTAGGGAGCCGGGGAGGTGAACCACCGAGTCGCTGTCACTTGACCATGCAACCGACCGAGAACGGATGAACATTACCCATGAGTGCGGGAGTACATGATTCCCCGCGAGGTCTTCTATCATGAGGTGTCTAATGCGAGACTTTAAATTGAGCACCCAGCGCTCACAACATCCAGTGCCAACGATATGTTGGAGGCCATCTGTTCCATCTTCTCGTCAACGGATTTACCGGCTCATATGCACAATGATCCGTCTGTCTTGCCTGTTATTTGCGCTTGCGGCAAACAGCCTCGCTGCCGTCCCTGAAGGGTATCGCAGAGTTATAATCCCCTCCAAAGTGGATACCAATTTCGTGGTGGTCCCCTCAAAAGCTTCTAATGGAAGTATGCTCGTAGTGTAAGCACTTCACCACCTAGGCAAGAATAGATGACGTCTGCTTAGCTTAACCTTCGATTCTGACTGAAACCACAGTCAGACCAAGACAGGTGCTTCTAGTCAACAGTGGCATCTCCAGAGCGGCAATAGCACTATTATATATGTGCCGGACACCACACTCTGTCTCGATGCAGGTGCTCAAAGTAGGTGCTTCCTCGAATTTTTTTACCAGCGCAAGCATCGAGTCTCATGGGTCTTGAGCGTTTACCACTGTGCGAAGGCGCCACATACATTTTATATGTATGGGGATTAAGCGAAACCACCACCACCAAGTCTCATATTGAATTTCAGCTGACGATTTCTTCTTCACTTATAAAAGGCAACTGGAAAGACATGTCCAGGGTTTACCTCGTGACATGCGCCCCGACATCCGTTTCACAGCAGTGGGACATTATGGCCGATGGCCGGATCGCTCTTGTTGCGTCTAAGCCCCAGGAATGCTTGGATCTCCAGTACAGTAAGCATCATCCTACTCCTATCACGGATCCCTGCGCCCTCATGTTTCAAACATTCTTCGATGCAAAACTTTGGGATAGGTAGCCAAACTAAGATCCTACTCAAGTGCGCGCCGTGCCGAACAACCCTGTTGGACTCTACAGCTGTGCAGGCTTAGGAGGTATTGGTGCAGCAGATAATGGTCTTAACTGGCCACTAGTGAATGCAACGAGTTAGGTTTCGTTCTTATAAAGAGTAGAAGCCCACTTCCTAATTAGTTATTTAAATAAATAGTAAGTTTAAAGAAATAAAAAAATTAGTATTTATTTAAGTTATAAGTTCTTTATATTTTTTATATTTTATTATTTATAATAATATAAATAAATAAAACTTTAATTATATTATATTTTTTTTATATTATATAATTATTTTTTAATAAAATTTTTTATTTTATTTTTTAAAAAATTTATATATAAAGTTTTTAATAACTTTATATTCTTATAATTCTTTTAAAAACTTTAAATTTTTTTATTATATTTATTTTTATTTAAAATTAATAATTATAAATTATTTATATTTCTTTAATTTTATTATAAAGTTAAAAATAAATACTTAAAGTTTTAATATAATATAATATAATTTTCTTTTAAATTAATTTATCTAAATTTATTATATAATTTAAATAAATTAATTAAAATAAATAAAAATAAAGTTATTATTTTTAAAAAAATAAATAAATCTTTTAATTATTTTAAAAATATATTAATATTTTTTAAAATAAAATTTAATTTTATATAATTATAAATTAAACTATTAATAATTATTATTTTATAAAAATATTAAAATTATAAATTTAAATAATAAAGTATAATTATTTTATTTAAAAATTAAATTTTAATTTAATAAAATATAATAAAGTAAGTAATTACTTTTAAATAATTTTATTTATAAAATAAAGTTAAAACTTTTAAAAAAGTAATTTTATTTTAATTAATTTATATTTATATATAATTTAAATTATATAATATATTAATATTTCTATATAATAATATTTATTAATATTAAATTAATTTTTAATTTATAATAAATTAATTTATATTAAAACTAATAAATATAATTTAATATATTAATATAAAAGAATATTTTTAATAATAAATAATATTATAAATATAAATTTTAAAGTTATTATAAAGAGTTTTATATAATAAACTTAATTAAATTAATATTTAATAAATATATTATATTATATTTATTTTAAATTTTAATTTTTATTTTTATTTAATAATAAAATTAAATAATTATAAATATAAATATTAATAATTTATATTAAAAGTTATATATATATATATATTAATCTTTTAAAATAAAAAAATCTTAATTATAATTATTTAATTAACTTTTATTTAATTAATTTATTATATTTTTATTTAATTTTATTTAATTTAAATATAATTTATATATATAAATAATTAAAAGTTTTATTAATTATTTATTATTTAATTATTTAATATAATCTATTTATTTATACTTTTAAAATTTAAACTCTTTTTATAATTCTTTTAAATCTTTTATATATAAAATAGTATTATTTTAATTTAAATTAATATATTAAAGATAGTTATTATTTTTTATAATATTAAGTTTTTAAACTTTTTAAATATTTTTATTTTAAAAAGTAAAATTTAAATTAAAGTTTTAAAATTAAATTTAAAATTATTATAAATTTTAATTTATTTTTAAAATATATTAACTTTTAAATAATAAAACTTTTAAAAATTAAACTTTATTTTTAAATAATTATAAATTTAATTATTAATAATTATTTCTTTATAATAAAGTTATTAAAATTATAAATTTAAATATTATATATAATAATAAAATATAATTATTTTATTTAATTATATTTTAATTTAATAAAAGTATAATAAATTAAATAATTACTTTTAAATAATTTTATTTATAATATAATAATATTAATAAATATATATTTATTTAAATAAAATTAGAACTTTTAATAAATAAATATTTTTATTTTTATTTATTTTAATAAATTTATATTTATTTAAATTATATATTAAATTTAATATTTCTATATAATATTTATTAATATTAAATTAACTTATAATTTATAATAACTTTAATTTAAATTAATTAAATATAATTTAATATATTAATATAAAAGTATTTTTAATAATAATTAATATTATAAATTTATTATAAACTTATTATAAAGTTATTATAAAAGTATTTTATAAAATATTTAATTTAATTAAATATTAAAATATATTTTATTTTAATTTTCTTAAATTTTAATTATTTATTTTTAATTTAATAATAAGATTAAAAATATATAAATAAGAATAATTTTTAATTAAATAATTAAATTAAAAATATATATAAATACTTTATATAATTTATTTATATAATAATTATTTTAAAAACTTTATTTTATTATTTATTTTTATAATAATTATATTAAAATAATTTATAATTTTAATTTTAAAATAATATTTTTTAATTTTATTTATATATTATAAAATTATAAATATAAAGATAAAATATATTATAATTACTAATATTAATATTATATCTTTTTAAGAACTAGGTCTTACTATTATATAAAGGCGCTCTATATCCTTAAATATATATAGAATAGAAGTGAAACCACATAGTACTATTTTATGTCCGAGTACTAACACATAACAACTGCAACCCGACTTCTTAGGCTATCACCCTCACTTCAACATTTGCTTATCAAGAGCCCTGGAGCATGGGACCGGACCATACCATCCATATTGATGGCCGCACGGGTGAGGGAGGCGGCCAGCTGGTCAGGATCGCTATCGCACTCGCCTCAGTCAGCTGCAGGCCGGTCAAGATTACTAATGTGAGGGGCAACCGGCCGGGGCCGCGAGGCGGAGGTAATCCCACAAACAAGCCCGCAAAAGTCGATGAGCGTCATTTCCACCACAGAGCTGATATGTTTGTCCCACCCAGGTCTCAAGTCGCAACACTTCACATCCATTTCATGGCTCGCAAAAGTAACCGCTGCTGATGTTCTAGGCCTCGAGGTGGGGAGCAAGACACTCGAATTCCGACCGAACCGCGGGCCCGGCGACCTTGTGGAGAGGAACATCACAATCAGCTGCGAGTCACCCGCTGCCAGCGCTGTGCTTGTATTTCAGGCTGTGTTTCCATTCCTTCTGTACGCGGGCAACGAAGGTGGCGAGCCCGTCGAGCTGACCCTCTCTGGCGGCACAAATGTCTCATTCTCGCCGAGCTTCGAGTACCTCGACCAGGTGCTCCTACCTGCACTGGAGTCGTGGTTTGGCGTGCACGTTGAAAGGAGATTGGACACAAGGGGATGGAGCCTGGGCTCAATCTTGAGAGGGTCACTCTGGTTTAAAATTCAGCCTATCTCATTTGGAGATGTTCTGAGGCTCAGTGGCGAGCTTCCGAGGCCAGAATCAGAATCAGGGAAATTTGAAATCACGTCTATCGACGTGACTATCATCACGCCGAGTCATCTCCATGCGGAGCTTGAGGCCACCCTCCGCGAACGTCTGGGCAAGACCTTCCCTGCGGTCGAACCCAACTTTCTGACGACAGAGGAGAGCAGGCACGAGGCGCGAATCTACGTACTTCTAGTGGCCAAATCGACGACTCTGCGGTGGGGCCGAGATATCCTTTACAGTGGGAAGCGGAAGGGGAAGTCTCCAGCGCAGCTCAGCGACGAGGTAGCGAAGACCGTCGTGAAGTCTCTCGCCGAGGAGATCAATACTGGAGGTGTCGTGGATGAATTCTTGCAGGATCAGCTCGTTATCTTCCAGGCTTTGGCCCAGGGAAGCACGAGCTTCCCAAGAAACAGCCCTGAGAACCAAGGGCGAGAAGTCCAGGAGTCGAATGTTGTTGAAGATAAATTGGAGAAGTTTCCCATCAGAAATGGACCCAGGAAAGACAGAACTCAGAAACCTTTTGGCGACTTGGAGACGGACAGCACCCACACTCGGACAGCCCGATGGGTCGCTGCAAAGCTTATGGAGCCCAAAATAGCCTGGTACAACAACGGAAAGATATGTGAAGGAATTGGACTAAGCTCGGGTACTAGTAGAGGTCAGCAACAGCTGTAGCTAGGTTGTCGTTCCAAGTCCTCCAAGTGACTTGTTATTATACATTCAGGGCAGAAGTGGGGAACAGCTGTATGGCGGGGGGGGGGAGAAAGACTGCAAACGCTTTCTAATGGCTTATGGATCCGAGGCTTGACCTCGATTGGGCGCATGTTATGTGTACAAGAATCAGAATGGTATTGTGAAACGCGAGGGGAAGCATGCTGACCTTTGACTGAGATGCATGAGCATGTTGCTGGCCCGAGTCCTTCCGGTTCACGCACAGACCGTGAGAAGGATGTGCTGGGCCTGGGGAAGTAAATGTTTTCAAGGCTGGCTTCGAAGGAGGATGAGAATTTAAAGCTCTGTGGGCGCAGTATTTACCTGGAGACATTTGAATCGACCCATATTCTCTTGACAATGAGTTCCATTTTGGACGAAGGAGCCCGAATTTTAAGGGCCAAAGAGCGTAGAAAATGACTAACTACTAGGTATATGTCCGTCATCACACCATCCTTATGGCTGTGTGGCGATCTATCAATTGTTTCATCCGGTCTTCCCCGTGATAGTCCCTGTCCAGCAGGGGTTGCCCGCTTGTCATGAACAGTCGAGATAGCCAGTATATTTCATCCGAGTGTCGGATTCCGCCGTTTGTTTGGTGGCTGCAGAAGTGGTAGACGCGCAAATCGGTGTTTCCGAGTCCACGGTGAATCCGAACTTAGCCTTATGTTCCTACTCATATATTGACTCCGTCCATGACGACTTCACGGCTTAATCGACCACATTTCTCATCATTTTAAGTGGTCTGACTACACAACAAGACTTCACAAGCCACAGAATATCGATGACAAAAATTGAACGTTACTTCGTATAAGACGACGTCCATATCTTCAAACTGTCTAGCATGGCAACTACCTCCCCTACATCAATGGGAGCTCTCTCACGTTTTCCCCTCGAGATCCGCCACATCGTCTATGACTTCACTCTCGATCTCTCAGAACGCGACTATCACTTCGAAATCGAGGCCAACAGAGTTGTTCGTGTCCCTGAGACTACCACATCCCTTCTCCGGCCCACCCCCGTCATAGCTCATGTCTGTGGGGAGATGAGGGATTACGTTCTTGAGACCCATACCAAGGTCTACTTCACATGCGCCGTATACAACAGGAGCTGCACAGAGGGTGGGTGCTGGGAGGAGAAGGCCGACTCTCGGAAACCGCTGCTCGCCAAGACTGGCTGGTTCAATCACAAATTGGACAGGGTTACGTTCTCACGACACGAGCTGTCCATGCCCCCACGCCACGAATTTGATTCGGAGGACGATCGAGATGAGGAGTGTTATTGTGAGCTGGAGATATGCGAGAAGCGGGAGCGCCGGCTGTTGCTCAGCGTGGAGCCATATCATGTCACAGACTTTGTCAAAATTATCAAGGCCAAGCGGGATGCATTTGTGCAAAGGGAGCCGGACGTACAGACTCGCGTTTATCCACAGGGCTTTTACGACATTATTCATCAGGGCTCTATAGTGCTAGTGCGCCGGTGTTTATATATATAGGTTTTTTAAGGTCTCTAAGTTAGAGAAGAGGTAGACCCCTTTATAGTCTTAGTAAAGTGTTGTCGAAACGGCGACTCAAGTGGTGTGAGGGTTTGCAGATTGCTAAGACGCTTGGAAGCAACCATATCTCTTGGCCTGCGGAGTCAGCCTGCCGTATCAGCCTGCCATCGTGTCTTACTCGACACGTGTTGTCTCAAGCTCGACCATAATCTCCGGGCGCTGTTCCCCTTGCAGAAGGTGCGCTTTTGCCGAGGCGCCAAGCTACCTAGGTAAATGACTATTAGTCCAATTAGCGAATCATCCCTGCGGCTGACAGCCTTGGAACTTGGGAAGAAATTGGGGACGATCAGTATTGATACTGGAAATAAATAGTCCCAGAGAACACATTCAGCCAACGTGCCGTCTCCATATGCTCTGCTCTCAACAAGTTGCTGCCCAGAAGCTTAAATGGCGATGTCATCAGTCATGAAGCTTCTACCTGTCCTACTGCTCGCCCCTGCAGCGTTGGCAGTTGATGTCCTTGTCAGCAGGCACCACGACTGGCACCAACGGAGGAGCGGGCTAAATGGGAATTTCGAACTCTCCATCTACCACATAAATGATGTCCATGCGCACCTTGACCAGTTCTCAACGTCAGGCACCGACTGCACGCGGCCGGAAAGAGGCTGTTTTGGCGGTTACTCGCGCGTCAAGACAGTCCTGAACTCGACTCGACCTTCCAAGGAAAACAGTCTGTTCCTGAACGCGGGCGATGAGTTCCAAGGCACGCTTTTTTACAACTTTTACAAGGGTTGGAGAACGGCGGACACCCTGAATCAGCTTGGTGTTGACGCAATGACCTTGGGTAACCACGAGTTTGACGGGGGCGATGAGGAGCTAGCCGCCTTCATTAACAACATCACCTTTCCTATTCTCGCAGCAAATCTCCAGAGCACCAATCCTACTCTAAACAGTTCTGTGAAACCTTATGTCATATTCGAACAATATAGCCTGGCTGTAATCGGAGTCATCACCCCCGAGACAAGCCAGCTGAGCAACCCCGGAAATGGCACTACCTTTACCGACCCAGTTGTCGCCGTGCAAGCCGCCATTGACGAGATCAAGGCCACGACAGACATCAACAGGATCGTGGCCCTTACGCACATTGGCTATGCCGAGGACATCAAGCTCGCAGAGCAGACCACAGGCCTCTCTCTGATCATCGGCGGGCACTCACACACCGCGCTGGGCAACATGTGAGTGCCATCCATCTTCTATCCCCCCTCTTTCCTCCACAACGGTGCCAGAATCCATGACTGTGGAGCCCGGATGTCATAGTTAACACATACCAGAACTGGCAGCCATGGATCGTACCCAACAATAGCGGACAACAAGGAAGGCGAAGAGGTCTTCATCGTGACAGCTTACCGCTGGGGGGAGTATCTTGGGTTTATCGATATAAAATATGACGCATCCGGCCACGTTCTTGAGTATCACGGTGCGCCGATCCACCTGACGAACCAAACAAAACAGGACCCGGACCTGCAGGCGCAGATCGACACGTGGCGCGAGCCATTCCAGGAATTTGCCAACGAGGTCGTTGGCGAGTCCGCCGTTGAGCTCGTGCAGGAGACGTGCCAGGTCGAGGAGTGCACCCTTGGCGATCTCATGGCAGACGCTATAATCTCATATCGACAAGACACAGATTTCTCGATTATCAATGCCGGAGGTATCCGTGCCTCCATCGACATCGGCCCGATCACGCGCGGTGAGGTGCTCACATCTTTCCCCTTTGGGAACGCCATTGTCGAGCTCTCACTCTCCGGCCAGCAAGTCTGGGAAGTGCTGGAGGGAATAGTGTCTGGTGTCAACCAAGCCAATGGGCGGGCGGTGACGTCCTTTTTACAGGTGAGCAGTGGCCTGCGGATCGTCTACGACACTGCCGGGGAGGTCGGAGGTAGGCTTTCGAATGTTACCGTGGCGGGTGCTCCACTCGACTTGGCCGAGAGCTACCAGGTGGCCACGCTGGACTACCTCGCGGGGGGAGGCGACAACTTTTTTGATTCAACTATGGCTGGGGACTACATCACGCTCGACTTACAGGCAGATGTGCTACTTACATATCTTGCGACTAATAATCCTATTAATACTATATTAGATGGAAGGATTTCTATTATATAGTTAAATAATAGAATAAGGTTAATAAGTTATTAAAATTAGTTTAAATAATTAAATATTAAGTTTATATTAATTATTTATTTTTTAAATATTTTTTTAAAAATATTTAATAATAAAATTATTATTTATATAAATCTTTTATTATTATTAAATTAAAAATAAATAATAAAAGTTTTAAAAAATAGTATTATAAAAAAGAAAATAAAGATAAAGTAATTATTTTTAATATATTAATTTAAATTAAAATAATATTATTTTTATTTAAAAATTTAAAATTATATAAAAGTTTATATTTTAAAAGTTTTAAATAAATCATTAATAAAGTTCTTAATTATTTATATATAATTTTATAAATAAAATACTTTTTAAAAAGATTAATTAAATTAAATTTATTATATAAAACTTTTATAATAGTTTTATAATTTATATTTATAATGTTATTTATTATTAAAACTATTTTTATATTTATATATTAAATTATAGAATAATTTAATATTAATAAATATTATATAAAATAAATTAATAAAATAAATAAAATAAAATTATTATAATATTAAAAACTTTAATTTTATTTAAATAAATATTTATTAAATATAATTATTTAAAAGTTTATTAATTTATTTAATTAAAGTATAGTTAAATAAAATAATAATTATTAATAATTAAATTTATTATTATTTAAAATAATTAAAAGATTATAAATTTAATATAAAAGAAATTATTAAAGTTTATAAAATACTTTATTAAGAATTTACTTTTAAAATATTAAAAATTAAATTAAGTTATAATGTAATAAAATAATTAAATAATAATTAATTAAAAATATAATTATAAGTTTTTAATTTTATATTTAAAAGAACTTTATATTAAAATTAAGAATTTATAAAATAAAAAATAAAAGTATAAAATAATATATATTTTTAATATATTAACTTTTATTTTAATTATTAATTTATTATATATATTATAAATTATTAATTATTAATTATATATATTTTTATTTATTTTTATTCTTTTATTATAACTTTTACTTTAATAGTTTATTATTTTATTCCTTATTATTTTAATTGCTCCTTTATTTATTTTAATATTATAATCTCCTTTTAAATCTCCTTCTTATTACAGATAAATTTAATTAATAAAATATATTTCTAATAGTATATTACTAATTATAAGTTATTAATAAAGGAGTGTTAATTAGAAGTATTAAATTAAAGTAGTGTAAATAATTAAATAAAGTTATATATAATACTTTAATTAACTAATAATATTTATTACTTTATACTCTTCGTTTTTACTTTATAAATCTTTAATTTCTTTATATTTATATTAAAATAATTTAAATTATATAATAAGTTTAATATTTCTATATAATATTTATTATTATAAAATTAATTTATATTATATTATATTATAAAAATATTTTTAATTAAATATTAAAAATATTTATTTTTAAATAAATAATAAAATATAAAATATTTTATATAAAATAATAATAATATATATATATATATATATATGTATATCTATATTAAAAATAAATATTTATACTTATTAAAATAATTAATATATTTAAAAATATACTTTTAATATATTAACTTTAATTTATATTACTACTTTATTATATATAATAAAAATTTATACTTATTAACTATATATTTCTTTATTAATTATTAATTTCTAACCCTTCTATTATAACTTCTAGTTTAATAGTTTACTACTTCTTTCCTTCTTATTACTAATAAAACTATCTTTGTAGACCCTCGCTTTTGCTGGTGAGTTGATGGCTGGTGGTTGGTGGTGGGTGGTTGAGGCTGCAAAAAGCACTCTGGGTGGGTGGTTCAAGTGAGGTTGAATGAAGCCCTTTGATTGGTTGCAGCCCCTTGGGCCAGCTTATACGGGTATACCAGCCGTTTTGGCGGGTGCGAATATCCGTTCTCTATTTTTTCAATATTTTTTTTATAATTAGGGCTATTTAAAAGATATAATAGAGGAATTGCTAGATGAAATAGTAAACATGGGCCTAGGCCTAGCAGCAGCTTAAGATGAACTCAGGTCCCGGGGCGGGGCAGATGAGGAACTGCGGAGGTGTGAGAGCGATCCTTATCAATTGCGGTCCGGATCTCTTTCCTCTTCAGCAAGAATCGGTGTCGGACAGAGAAGAATTTGCGCAAGGGGTGATTAACTGATCATTTTTGCAGTCGTGTCAGCCCTGTCGGGCGCATTCGGTGGTTTGCTGGCGTGGGCTATGCTCAGAATGGATGGAACTGCCAACATACCGGGTTGGCGATGGTGGGCTCATGATTTCATTTCAAAAGGACAGCATGGGACTGACCCAAGCAACAGTCGGACAAGTACAAGAGGCGTTTTCTCCCGCTCGTGGTGTGTGCCTCTTTTGGAATGCAGGGCTATGCCATGCTTGTTTGTAAGGTGTAAGGTATCACCGGCCTCGCAGTACCTGGCCACATACCTCATCGCCACGGCTTGTTTTCTGTGCACTGGGGGCAACATGTAGGTGCTCGGTGATTATGATCCGCCCCGAGGCCGCAAGCCAGAGGGCCGGGGCCGTCCCCGGGTATATTATATGATGGCAGGAAACGTGTTGTGCTTGTGGAACAACTTAGCGGAAGGCACATAATAGTGCCGACGCCAACTTTACGGAGTCAATCGGAAGCAGCCGGGCCTGACGAGTCGGAGTACTGTGTAGGAACACTTTGACATGTTGACGGAAGAAATGTGGGGCTCGGGCTGGACTGGCCCGATCGAGGGCCACCCAGGCGCTAATGCCACCAGGCTTGTGAGCAGAATTATGGGCCATGGCTATGCCGTCATGCGAGCCCCTCATTGAGTTATAAAGCTGTTTCCCTTCTTGAAAACCACCCCCAGATCAGACAAGAGGGGTCGTTCCTCCTGGTCTCCTGATTCTCGTCCTCTTCTACACCGACCCGGTCCTCGCCAGCTCCCAAGTCCTGCAACAATGTCTTTCGGTACCAAGGCCAAGCTTCTTTCCGGCGACGAGATCCCGTGAGCCGTGGCCCCGACCCCTCCCCCCTTCCTCCCCTCCTCCTCTTGCTGACACCACGGCCGTCTTGGCGCCCAAAAGCACTCTCGGCTATGGCACGTGGCAGTCAAAGCCCGGTGAGGTGTCGGTCGGCATCTATGAGGCCCTGAAGGCCGGTTACCGCCACCTGGACCTGGCCAAGATCTACGAGAACCAGAAGGAGGTCGCCGAGGGGCTGCACAAGGGCATCAAGGACTTTGGCATCAAGCGTGAGGACCTCTTCATCACCTCCAAGCTGTGGAACAACGCCCACCGCCCCGAGCACGTCGAGAAGGCCCTCGACGACACCCTCGCCGAGCTGCGCCTCGACTACCTCGACCTCTACCTCATCCACTGGCCCGTCGCCTTCCCCCTCGAGGGCGCCATCGGCGAGGTGCTCTTCCCCAAGCACAAGGAGAAGCAGGGCGAGGTTGCCCTCGACAACGGCGTCTCCCTGGTCGACACCTGGAAGGCCCTTGTGGCCCTCCCCAAGACCAAGGCCAGGAACATCGGCGTCTCCAACTTCACCGTCGACCACCTCAAGGCCGTCGAGGAAGCCTCCGGCGTCCGCCCGTCCGTCAACCAGGTCGAGCGCCACCCCCGCCTCAACCAGAACGACTCCCTGGTCCCCTACGCCAAGGAGAAGGGCATCCACATCACCGCCTACTCCGCCTTTGGCAACAACAGCTTCGGCCTGCCCCTTCTCATCACCCACCCCACCGTCGAGGCCATCGCCAACAAGCACAGCGCCACCGGCGCCCAGGTCATCCTGGCCTGGTCCCAGGTCGGCGGCCACAGCGTCATCCCCAAGTCCGTCACCCCCAGCCGCATCGCCGCCAACTTCCAGGAGATCAAGCTTGATGACGACGACGTCAAGCAGATCAACGACATCGGCAGCAACGAGTACCAGCGCTTCAACGTCCCCGCTTCCTGTGAGTGGCCTCTGCTTCCCCTGCCAGCCCTGCCCGGCCGAGAATGCTGACCCCGATGCCTCCACAGACAACCCGAAGTGGGACATCAACATCTGGGATGATGAGAAGGAGAAGACTGCCTCCAACAAGGTGGTTGTGGTCTAGTAGTCTTTTGGACGGCGGGGCTGGGGTCGCGCAACGTGTTGGTAGATGCCTCCGTATAGGATTGCAGCAAAAGCAAGAAAAGAAAAGAAATTTGAACCTCGGTTTGCATGTGCATTCGACAGGCCATGACCCCAGCGGCAAGCGTTTGCATCGAGAATGAGGCAAGGGGCCGGGGGTTGACGGGCTCGCAATGAATGGTCTCGCAGGCTTGTGATGTGATGAGACGGTCAATGCTGCTCCACGGCCAGAACAGCCAAGGCGGTCACGGTCACCCCAACACGCCATGCTCGGTGTCGGTAAACTTGGGGAGAAGGGCTCACTCAGGATTGGCAAGGTATTTCGTTACCACACTAGCAGAGCGGCGGCGGAGCCCTGCAGACGCTCACTGATCAGCCGTCGTCAGACCTTGGACTCCACGCTATTCCTTCGAAATGTGGAAAGCCGGATTTCCCCCTGGTCCAAGGGGCTTCTACTGCCGTCCAAGAATGTGCTGTCGGCGGGGGTGGAGGCTGTAAGAAGCATCGACTTGCGGCTGCTGCCACCACCACCACCATCTTCATCCACGTCGAAGTTGACATAGCTACGCTTGCGGAGCCTCCTCTTCTGCCTACTCCTGCTCTGTGCCGACGGCCGGCTCGGTTGGTCTGACTCCTCACCTGCACTGCTCCCAATGCCCAAGCAACGTGGCGCATAGCGCGCGATCAAAATGCGGATCGATGGAAGGCAGGGACAAACCACGCCGATGTCGATCTCAATCCCAGACCAGATCCCTACCTCGACGAAGTCTCCTGTGTGCAGCTGGTCAGTTTGTTTCTCCCCCCCCCCCTGCGGAGGCCCTAGGAGGTTCTGCATGTTCTTACTGCTGGGGTTGATAGTTGTTGTGAAGTTATTGATGGTTTTCAGTCTCACAAGACTGACGACGAAGAATCTGCGGCCAACAACCATCAGCTCGGAGGCAACTAAACAGGCCAGGTGCCGCGACAGGCTCGAACTGGAACACTCACGCCAGGCCGACAGTCAACATGATGCCCGCGAACATCTTTCTCCTCCAGCTGAGATTCAACTTCCAGATCCCAGGCCAAGGAAGTGCAATGAGCCACAAGTCCAGGGCTATTCCAGCCCCGGCAGCCGCCCACGCAAGGGCGTTGGCATTCCCGCAATGACCCCGTACAGATTCCTGCTTGTCCCACTGGTACCAGAAGAAACGTGTAGGCTGGCACTGCAGAATAACGGCAAGAGTGAAAGACGTGATGTGAACGGCGTTGAGGACCCCCGTCCAATAGACGAAACAGTAGGTCGTATAGTTGGAGGTTCGCGGGAAGATACGGAGGTAGAAAAAGATGATGGAGGCGCGGATCAGGCCCCTCGTCACGGCGTACAAGCCCATGTTGACCCAGAATATTAGCAGAAGCCACGTGATATAGTCATAGGGGACGTCCCAGACGTCGGTGCCCATCCCGAGGGCCGCGGCACTGATGTTTGTCGCGGCGAAGGCGGCGCAGCCCGCCTGTTTGTGTGCGGATCAGTAACTATATCTTGCGTTTGCTTTTGATTTGCTTCTGCATTTTTTGCTCTTCTTTTTTCCTTGGCCGCAACTACGGCACGTGGGGTTTCCCCCGGGGGACGGGGGGCGGGGGGGGGGGGGTGTCTCGGGGCTGGCGCTTACAAAGGCGAGGAATATACAGAGGTCGTCCCACCAGAAGTAACACAGAGTTACGTATCGGGCTACAAGCCTAAGGAAGACTGCAACTCCGGCAAGAGCAAGAAACCCTGAAAAGACCGGGACGAGGCTCTCGTCCCTCGGGGCTTTGTTGTCGCATAGTGCCTCTGTTATGTTCTTTGCTCCTGTTTGTTGCCAGGCGTCAGCGTTTGAGCACGCATGAAATGCAGAGAAGACAGCTGTGTCTGGCTCACTCAGGCCCTCCCTGGTGGAGCAATTGGCAAGACCGCATGCTTCGGCCTCGGCGTTGAGCCTCGCGTTGGAGCATGTGCAATGCAAGTCGGCCAGGGTACAAGACGAGGCGGATATGGCTGTGACCAGGCAGTTGAGCTTGACACACAAGGCGAGTCAGCGAGAACGGGCACACAGCACCACAGCACCACAGCAAGAGACAGACTCACAGCACAGCTTGGTAACTCTGCAACGGCTTCGGCGAGGGATGGCTCGGCTGCCACGGCCGCGGTGAGGATGTGAAGGAGGGCGAGGATGAAGCTTGCAGTCTTCATTTCTACTCAAACCTCGAGCTTGCAAGTAGCCGTGGGAGTAGGCCACCGATGAGGGAGATGAGAGAAGTATGTCAAGAAGCAGAGAACGCCTCATGGCCTCATGCGCGAGGTTCCCCAAGGATATGGGAAGTCGGGGGGGCCAGGACTCAAAGGGCTGGGCGTCTGTGTGCAAGTCCAAGGTAGCATCGCCTTTCCCAGGGGCTTGGTCCGGCACGATCCCCGGCGCTGGTGCGGGTTCGCAACTACCTGGTCGAGGAGAATGCCAACACTGGTACGGGCAGCAAGCCGTGCAGGCCGTGCAAGCCGTGCGCAGCAAGCCAATGGATGGATGCATGCATGGCCATCGCGCCAAGACTCGCGGCCACACGCGACCGAGGCGCACAGAGCCACAGGCAGGCACGCTCTCTGGGGGGTTGTGCAGGAGCATCTATCCTCTCAACCTCTGCTTGTTGCAATTTGGGCCTGGTTTGGGCCTGGTTTGGGCCTGGGGCGCACGAACAAGAACATGGCAAGACGAGACGCGCGGGGCGTGGGCCGTGGCGTTCCGGCGAGCTTCAACGTCTTTTAATCCCACGTATCAACGTTCGTGTAAAACGTCTACGAGCCCCGAGGTGGGTGTCCCCAAGCGCGCCCAGGCTGCCGGTGAACGCCGTCCATCCCATCTGAAGCGGGTGGCTTTTTATGAGGGCGTGGGGACGGCGTGCGGACGGCGTGGGGACGGCGTGGTGATGAGGCGAGTATCCTTGCCCCAGTGCATCCTCTTATTAGCGTGCCCCTATTGATCTCCGTCCCCTGCAGCTGCAGCTACGGGTAAGCCTACTTAAGGTAGGTAGTATGGTCTGGTTCAGGTACAGCCTGCCAGCCAACTTTGAACCGCCAGCCTCCTCGAATCACTAATGTCTTTCCCTGGTTGTAGCCGCTGGCCAGGCCGTTAGGTTCCGAATCGCTTCGAGCTAAATCGCCCACACTCTGCCCCCTAAAACGCTCCACGCAATGCCTCGAACAGAGGAGGACAAACCACCGCAGATAGATTCTTACAAGTAAACAAAAGTTATATGAAAAGTTTCCTGTGTCTCTGTTTCTCCTCTCGTGACAGGCTAAAGGTGAGAGAAGGAGGATATGCTTTCTGATAGAGTCCGATGGAGAGATGGTGGACTTGGTTCAATCTTAGAAGTTCCACAGGAGCCGAGACAGGGGTTTACCTAACATATCCCCACACGAGACTCCTTTATTATAAAAAGCTTCTATTCCGAACTAGAACAAAGACTAAACCGTGTACGATTTACATAAAGGATCAGCTTACTTTATTATGAAAAAGAATGCCTTATAGTCTTAATAATAGTTTTAGATGAACAAAGCATTCTCTTTTCTGGACACGACAATGAAGATGCTCTAATGAATCAGCCTTGTAATATAAGATTCATACCCTGGACCACGGAATTACATAGCTATATGAGTAGACATGACAATCACATAGAACACCGCAAGGCTTTCAAGCTATACATCTGCAACCATTCAGTACTCAATTCAACTACCAAGATTACTTTCGACTTTGTTATTATGACCCAGATCCTAGAAGAGCAGCCTGTATTTGGTGCCTATTATAGTGCTGAAGCACTTGCGGCTCAATGTAGACATTATGATGATGAGCAAACCGGCGAAGAGCAAAGCAGCCATGACGGTGACAGCGAAGACGACGTATTCAATAAGTTTAGAAAGAAGCACATCACCAGGAACGTGGAACCTGTTTCGATCATCAAGCCAGAGGTCGAGTACCAGGCCAAGGTCCCTAGCCGGTCGTCGATAATCGGAAACATCAGCCACAGGAGGTTGGACCGAGTGCCTGTTGCAGAGATGGGTCGCACAGACATCTGCTTTCCATGCGGACTGGACACATATTCCCATCCAGATCTGCGCCTTCAAGAGCTCCCATGCGGGCACTGGTGGTGTCAGAGATGCCTGGCAAGAACCTTCAAATTTGCCATTGCCAATAATACGTTTCACAGGTTCCAATGCTGCCATGAGGAACAGATCCCGCTGAGATACTTTCGGGCCATCATTGAGAAGAAACCACATCCAAAGCCAGAATTCGAGCCGGGCTATGAAAAGGGCTCAAAGATGGAGATTGTGCTGCCGGAGGAGCAGGAAGCCCCTACGTTTGCCGAGAGTCGAGACTTCAACCCACTCAGGGTCTCTGAGTCGGTGAGAAAGGAATCTGAAGTGTTTATTAACAAGAATGACTGGAACATATACTTGAAGAAGCTAGAAGAGTTTGAGACGCGGCCAAGAGATAAGCTTTATTGCTACCGTAGGCTATGCGGTAGCTTCATCCCCCTCGGGGACAGAACTGGGACTAGGGCCACTTGTCCACAATGCCAGCGAGTCACATGTTGTCGTTGTCGCAAAGGCTGGCACACACACCAGAGTAAGGATGGGAAGTGCGATGCAGGTAAGGAAAGGATGACTGTGGTCAGAAATGACCGCAAGCTGATCGTCATGGCAAAGCGAAAGGGTTGGAAACGTTGTCCTCGCTGCAGGATGTTTGTCGAGAAGGTTAAAGGAGGATGCTCAAGTGTTTATTGTATCTGTGGCAGGCATTTCTTCTACAGCTAGGGTCATGACCTCAAACCTAGGTACATTAACAAGACTTCAGGGCCCAACGCCCATTTCTCAGGCATAAGCTGGTTGAATAGATAAATGTGATATGATGTATTTATGTCTATGAGCCGTATCGGGCCAAGTAGGTACATGAAGAGTGAGCACATGGCTTCTCAGAAAGCAGGGCAGTCACCTGGGCAGTCCAGACCCGGTCGTTCGCCCAGATTGACGAATGACCTAGGCAGCGGAGACGGTGATGTCAGCGGATCCACTGCTCTTGTAGCCCTCGACAGCGAGGATCTGGTAGTTATGCGAGCCGAGGTTCAGGCCCGCCTTTGCCCAAGCATCAAAGTGGTTCTTGACGGTGACGGTGCCGCCGACGCGGTGGTTGCGGCGGACCGACCAGTACTGGTCAAACGTGGCGGTGCCCTGGATGCTGGGCTGGTTGACGCGCTGCGTCTTGTAGATGTCGTACGTGTCGCCGTCGGTGGTGACCGAGGAGATCTTGGAGGCTGTTTTGTGTCCGTCAGCCACCCTGCATGTGCCCGTGCCCGTGCCCGTGCTCGTTGTGTTTGTCCCGACTCACCTCCCGAACTGGGGTTGTAGTCGCCGAAGCTCTCGACGATGTAGTACTCGACGAGAGGGCTCGTCGTCCAGCCGTAGACGGAGACGTAGCTGTTGACCTTGGCCGCGTCCCACGTGCCGCTGTACTTGATGGAACGGTCACTGCCGGTCGCCCATCCCTTGCCAGCGACGAAGTTGTCGCAGTTGGTCCAGTCCACGCTGAACTCGCCCGCAGCCTTGTTGTTGTACGTTACGGAGCTGCTGGCGCCCGAGTTGTAAAAGGAGTAGAAGAAACCGTTGTTGGTGCCGGTGCCGGTGGGGGTCGAGCGGTCCACGAGCTGCTGGAACGACGAGGCACCGTCTACGGCCGGGGCAGCCAAGGAGCCTGTGGCGGCCACGAGGGCGAGGAGGGATTTGACGAGCATACTGGCTGGTGGAGGAGTGAGTGTATGTGGTGTTGTGTGGGTTTCTATGGGTGTCGGTCAAGCTGAAAGGGCCCGTGGACGGGACGGTTGGAAGCATGCATCTTATTATATTCTGGATCAATACGGTACCTCGATCCGTAATTTGGTCCGAAGTGCTGCGCGTGGATCCGATCCACCCCCAGGGGCCACTCCGCCATGGTATTGGTATTGGTATTGGTATTGGTGTAGCAACACTGAGCCGCATCTCAAGGGTGACGCGCGGAGAAACTAGCCCCATACACTTTCATTTACCACAGGTGGCAGTCAGATGGTAGAGCGCGACGCTACCAGGCGTGTCCCAGCTTCAGGGCGTCGAATAGATTGCAGGTGCCGTTCGGCGGAGGTCACTGATTCAACCGGACGCTTAGGGCAAGCGGGGCCGCCAGTAGGCGGTACCAGTCCCCATAAAAACCCAGGGGTGCACCCCAATGCCAGCTGCTGAAACAGGAGGGCAGGGAGGGCCACTCAATTTAGACGGGAGAGTCTTGTTTGCCTCGGATACAGATCGCTTGCCGTCGCTACGAACGTGTTCAGTGGTCCGAAACGTTTATTAGTAGTACATGCCAAGAGCATTGTTTGCTACCTTATGCTTAGATAATACTAGTAGGGATTATCTTATCAGCTCTAGAGGCTATACTATAGTCTACCCTGTAGAATAGTGATTGAGGTCTGACAAGATTTCTATGATACTATCTACCTCATATATGGCGCTAGTTACCTGGGCAACAAGCGGCTGGTTGAGGCCAAGGGCTGTCGACAGCAATACAAGCATCCACGTTTGAAATGTCAATGTGTCCCCTATACTAGTGGTAATATGAGTCTCATATCATGTCAATGCTGGTCATCTGCGGCGCCGCTGAGCAGTTGTATGTATTAAGTAGGTATTCACTAACGATATTACACAAGTAACGTTGAGCTCCTGCACCTCGTGTGCTACGCCACAAAGTTGCGAGCCATCTTCCCCCGCGATTTCTTGTTGTGTTCATCAGAAGAAAGCTCCCGCTTGGCAAACGGTATGCCAAAGAAGCCAGCCGGCGGAGGTCCAGCCGGCGGAGGTCCAGGCGGCGGAAAGCCAGGCGGCGGAGGTCCAGCCGGTGGAGGTCCTACAAAGCCCGGGGGAGGCCCTTGAGGTGGCGCCGCTGGTGGTGGCCGTGGCGCCCCAAGACCTCCAAGTAGGAAGCCAATCAGGGCTGGGTCGACATCTGGACCAGGGTCCTGCTTTGGAGGTGCTGGCGCGGGTGCAGGCACAAAAGCAGGCGGCGTCGCTGGGGGAGGGGCGAAACCACTTCCTCCGCCGCCGCCCAAACCTCCCATGTTCAACCGAATCACGTCGAATTGCTGATCTTGCACCCAGGTCAGGCTGGTAGTCGTCGGGTCGCCCTTGACATGGCACTCCGAGTTGACCTTGTCAAACACGGCGTTTGTGCATGTTGCCGTCTGGGCACACAGCTCTGCACATGATTCTGTGCTTGCGGCACCCGTGACGGAGGCGCTGTCGCCCCGGAAGTCCGTATTCTCACAGATCAGAAATTGGGCGCCGGTGATTGTGTTGAGCGCTTTGTCCCCAGAGGGGCACTGGGAGAGTGCTGCACCCGCCGTGCCAGTTGCTGGGTTGGCAGGAGGAGGGGCGCCCTGTCCAGCACCTGCCCGGGAGGCGCTCTTCACGATTGTGCTAAACTGACTGTCCTGGACCCAGGTGAGGGCGCCGGGCTGATTGGACTTGAAGTGGCAAATGGCGTTTTCGTTGTCGTACACGGCGCGCACGCACTGCCCGCCCTGGGCATCACACATCTGTACGCATGCTTGCAGGGTCCCAACATCCTGGAGAACTTGGTCCGAGGGACCACGGTAGTCTGTGCTTGCACAGATGGCATATGAAGCCCCGCTGGGGCCGCTGACTGTTCTAACCTGCGAGGGACAAGAAGTGATGGATGCCTGAGAAAGAGCAAGCCCGGCGAAGGCGGCGATGGTGGCAAGAGCCTTCTGGAGAAAGTGGCATCGAGTCATTGCTATAGCAGCGAGTTATGTTTGGGGGGGAGGAGTGCCAGTGTTGGTGAGACTGCTGAAATAGGGCGGCCCAAAATTTCGTATGGAAGGTCGAGGCCAGAGACATTTAATAGTCTTGTAAACGGCCCCACAAATCGGGATAGCAGATCATCACTAACCGGACGGCTCAAGAGGCACTGCAACGTATCGTAAAGTCAAATTCGGTGCCTATTATCGATCTTGGCGATAGGTTCGACCATCTCATGGTGTTGTGGCTCAGACGAGAAACAAACTTCGGGATGTTGCAGAAACACCAGCCATCCGATGTTCTGATTGAGCAGAGGCCTTACAGCTTCCATTCATCGATTCCAATCCAACGGGCAAACACATAACTTGTTTCGATGGGTTACTTGAGGACCTGGCGCCCGAGCTTATATGAAAGCGTTCCAGCTCGATGCGCCCATTGTAGGTGCTTACAACAAGAGGTGCTTGTTAGGCTTGCACTGGTCAACCGCGCGCTCCAGCCGCTCGGCTCTGCCAAGCCATATCCACAGGTTTTAGCGACCAGATTATAGTATTGCGATTGGTGAAGCCTCTCCGCCTTTGAAAAGTATCGCGGATACGCCGGAGTTGAATTTGCGGAATGGCTCTGGGCAGTCGCCGTTGCTGGCATCGACTCTCGCGAGGCCCGGTCCAACCATACCAGATTTTGATTCTGGAGCTGGTGGCTGGCAACTCAGAATCATTCTTCCCCAGCCCGAGAGCGACGTTTTGAGCATCAACCAAGTGCCGTGCTCGAAGCTCTCATGTGGCGGAAGTGCTACTAATGCCAATGCTCAACGAAGCAATAACGCAGGCAGCCAGCGTACAGGCCAAGAATCCCCGCTGCTTCTGGACAACAGATTGTGCTTTTCGTCTTGTGGATAGCCCTCGCGGCTGTCTGGGTTGTTTGTTCCTCTTTATTCCCGGCAAAGTCCCCAACCTTAAACACTGTCAAGCGCTCATCAGCGTCGGCATCGAAGCAGAAGCGCGGAAGGAGAGGTTCACGTCAGGACAATTTCATAATTGAGTTAGTCTTGGTCCAGGCTGGCTCGGAATTCTATGTATCGATTCCAGACTTCCAGAAGACTTGGGTTTTGATGGTTTCCAATGCTGGTCTTCTTGTGCGAATCCGATCACGTTGGCGCATGTCTGATCGATCAGTAGAAGTTCCGGGGACAATGGCTGTTCTCATTAGCACTGGCAAGGCAACAAGTACCTGGGAGGCCAGGCGTAGAGTCTCGTCATTTGGTACAGCAGATTTGGGGCCTCTTTGGCTCGGATGAGCCTAGGAAAGTCGTTGTTAGCAAGCGACAGGCGCAAGTGACAGTGTCGAGGTTCGGCCATGTTGGTATGCTTCCCTCCTCTTGGCGGCTGCTTGAGTGCCCCTGGTCTCATAAGAGCTTGGGATTGCGGGCATACGAAGCTGGGGATATCGTCTTTATGATTCGGAGCGGGTGGGCTCGATGGTCTACAGGTGCGAATCAGGAATGAAAGTCGTGACAGGCAGACGGGGCGGAGGACGACGGTAGCCTATCCATACGGAATCGAGGCTTTGGCTTGGAGGGACGGGGAATAGGTCGTATGTAGTGAGTGCGTCGTTATTGGAGCCCTTGGGAGCAGTGTATGGATCGAGCGGGACGGACCTGCGATGGTGGTGCAAGCGAGGCGAGGCCGTTTCAATGCTGGTAGCGATGAGCAGAGGGGATCCAGACTTCCCAGGCTAACCCAACATCGACAGACTCCCCTTGAAGACAACACAATCCCTCGGAGAAGTATCGTAGGATGACCATCTAAAAACCTAGGTAGGCAGGTAGGAATCCCATGTGCCAAAATCAACAGCACTTTGCCATGACTCCCCAGCCAGTTCTGGATCAGAACCACCTAGGAAACTACTCGAGTACGATGGCAGGGAAGGAGCCTGAGCCAGGAGCCTGAGCCAGGAGCCTGACGAAGAGAAGGTGCGACTTCGTAGACTTCAGGAGACGATGTCTAAGATGGGCGCAACACGCTGTCTCCTTCCACTTGGGACTGCTGCTTGCGGTGATGCTCCCAAAGTACCACTCACAGTCTATCAGCCATGGATGATTTGCCTTGAGCATGCCACCGCCACTTTGTCGTCTCAGAACCAACGGCCTCCCTCGCCATCCCCCAGCTTCGAGAGCATATCGCCCAGCCGACACATATCATGGTGTATCAACAATGCCCGCTGCCTCTATGACCCTCCTTCTCCACGACCTCGACCTCGGCCTCGGCCTCATCCCCTTCTTCCACGGCCTCATGCCCGCCCTTGCCGCCCATACCATACCGACTTCCACGCAAGCAGGACAATATGGCATCGGACCGACCACCTGAGCCTATCCTCGAACTAGTCCGTCTCACATGTGTCCATCAACATCTGGATCGGGAGTAACTCAAAGATGGACCCACTGCCCCGTGGCTGCGCAGGCCTGGTAGGCCCAAATATGGCCCTCGGACCACCCTTGGTGCAGATAGATACTTGCTCTGGCCTGCGTATGGCATCACCCCCATGCCCGTTTGGGCCTGGGGTGACCGACATTTTCACGACTGTCGTCAGTGTCGTCAGTGTCGTCACTGAGCACAACTGTGTACCTGACGCGTCACGAGACGGTGGCAGCCAGGACGGTCACAGGGAAGAATACTTAAACGCCCTCTCCTCCCCGGGGCTCCCAGGAAAAACTTCCTCCTCTTCTCTTCTCTTTTCTTCTCTTCACCCACACCAGGTCACATCGCCATCACACACACATTGCACATCGCACATCGCACACCACACACAGCACAATGCCTCCATCAACCCCCATCAGACACACATGCGTCGGCTCTTTGCAGTCCCAGGTTCCAGTCCTGGCCCCCTATACACCAGCATCCCTTAAGAAAATCACCAAAAAAAGTTCAAAAACCACAAAACCACAAAAAAACAGTTTCCTTGCTTGTTCATTTAACACGACTGATGGATCTACACATGCAGCACCACATATGCGCCCTCGGATGGCCACAGACACCATTTCTACCCCCAACGCAGCACGCTCTTTTGTTTCTGATGTTTCTGATGCTTCTGTTTCTTCTCTTTCTGTTGCTCTTTCTGCTCTTTCTGCTCTTTGCCCCACGACACCAGCCACTCCTGGCGCGCCTCTGCGCCGCCAGGGAGTCGCGCACCCTCGTTTTGCTGCCTTTGACGGCTCGCTTGAGTTTGTCCGTCCCACACTGCACCTTACCCCCTTGACGCGCAGGCTTCAGTTTGCTGCTGTCTACCGCCGTTTGGCCGTGTCCACTCCCTCACCAGCCTCTCCGGGCTCGTCTGATTCACTCTCTGGCTTCTCGGGCAGTTGCCGGCCCAGCCCCCCTCGTTTTGTCAACCAACTGACCCACGATCTTTCTCTCTGCCCTCAGGGCGAGCTTGTGCGCTGGGAGTCCAGCCTTGCCTTGGACTCGGGGAAACTCGAGGCCGCTGGCAGTTGGGTCTCCAACCTTGCCTCTCCCTTGTCCTGCGAATCCGCCGTTGTCAGCCCAGTGGCCTCATCGGTCAATGACCCCTGGTCCCCTCGTTCTCTCAGCACAGTCACAGTCGCTTCAGACTCTCCGCTCGCTGGCCGCCATCGCCTTCCAATGGTCCCATCGCAACAGTCATGTACCCTTCTCGGAATGCTCGCTGGCAAGCGATTCTGGAGATTTTCGTCCTTCCTCAAGCAGGCATACATCAACACCCTCCATCGGGATGACCCCCAGCAGTCTTTGCAGACCCCAGACAACCTCACAAGGACAGTGGCCCTCCACAAGTGGATCACAGACATTCCAACCCCAGTCACCCCTTCGCCGTTCCAGGCACCTACCGCCATTGGCTCTTGCCCGTCGCTCTTTTCTTCGCCCATGTCGCCGCCCGTGTCGTCGCCCATGTCGCCCTCCCTTCGCTTCACCTCGGGTTCTCCGGACTCGTTGGCATTCCTTTCTCAGCCCTCGTCGCCAGTGGCGTCGCCCTCCACTCGCTCGCCCCTTGCGGCCTCTGTTCGTTCAGAACACCCCCCTCCTGTCGTTGAAGCTGAATCCCCCCACAACCCCAACCTGACCGACGCTCTTGCGAAGCTCAAGGAGCTGATCGAGGCCGGTCCCCCTGTCGCTCTTTCTTCTCCCTCTTCCTCCCCCAGTGTGTCGCCTGCTCTTAGCACTCGTTCTGCTCTTGCTGCCACTCGCTCGCTCAAGCGCAAGCTTCCCCAGGATGCTTCGCCACCCCCTCGCCGCCTTCGCCCGGCTGTCACTCGCTTTGAAGCTCCCACCCCCGTCTTTCATTTTGCCCCTGCCCTTCCAGAGTCTGTTCCTTCGTTCCCTGTTGATGTTCCAGCCATGCCAGGCACGTTCCCTGCCGATTTTCCCACGGAAATCCGCCTCGAACCCACTACAGTCACTCCCTCACCCACCTCGTCATCTCTGCCCTGGAAGACGATTGGTATCGCTGTGGGCGCTTTTGCCCTCGGCGTCGCTGTCTCTCGTTATCTGTTTTAGTCATTTGGTTTTCTTGTACGACACACTTGGGTCACACTGACACTGTTTCCCCATCTCCCCTCGGCGTATCACACTCTTTCGGCATTGAGCTTGTTTCTGGTTGTCTTCCATTCTGTTGTCTGCCCCCCTCCCAACTCGCAAGTTGCGCATTCCTTCTTCTGCTTCTGCTTCTGCTTCTGCTTCTGCTTCTGCTTCTGCTTCTGCTTCTGCTTCTGCTTCTGCTTCTGCTTCTGCTTCTGCTTCTGCTTCTGCTTCTGCTTCTGCTTCTGCTTCTGCTTCTGCTTCTGCTTCTTCTGGTCTCGGCTCTCGGTCTCCTCTTCTTGCTTTGTGTTGCATTGTTGACACGTCGTTCTTTTCGCATCTCGTGCAATCTTCACTCGTTTGACTAACAACTAACGTCAATCCAGTTTAGAAGACGGTCGGCGGCGTTGAACCCGAAACCTTGACGAGGTGAGTGCCCCCAGCCCGTGTTGTTTGCTGACAGTGTTTCTAGGTGGCAGCGGCCATAATTTAGGGCTGTCTGTCTTTTCATCCAAATATACTTATCGCAGGTAGGTGATCTCCTATGTCGCAACGTCTGTGTTGCCTCTTGTTTATGCTTTTGCCGCCTCCAAGTGGATCAACTCTACTTGCCTGTTTCAAGTGGAAACTTGTGTGTAAAATATGTATGGGTGGTTTCACTTCTATTCCGTATATGTCCGAGGACATACATGGCGGTAAAATATGTATATTTACATTTACCGAGTTAGAAAAGACTTCCAAGTAGCAGTTCTATGGAAGCAAACCCAGAGCGTCCTTGACAAGTTTTATGTGCAGATTGGTGAGCTGGAGTAACCGGGTACTAAAGTCCTGCAGTCCAACTTATACCTGAGTTACGTGTGGTTTCGTTTTTAATCCCCATATATATAAAATATATATAGCACTTTTATATAGTAGTAAACACTTAAGACCTAGCGTCTAAAAAAATATAGTACTAATAATAATAGAAAGAGAATATAGTACATTTATAGGTATATAGCTAAACCTTATACTATATAAATAAGGTTAGAAGGTATCACTCCTAATAATACTATATTAAAAAGTTAATAAAGTAATTATATAATAAGACTAAAATAATCTTAAAATAGCCCCTATAAAAAGAAGAATTTTATAATATAAGACTTAATAAGTTAATTTTTTCTATTAATATACTTATTATATAACTATTTAAATCTACTTTTATTAAATAAGTTAAATATATTATAATCCTTATTTTAAATATATAATTAATAGAATAATAATACTATAATAATAAACCTATTTAAAAACCTTTTATATAAATTCTATAAAAGATTAAAACTTTTAAAAAACTAAATAGAGTTTATTTACTATATATTAAATAAATACTATATAAAAAAAGTAAAAATTTAAATACTTAAAAATTAAATCTTTCTCCTTTAAATATACTACTTTATTATTAAGAATTTATTTATTTCTATATAATATATAAGGAATATAGTGAAAGAGAGAGCTTTATAAGGGAAGCTAATAACTCTATATATAGATAAATTTAAGGGTATATATTAAGTAATTATTAACTTTATACTTAAAATATAAGCTGATAATTAGTCTAAAAGCTAAGAAGATAATAAATAGATAAATAGTTAAATAAAAAATATAATGTGGCCGAAGCCATACCCGAGTTACAAACTTGGATTCTAGGCCTAACCAGTTAATTTCCCTGGCGTCTCTACCTTTGCATAGGGAAGGTGTTGTAGCCCAAGCCGTATCCAAACTCGTACCGTGGTGTGATGTATTTGGTGTCGGACCATCGATGATCTACGAGCACGCCCTCAAATAAAGTCCTCACAGTCGGCCGAGGTGCAGACCCCGCTGCGTAGTCCGACTCGTTCTCGGGTATGGGATATGTCGTTTTCCCGGATGGATTCACATCACCGTAGAGCACTTCGGCGATTGCGTTGCCGCCACCCTGGCGTGGGTTCGGGGTCGACACGGACGTAGATAAGTCCACTGAGACCTATGCGGCGAACTCGGCTGTCTGCCTCGTTGTTTCGGCAAAAGGCTGAGGCAACGTGACCACGGGACGTACTGTATTCTCTCTGTACTGTTATTGGCACTGTATTTTTTCTAAACGCTGGGTCTTGAGCGTTTATCACCGTATGAAGGCGCCATGTATGTCTTCGGATGCATGCGGAATAGAAGCGAAACCACTTAAAAAAGCATACAATGCCGATAATAGTGGTAATAAACAAAAGCGAATATTCACAAGGCAAGAAATAGACAGTATAACTATTGAATCCAGTATGGATCCTAGCGCGCGCTCTCTAGTGGGCCGTCCACCGGCATGGACGAATTGCACTCGTTCACTGAGTCACACATTGCGACTTTACTAAGCAGAAGGTTTTCAAGAAGCTTCCACCGACCTTGCATGACTCACTTGCATCTTCGCGAGCAAAGAATTCATTGGACCACGGCATGGATGTGGTCAGGGCTCTAGCTTGGTTGGCAGAACTTCCTCCTTCTCGTATTGCTTGGCGCTGAGGGGCATTACAAGCGCTCTATGCATCAGACCCCTGAAAGGACAACTGTTCGTGGATGACAACATAGATAAAGAATAGCATCAACCAATCTTCAAAGTCCAAAATCACAAAATCAGCACTGATCCTGACGCAATACAAGCAAAATACAATCGTCATGGGTTCCTTCGGCACAATCTATTCCTACCCAAATAACTGGAGGGTGTCGCGCGTAAGTCCGAAAGAAAGCACACGTTGAGTGATTATAGCAAACTGTGGCAGGTCCGTTCCTCTAATGTATCCCAGGCCCAAGTTGTTGCGGCTATCAATGGCTTGAAGATCGACGTTCCTGAGTTCCAATTCGGCCAGGCAAACAAGTCTGAAGATTTCCTCAGCAAGTTCCCGCTCGGCAAGGTCCCGGCATTCGAGGGAGCCGATGGTTTCACCCTGACTGAGGGCGCCGCGATTGCGACATACCTGGCCGGCAGTGGGCCCCGTGCTGAGCAACTCCTCGGCTCCGATATCAAGACCCAGGCCAAGATCGCCGAGTGGACGCTGTTCACCGAGACCGAGCTCGTGTCACACGCCACACCACCCTTGCTCATGATGATCAAGCTCGTGCCCTTCGACGGTTCGCGGTATGATTTCTCCGCATCAGCGTTCGAGCGTGCGCTGCAAAAGGTCGAGGCGGCTGCTAAAAGCGGCAAGAAGTACCTTGTTGGAGAGCAACTGACGCTGGCTGACCTGACTGTCTCGGCCGCACTGTTCTGGGCCAGCGGGTTCCTGCTAGACGCGCAGATGAGGAAGGCCGCGCCGGCCACGGTCGAATATCTCAAGGGGATTGCGACGACCCCCGAGTTTGCTAAGGTTTTTGGGGAGTACAAACCTTGTGAGACCCGGATCAAGGGCGCCGCATGAGATCTCGACCAAGACTTGCACGGGAGAAAAAGATCGCATCACCATGGTATACCAAACACTCCCAAATTCATTATTGATCAATGCTTTTCCCAAGCCATTTAGATGGAGTTATTGAGACTGGCCTAAAAGAAGACTGCTGTCATTAGTGGCTTTTTCCGTTTCCTGTTTGAACACTATGTGGTTTCGCTTCTATTCCGTATACGTCCGAGGACATACATGGCGCCTTCATACACTATCACATGTATTTCTGCCTGTGTCTTGAACCACCATTCCGGCTGAGGACCTACTTTGCATAATTATTAGGCCCGGCAGACTCAATGGGATAAGTACTCAGTTGATAATACCAGCTCGAGCCCAGAGTCCTAGTAGTTACCTGCATGTGTAGAAGTATTACTGCACTTAGGTACATGACGAATGGATCTTGTATTTTCCAAGCTGACCGGAGATTTGGCCGTGTGCTTACCGTACTATGAAGACCCAGGTGCCATGGACCACGATGTCACATAAAACCCCAAACATTTGTCTTGTACCTGAGTTTGTTGATCCCGAGCCAAGAAAACACTTGCATCGATAACACATTTGCCTCTGTTTGTGGTATCAATTCCTGCTTAGTTTCTGTTCATTAGTTACCTTACGCCCTCATGGACATGGTGGCTCGCCACCAGGCAAACTAATCATCCATTCCACAGCCCTCACGACCTGGTCCTCAAAGGGCACATACTTCTTACCCAGCAGCTCATCCTCCGCTCTAGTAGCGTCAAAATTGACCGTATGAGTCCGCACCTTGCCAGGGAAAGTCAGTTTCTTCGCAAGCTCGGGCAATCTCCGCTTGATGATCCCCTGCGCGTCCTCGATGCGTGCTCCATGAGGCGATTCTACTGCCATGACCCATACCTCAAGGTTGTTCCGGGACGGTAAGGGCACCGAGAGTGCCCTGACGTGGCCAAGCGCCACATCGTCGATCCAGACAAACTCACCACGAATAGGTGTCATCTGCTCTATGGGAACGCCCACTAATACCTGTCAGTTACGTACTGCGGAGTCATCCCCCGATATATCCTAAATTGCCCCAATAATGTCAAAGGCGGGGAGCCGCAGAAGGGGAAGACGCTACTTACAGACCGGGTTGATGACTTCACGCAGGTCGGCCATCACCCAGGACAGTGTGAGGTTGGCCGTCCCCATTGCCTCGGCTCTATTGGTGATGAACAGGCCTGGCCCTAGAACCCATCCAGGGCAAAGGAGTACAATTTGGAAATGTGACTCGGGGTTTGTGGCAGCGTATTCCCTCGCAAGGTTGCCGCTTGCAATCTTGGAGTCCACATATCGTTGGAACACGGGGGCATTGTCGTCCGGTCTTTCAGCCGGCAGAGGGAAGTATGTGGCCCCCGTCATCAAAGGCATTGTCTCGGAAGTCTCGCAGTTGGGGTGTGTGAATCTAGGGTCTCCCGGATTCACGAGCGATGCGATAGAACCGGTGATCACCACCCTCTTTACCAGGGGCTCGCACTCTGCGGCATTGAGGATGGCTTTTGTGCCGTCTTGTGCCGGCGTACGCATATCCATGGGTCGAGGAGGAACAGTAGGGATGGGAGAAGCCACATGAACGACTGCAGGACCGATAGTCAGCTATAAAAGTATCGAGGTAGTAGTCATATGCATATAGAAGTAAAGGGCCACAGCATGGGTGTGGTCTGCACCATGGCTTGCTGTTTGATTGGACCTTTGTATTAGGCCGTACGTGGAAGAGAACCTTCCTCGGACTCGGGGCTGTATTCAGAGGTGGCTCACTGTAACTACAGCCCATCACAACCTCAAGGAACGCATCTGGCTCGGAGATATCCGGTACAATGCTCCACTGGATTTGGCTGGACAACCGCTTGATGAGGGGGTGGGCTGTTGCCTTGTCGATGGCATCTTGCCTGCGGACGACCGCACGCACTTGGTACCCGGCTTTACAAAGGGCCACTAGTACTGCACTGCCCACAACCCCATTTCCACCAGTCAAGAGCACATGTTCGGGTGGTGACATTGTGGCAGGGCTATTATTTGTGTCTGTGTGTGTGGGGGGTTGGTATGTTTGAAAAATGTATTTCTTTTGTCAACTCGAGAAGGCTCTTCACCAGTCCCACCTCCTCTTTATAACCTTTTACAACCTCACAGTACTTACGGCTTGTTTGAAAACAGTACTTGCATTGGTCAATGGCATGGCTCATAGCCGGACTCTACAGCCATGTAGCATCCGCATAAGCTGACACCAAAACAATCGCTGCATGGGGAGGTGGTTTTACTTCCTTGTATCTATACACGCTGCAATCCAAAACCCCATTGATCACTTAGCTGGAAATGATCTTAATTGGCACGGTTTGTTAACTCGGAAACACGTATCACTATAAGCACTAGCTGGCCTACAGCTTGACAAGCATTAGCTCTTGGACTAACTGTAAGCCAGAAAGCATGTTCGTCCAGTCCATCAAAACTGTAGTGTAAGCCTTGCAACTCAGTAAACTGGATGGTTTCCTTTCATTGCTGCCGAGATTGGGTGCAGTGTGGTAAGAGCAGTGTCAGATATAAGCTGAGATTTCAACCTCGCAGTAACTGCCCCGGTGCGCAACCACGCGATGACCGATTCCTACTCTCAACGGCTTGCGTATTCAATCAATCTGTCTTGTCCTGAAGGTCGCCTGCCTGGTCCAAAGCCACACCACACCGTCTTGGGGTTGACCGGGACCTACCCAGGTACCGAGGTAGATATCTGCCGATTGTAAACCTGGTCCAACTGGATTCACATGCCAAGCCGCCCGGGCGTGACTTCAATAATCAGTCATATGGGGAAGCAATCTGATATTGCAGCTGACGTGTCTGCCGGGAAAGCCAGTAGTCTAAGACGGGATTAGTCGCAGAGAAGATGCGAATTGGGTGACAGTAGAGGCGGCCGCTCGGATAGGACGGCCGTGTCACAGCAGCACGACTTACTTCTTGCCTGCGTCTGTTGCGCAGCAGCAGAAGAACAGGGCGAGGGGCCAGCAAATGAAGGCAAGGCAAACTGCCACGACGAATCCGATCGTGGGACCTACGGTTGGAATTGGTGGGAAGGTCAGGCGTGATCACATGCGTCTCGGACCCTGCTTGAGCTCACCGATGAATTTGAAGTGACATGGGTTGTTTACTCCCGGTCCACACTGAATGCAGACCACCGGTAGCGGCAAGCAATCCATTGCACTGTTCTTTCGCGTGCCTCACTGGCGGGGAGAGGTGCTTTCCGACGCCCTGTAACGGTGAGATGAGACGTTGTAGTAAGGCCTGCCCCGCGAGAGAAGCCCGCGTATGCCAACAGCCTTTGGCTGACGTCAACCGTATCCTGCGGAAGCCCCCACTGCTCGTCACATGCATACATGCCTGCTTGCGGGGTCAGGGCCACCCGCTCTGCCCCCTTTGCCCCTTTACACAGCATCGAGCACACAGTCCGGTCAGGTGGAAGCAAGGCCCTGGGCCAGGCGTACAACACGATTGGCCGGTCGCATCTCCCAGGAGCAAGGAAGGGAGTGGCCTTGCTCCGGTGGTGAGACCTTCTGGCCTCGCCCATGCCAGACGTGTCCTCCTCACCTGCTGTAACTGCGGCTGGTCCTCTGCTTCTGCAACTTTTTCCTCACGCTGCCTTGGGAATCAAAGGATGACCTCACGCCCGCGGCTGTGCTGGCAGGCTCTCCGAGGCCGTGTTGCTCGGGCAGCCCAAATGTACCGGCCGGGAGGATCTCAAAATTGGCGTTCACCTTCCGCGCGCTAGTGTTGATGTACCTACAGCTCGTTTCTCCATCAGCGTCTGCATGCTCGGGCGGGCGGGAGAGACAAGCGTGATGATCCCTTACTTACGTATCACTGGGCCCAAAGGTGGGACTGGGCTGCGCCGCGAAACAGGCGCCGGCCCCAGGCCGAGGCTGCTGGTCGGAAGCATTCGACTGCGGGCGGGGCTGTTGGATGTAATTGGCGCTGCGGCTGCTGTTTGGGGGGTATCGCAGTGCAGTCGCCGCCGACGATCGTATGGCCGCGTCGTGCTGCTGTTGCTCGTGCATGGAGCTCCCGTCCTCCGAGGACGAATGACGTGCTTGGCCCTCGTGCGCCGAGGGCAAGTGGTGGGAGCGCCTACGGCCGAACGTCAGCTCGGATGCTGCGGTCAGGTCGCTGCTGGAGAAGACCGGGTGGTGTTCGAGCGGCGGCGGCTGCGGTTGCGGCTGCGGCTGCGACTGCGGCCCTGGCACGAACCCCTTGAGCTCCTCCACGCTTGTCGCAAACGACTCCACCGACGAGGTGCTCGAAACCCACGACGCCTTGCGCAGATGATGGCTTCGGGAAGTGGTCGCCGCCGGCCGCGATTGCTGCGTGCTTCTGACGGCAGTCGGTCCACACTTTGCAGCTCCTGCTGAGTTGTTGTTTGATATGCTGTAAAGACTCGACTTCCGCCCCGGAACCGACTCATTACTGGAAATCCCGCGTCTGGGCGCGGCTGATGCGGCAACTTGTGGGTAAAAACGTTGGGGTTTTCTCGCCTCGGCGTTGTTGCGGAACTCTCTGGCTTCTTGTCCGCCACCACGCTTACTCTGCTGCTGGACCCATAACTCGGACGAGGCCATCTTCTTGAGAGATCTCTGTATCCGGCCAAGAGGTCCTGCGTGCCCAGGCTGAGACTGGCCGGCAATGTCCTCCTCGCAAGCAATACTGTCCTGGAGCCGTCTATCTGCTTCGGAGTCATTGGGTCGAAGCTGTGCTTCACGAGGCGGCGGGCTCTCGGGCTTCTTTCCAGGCTGTGCAGAGTGCTTGAGGCTCTCCTTCTTGGCAATTCCACCAGCCCTGCCAGAAACTTTCCTGCTGGAAGTCCATTTCCTGTCCGGCGGCCGTGTCGCCATGGACACCATCCTCACAACCCAAACGCCGTCTGCCTCGGCGCCTGACTCGATGGCCTTGACTCCAAACGGAATCTCTCTCTCCAGCCGAGACCTGCGTGTATCAGCTGAAAGTCCAGGCCTGTGTATCTGGGGAGTGCGCTCTTGTTTCTCGGCGTCGAGCTGCTCGATTCTCTCCATGTGGCGATTCGTCCACCACAGCTTCACCAGGCCGATCAGAAACACGAGGGCAATACCCATGGCCAGGACGAAGGTCATCTGCTGCCATAGCTCCCAGGATGCGAAGAAGGTCCGGCTTGCCATGGTATGATATCGAGCGAGTCCACACGGGACAAGAAAGGCACGAGCGCAACGCCTGTGGGGAGCGGGTGTGGGCGTTTATTGTGTTACGACACCTATGGGCCGGAAGTCGAGCAGTCTCCTGTTCCCTGGTCCACAAGAAAACTCATGAGTTCGGGTCTCCTGGTATGACCCGTCTGCGACTGCAACGAGACAGTTGGCCACACAAGCTGCTGTGGCCCCAATGCCTGCACATACGACGGGCGAATAGAAGGGGACGGTGGTGCGGACTGGCAGACTGGGAGGCTGGGAGACTGGGACACTGGCCAACACGACCTGGGTTGCGGGACAAAGAAAAATAAGCAAAAGGGTATTGTCCCGAAATGAGGGCAGTCGGAGCAAACGGCAGGCTCGGAGAGACGAGGACCAGAGGCAGTGGCAGCCCAGCAGCCCCGGCCGGGGCTGGCCTGGCCTGTGAGACAATGACGCGGATACGCACAGGACGAGGGCCCAATTGACCCACAATATTGGAAGAAATGAGGTAGGTAAGGGGGGGGGCACCGATCGCTCCCAGATGAGCACAGTCTGAGATGGGCGATGGGCGGCCCGACTTGTGCTGTGGTTTCTTGCTATTACTGAGAGAATCACCCTGGCCCGTCTCAGTGAAGTTGTATTTTAGACTGCGGCGTCTACCTGGACTAGGTCCCTACCTAGGTACCTAGGTAGGTACTTGGTAGGGTAGGCTGGGAGTCACCTGCCAGGCTGGTGCTGTTGGGCAAGCGTGGGACCAATGTTGCGGCGGCCAATCAAGTTGGATCAGGTAGGCGAAAGAAGCAAGTGGTGATGTGCTGACCGGTTGGTTCTCGTCAGTACGCTGCCAAGGTGACCCTGCCCTTCACGTCACCTACCGTGCTGCCGTGTCCGTTTGTAGATGGGTGTCGGCCTTTTTAGGCTTCATGTCCTTGGGCTTCGTTCTTTTGGATGAGCCATCATGCCCTTGTTCCTACTTCGTCAGGGGCATACCCAGTGTTTATCGCCCCTTCCACCGTGCTTGCAGCCATCGCAGACCCGCCGCATTCCCATTAAACCGCGACCATTTACCGGCACAAGGAACGATTCAAACCAGCTCTTCTATCCTGTTACAACAATGCATCTGAGCTCGTATGTCTACGAGCCCCGGGTATCTTCTCTATCCGCTCCAGGCTAAGAGCTCTCACGACCATGACGATCAGCAAGTTGCAGCCGTGCGGCGCGCCCCCAACCAGGTGTCAGCACCTCTGCCAGTTGGCGACTCCCACCGCCAGGCTGGGCGTTGCTTGAGGTGCGCGGGCGAGCATGCCCCCGTTGACTGACATCGCTCTTGCAGAGCCTAACCGTCGATAAATGCCTCGTTTCGAGCCTGCTGATGTTTTTGGTCTGGGTGATTTGCAATGAGGCGCTACGTCAAACCAACAGTCAGTCTGCCTGCGAACTCCTGAACAACCCCCGTCCGCTCGAGCATGTGCAAGGGTTCAATCGAATACATACCACCAGATTCCGCAGCAAACACGCAATCGTCACCTTGCCGACCGAGGGAACATAGATGGATGCCTTCTCCTTGACCGCTGGGCCGTCGAAGTTGCGGAAGGACGAGAAGTTGATGCACACAGCACCATCCCGGATCAGATCGATCGGCAGCTTGTAGCTCTCAACGGGCACACCCCCGATCACGACGTCGCTTATGGGGAGAACATTCTTCAAGTCCCAGCCATCCTTGTCCTCAACCTGGTGGCGGTGGCTTTTGATTCCCTGACCGCGCGTGAACAGCTGCACACCGGTGATGTCTACTGAGTATACCTGCGCGCCATCATTTGCTAGCAGCGCAGCAAGGGGCCGGCCGTTGACCTCGGATCGGTTGATGACAGTTATGGTCTTGCCGTACAGCCTGTTACCTTCGGCCAGGATCGGGTTGTAGATGTGCAGGTGCTCCAGGATCTTGAGGACGGCGAGTGGCGTGCAGGGCAGGATGGACTTCTTGAGGTTCGTCGGGGGGTCTAGGTACCGCACGTTGTGGTACATGTTGCTCAAGTGCTTGAAGCAGAGGCCCTCAACGTCCTTCTCCAGTGCCACCGTCTCCTTGATGTAATTGTCCTTGGCCACGTTGTCGGGCCATATCGGGTAGTAAACGAGGATCCCGTTGACCTTGTCGTCCTCGTTGGCGGTGCGGACCTCGTGCTCTAGGGCTTCTTTGTCGATACGTCGCAGGTCGAAGGTGAAACCGCTGTTGTGATCGAGTCAGCGGCTGTGCAACAGCCCGTGATGGGCAGCCGGCCCCCGCCTGGTTGCTACAGGGTCGGGCCCAGCCTCGCGCAGCAGGAAAGCCAAGGAGCAACACATACTTTTCCTCGCAGGTCTTCTGCGAGTATTCCGCATACTTGACTGCGGCCTCGTCGTCGTTGGCCAGGAAGGCCACGAGCCGGGGCTTCCCGTTGCCAATAGAGGCAAGGGTCTCCTGGGCCTCCTGGAGCAGCTTCCTTGCTATGGTGTCTGCAAGAATGACCTTGCAGGTTTTGGGGGGCGCCGCCATGGTCTGGGGACAGGAGTGCGTCAGCAGTCGAGAGCAGCAAAGAGTGGCTGCCGATGTCATCGTGAAGTGGTCTGTGGGGGGTGGGATGGCGACGGCCATGGCTTCCCTGGGGAGGTGTGGTTCATATACGGGTTGATGTCGTATGACACAGGCCATTCTGGGTACAGGGCAATAACAAGCTTGCCTCCACCGGTGTCGAATTTGAGACGGCCGAAGTGGATTCACTTACACAACCCGAAGCGGAGCGGGACGCAGGTGACGAGACCTGGCTTGGGCAGGTAGGTATTATTATACTCGGTCCGGAGGGCAGGACGGCAGCACAGATGGCTCGAGACCCCTTCTTCTCCCTCCTTCTTGGACTTGCCCGGCCGTCGGATGCCTGAGATGCCCACCTTCGCTTTTGAGAAGGGGGGGGTGACAAATTAATGGACTGGTCGTCTAGTAGCTCAGGGGGAGGCGCATGGACGGTCTGCCAGTTGACCACGCCAGAACAATCGGAGACGATGAGGAAGAAGATCCGTGCCTGGAGCCATGCTGGCGCCAAAAATTCCTCGAGCCCAAATTCTTTCCCATGACTCTTGCGCCGACGGTACCTTGGAGGGGCTGGCCCCTTATCGATTCTCCGATAAACAGGAGTCATAGCAGAAATTGCAGGCCCTGAGCGCTGCCCCTCTTACCGGGGACAGTATAGCGGCGGCTCAGTAGCGCAGGTGGCAGGGGCTGCCGTGCCCAGGGCGGCTCACCGCCTACGATAACAGGCAGTAGCCATCCCATCCTTGCGCCCGCCCCCCGGAGCTGGCAGAACTCCCGCCGCTGCCGGGACTTTGGCCAATGCGCGCCGACTGGTGAGCAAACCGACCGCTCGCCTGGTTCCTGTAGCTGCGCGACGACAATATCTCTGGTCTCATTCACTTTTCTGCATTGTGCACGGTCGCCCAAAATCGTCCGAAGGGTCTTTTCTTAGCACTTCAGGTTGAGCCACAAGACGAGAACCAGTATGTCGGCCCACTTGGAGGAGCTTGCCGTGCGCTTCGTCGAACGAGATGGCCTCTCTTTGGAGGACCAGCAGAAGATCGCTGCAGATGCGGCTGACTGTGTGTTGGGTTCCTGTCAAAGACAACAACCTCCCGCCTTCGTCACGAACTGGAGTTGACCATGGTCACAGATGTCTTGGACCCGGCGAAGCATGGCTTTCCCCAGGAGCAAACCGTGCTGGCTTTGGTCAAATCAATACATCGCTGGATCGCCTCCGGGGACGGAGAGCAGCCGTCAGACTTCGCAGAGAGGAACAGGGAGAAACATGCCAGGGGTATGTCGAGCTTGGCGTTCTCATTCAACACAAATGCCTACGCAGTGCAGACGTTGATACCTCGCAGGTCTGAGATACTTGGCCATGACTTTGACTGCTCTGCCAAAGGACTTTTTGCAGTCAACCCACAGTAAGCATGCTCTGCCATGTGGATTCTACAACCCAGCAATACATACTAAATGCATCAATTAGTCAAAATGCTCTCAAATTTCTTCAGCTCGATATTCCAGCAGCAAGATCCAGCGGGTCTCTCAGCAGCTGCCGACGCTTTGCTGGTCCTGATCACAAGAAGCAACTTCCCGCCCTCGTCTGCGGACGACATACTCACGAGCCTTGGGGACATGGAACCCGAGAACTACACAAAGCAGCTTGCCAAGACTCGACTGCAGATTCTTCGGATTGTCCAAACCCTGCTTCTCAACGACAAAAGCGCACGAGTTCTCCAGAAGCGCTATGAAGGCGCCACATTCTTGTTGCGGATTTTGCCCTTAGCCCAAAAGGAGAGGGATCCTGTCAACCTGCTAGAGTGGTTCCAGACACTAGAGACAGTCTTGAAGAACAACGAGATCTCTTCCGAGGTCTCACTTGCCGCCTTCGAATCGTTCTCCCCATTCTTTCCCATCTCCATCCGCAAGTCCACGGCTGGTGGACCAGAGACCACGGAAGACGAGCTGAAGGAGGCTTTGAGGACTTGTTTTGCGTCAAACGGGCGTCTGGCACAACACACATTTTCGTTCTTGTTGGAGAAGCTTGACGACGGCGGAAGCCTGACTGCGTCAGCCAAGGTGAGTTTCGCTAATCGGCGTTTTCGTATGCGAGGAGCTTTGCTTCGATTTCCAGCATACACCCGATCGAGATCTCTCGTGCTGACGGAATAGCTCGATATCCTCCGAACGATCAGGGCATGCGTGTCCAGCTACGAGCCGGTTGACACCACGCTGGTGCCTTATGTCACAAAGCTGTGGTCCTCTCTAAAGTACGAAGTCCGAAACGGAGAGGTACCAGAGGCGATTCAGGAGACGCTATCCATTTTTGAGTGTCTCACGGGCCGACTGTCGGAGCTCGATGACTCCGACGCAGCCCTTGCGGAGTTCCTCTCGCTGGCCTGGAGAGACACTGCCGATGACCTCGAGAATCCCACCTACACAGAGCAGGCTGGTTCAATCCTGGTCAGCGTGGCGGGCGGCAGCGTGCTGGCCTTTTGCCGCACCAACCCCCGTCTGCTCGAGGTTGTAAGACGGAATATCGGGCAGCCGAAATCGTCAACTCATACCAAAACCCTTCTTGGGCTGCTCAACAATCTGGTTCGGACCCACCGAAGACTGACAGCCAAGGCGGACACGTGGTCCGAGCATGACATGCGCGCTTTCGATGCTGACGGTTTTGAGATTCCTGTAGCCGTGGTCGACGACATATACTTCAAAGTTTTTCGAGAAAATGTCACTGAAAATCCCAGCAAAGAACAAGTCGAAATCGCCAAGGAAATTGTCAGTGGCCTTTCTCTGTTAGTTGAGGTGCAACGGCTTCGGTCGGATTTCACAACGACTGCAGCTTACAAGGAAGACACACTGAGGGAAATCTGTACAGCTCTGTCGTATCGGGCCATCAATTCTTTTAATGTCTCGTCAGTAGCCTCAGCAGATCTATACACCGTCGATATTTCTGCTGTTGTGGCTCTCAAGACCATCGTCAAGGTGTTCCCAGAGGGTTATGCCAAGATCCTTTCCGGCCTAGTGGGTGAGGTTCAAAAGAGGACCTGGAAAGGGACGGGATCGGATCGTACCTTCAACGATTTGCACAGCATGTGCCAACGCATAGCTTACATTGGCTGTGCTGACTTACCTACATCCGGAAACCCTATTGCCAACTTCGCGTTGTTTGCGGGCACATTGCTCAAAATTCTGAGTGTTCTGTTCAATGCCGAAGCCAGCATCAGGTTTTCTTCAGTCGTCGCTGATGCTCTCGCCACCGGAATGGTTTACTTTATCAAGGTCATCGAAGAAAAGGGCCTTAAACAGAAAGAGACCGTCCTAGACACCCGGAAGATCGGCGACCTCGAGAGCTTATTGCACGCCGAGATACCAGATTTTCCGAAGTTGCGTTACAAACAGGTCAACCCCTATGACCCAATTCCTTCAGCAAAGGCTATCAAGACCGCCAAACATTCTGTCTTCGCAAGCTTCCAAGTCGTGGGTGTGTATGTTGTGTCTGAGCTGTATCAACACGCCACGTCTCTATCGCTGCCTGCAGACAGCAGGATACCGCTGTTACACCTCAGCGATGCACTTCGTTCAGCGCAGAACATTGACGAGAACAGCCCGCGTGCAAGTGGAAATCTTGCTGCGTATCTCAGCGAGTTGGGACGAGCGGCTTGTCTCGTGCTCCGAGAGCTCAGCGCCACCGCGCAGATAAGTTTGGACTTAGACAACAGAGTTTTTGGTTGCTTCAACCATGTGCGCTGGCGGAGCTACGAAATGCCCCTGGTCAGACTGCACGACATGGAGCTTTACACACTATCTCGCGGCATCGCGGAGGCGATGCACTTCTCGACAGTGATGACACTAGTAAGTGGGAATGGGTCCAAACTAGATCCCCCCCCCCCCCAAGCTTTGACATGTGGAGTGCGGCTCCTGACATCCCTTTGCTGCCAGGCGGATATTAATTTCCTCAACCTTCTCACTGGCAACCTCGATGACCCCGTAGAAACCAGCCCCCGGGTGGAAGCTATCCAGGATTATGTGGCCTTCCTGCTCGCCAACAAGTTTAATGATCGAGCCGGTGGAGGACTCCGCGAAACATCGGTGCCAAACCAGGCCGTGTGGACCACGGTACTTGAGAGGATCGAGCAAGGCCTGAAGCAGCCCGAGTCCCTGGAGTTGAAAGAAGTCTGCCGCTTTGCAGCCATCCTCGCAGGAGCTTATGCTCGTCGTGATCTTCCTGCAGCCGCACTCGCCTCGACTGTGAGCCATGCAGCAGCCAAGTCGGGCACAGGAATGGGGCCTTACGTTGCGCGCATCCTGTCGCAGCTCTTCTCCTCACCCAAAAAGGGCCTCCTCGACCCGGCAAATCACACTATACAGAAGCCGCTCTACCTACAGTGGGCCTTCCAGCAGCTGGTCCAACCGGTCCTGCGGCTCTCGTACCCGCTGTCACGCGATGATACGAGCGTCGTGTACTCCATCTACGTCCTTCATGCTGTCAAAAGCCTGAGACTGAGCCACTACGCCGACGACGCCCCGGTCGTCGTCCGCATAGTCCTTGCTGCCATGCAGAAGGCTACCAACAGCTACGATGTCGAGGCTGCCTGCGGGATATCCCTCCATATTCTTGCAGGTGACCCAGCCTTGTTCAGGCCGCACGTTGCCTCGCTCGTCAAGGCGGCCAAGAGCGTCTACGACCGGTCATTTCCTGTTCCAGCTGTCCACAACCGGACTTTGACCGTTCAGGATGACAAGGACTGGCTTGTCGACAAGGACCAGGACACGCAAGGGGGCCGCTTTAGGTATGCCGGTGACAGAGAGAAGATCCGCAGGATGGCGCTGAGGACCCTCGAGGTGCTCCCGGCGCAGCTGGATGAGAACGACTTGCGGGCGTATGCCGATGAGGTGCGTGCACAATTATGTGTGGCTCTTGGCGACCGGGTGAGAGATGTCCGCCGCGCTGCAGAGGCTGCACAGTCCGCTTGGTCCAGGATCTCGACATGAGCCCTGTGAGACTGACGTGTCGATGTCTCCTCCCGGACATAATCCACCTGACTCGATCGGGGCTTCGACCGGGGCTAGCGCGAGCAAGTCAACATTTTCCATCACCCTTAGACAGCTCGGGTGCCTCCGTCAGGTACTTCTTCGGCTCGGGCGACAGCCGTCAGACCTCGCTCAGGGGACTTTCAAGAGCGCACAAGCTGCCATGAGCGACGGGGCTGTCACGAGGGCGCTGTTGCTGGGAAAATGAACGGAGACTCCCCGACCAGCGACAGTTTAGTCGACACGACCCAAGTCCAACGAATCGACCACACTGAACTCGTTGCCACAGAAAAGGTGAGGCTGATATTGGACAGTGTTTTCAGGCCCTTCAAGCACCCGGATGCCTTCTAGGGCCTAGAGTCAACTTGGTGGTTTTCTTAAGATTATAAGAGTAGATACCCTGGGCTACACAGAACACCACACACATCGTTGAGACAAAAAAATTAAGAATGGCCGAGAAACAGTGACGAAGACCACACCCCCCCATGGACGGACAACAGATCAGAAATAAAGCATTGCCGCCAGTGCCAAAGGCCATCTTTGAATATCACTACCCGCAGTATATAACGCATGGGTGAAGGGGATGGGACAGAGTAACTTGTGTCAAAATTGGAAACCATGTGAGCTGCACGTTATGGTTATGATTGCGGTTGGGGCAGAGGTAGTACTTGGCCACAGTGGTGGGTCTCGGTTCACAACAAGAGAAACAGAATTGAAAGGCTGGGCATCTGGTTTAAGTAAGTGGATTGAACAGCCCCGTACTGTGACCTTCTATTTGTGGACGGCTTGTCAAGTCTCTCCCATGCTGTTACCAGGCACACGTGGATTTATTCTTTTGAGAACCAGCCAAATATCTCCAGGCAGCGCCATGCTCGAAGTTCCTCCGGCTGCGCTACGCTTTCCGCCTCTTGCCTCCCTTCCTGGCGCTCGACCCAGTAGCCTCAGCCGTGTCGTCAGGCGATGCCCCCGCAGCAGCCAACATGGCACTCAGCTCCTCCTCTGTGTACTGTGATGCTGGCTCGCTGGCTGGGACGTTGGCCCTCTTAGGGTCCAGGCTGCCGATCATAGGAACGGTGGAGGCAAGCATGGCCTGGAAAGGAGTCACGACGAAGCGGCCGGCGGCGTCGAACCACTCTGTGAATGCGCGGGATAGGTTGATTGTGGTGGGGCTACCGGTCTTGGGAGTGATGGTGACGGCCAGGTTATAGACGGGGATGTTCTTCTTGGTGTGAGTCGCGATCGTGATCTGCTTGTTCCGCGCGGCGCCGGTCAGTCATTCCTCCCCTGCCTTTTCGGTCAGGAAAACATGTATTTACCGTCTCTCCGTTCGGCGCGGTGCCCACGTATACGATGCCCTTCTCCTTGAGCCACATCCACAGGGTCAGGGCTGTATTCAGCAGCGAGTAAACAGCGACCGCGCCGGCCGTGTAGTACTTTGTGCTTTCGAAGCCAAGCTTGTAGTCCCAGAGGAAACATGCTGCGGCCACGAGGAAAGCCGAGTACCCCAAGGCCAGTCTCACGTCCGTCAGGGTGTGCGACTGCTTCAGTCCCAGGCTGTTCAGGTAGTTGGGCAGCGCATCGTCGGAGGTGTTCTTCAAGTCTGCGAGGTTATAGAGTGTGATCTTTTCGGCGGAGACAGCCATATTGTATGGATTGTTCTGCTGTTCGCGGATGCTGCTGCCGCGGTCTAGCTCCGAGTGTGCGAGCAAGGTTGGAGGCAGTCTAACTTGGAGCAACACACAAGTGGACAGGTGGTGTCGAGCTTTGGGGGTCTTGGTCAGACGGTGATCTACCGACCTGCTGTGCAAGCTGTGGTACTGAGGTGTCCTTCTCGGGAAGCTCGAACAGGGGTCTGTCATGTACACGTGTAGGCGAGTACCTCTGTAACAAGTGGGCCGCTGGTAGGCCAGGCAGGGAAGGGTCCAAGCTTCGGCAGCAAGCTTCCTTTTGCCAGCTGCAACCTGCAACCCGCAACCCGCAACCCGCAACCCGCATCCCGCCCGCCCGGCTCCCAAAGCTCTTAGCAGTCGGCACCGCTGCCAGGTTCAACGGCCAGCAGCCCCATCGCAGACACACACCGCGCTCGACCAGCGTCGCCATGGCCCAGGTACCGGTGCAAACGATCCATAGGGATCCCCAGTTGTTGTGAGACCCGTCGAGACGTGAACATTACGCACCGCGTGGCGCCCCGCTGACCTAGTTCGCAGCTACTGGATCCTGTTCCCCATCACGGTGGTCATGGTACGGGCGACCCTTCTCTCCCTCCCAGCAACGCCCCCAGGCATCAGCTAACCGAGCCTGCCCTTCCAAGGTCCTGACTGGAATCCTACGACACTACGCGACCGTCCTCCTGGCGACGACGCCCAAGGCCCAGGAGCTCAGGGCGATCCGGGAGCAGCGCTCGTTGGCCCACGGCATCCAAGTGCGGTCCAACTTCCACGTGCTGTCCCGGCGGTCCTTCAACACCCGACGCGACGTGCTTACTGCCGCCTACGAGTCCGGTACTTACCTCAAGGCCCCTGAGAACAAGGGCCAGGCGCCGCCCAACCCCATGACCGACCCCAACGCCATGGAGGGCATGATGGGCGCCATGAAGGGCCAGATGGCCATGATCATCCCCAATACCATGATCATGAGCTGGATCAACGCCTTCTTCTCGGGCTATGTGATCAGTACGTCCACGTTTCTAGATCGCGCTGCTGCGCATCGACCGCCTCGAGAGGACGGCTTATTGACAATGTTGAACACGCAGTGAAGCTGCCGTTCCCCCTGACCATCAAGTTCAAGAGCATGCTTCAGGCTGGCGTGGCCACCAAGGACATGGACCCCAGGTGGATGTCTAGCATTTCATGGTACTTCTTGTGTATCTTTGGGCTCCAGCCTGTCTTCAACTTCATCCTGGGCAGTGACAACGGTAAGGCCACCCTCCATGCATGTCTAGCTGCCTCGTAGCTGACCACTCTTCTTTTCTTAGCCGCGAACCAGATGGCCCAACAGATGGGCCAGATGGGTCCCCAACAGGGCCAGCAGATGTTTGGCCCGGGGGTCGATCCGAACAAACAATTCCTCGGCGAGGCTGAGAATCTTGCTGTGATTGAGCACTACTCTGTTCTTGACAATGTGGAAGGCCGACTTCTCAAGGATATCGAGGTGTAGATGGAGTCGGTTGAGGGCGTATGGTAGCATGACGGGCAAGTATGTGTCGGGGTGTTCAGACGTGTGGTCATTTGCGGACAGCGAGGCCGGCAGGAAGATGTTAGTTTGCAAAAGCAGTTCTCAGAACTCCCACCAGAGTGTGCATCCCAGGCCTGGATTCTTCATGCTCCCTTTGATGACGTACGGCGGCTTCCTCTGCTCCTCGGAAGGGTCTTCGCCGGGCGCAACGGTAGGCTTGGTTGGCGTCTGGTCGTGCCACTCCTCGCCAATGACGGCAACGCGGACCGTCTCGTGGATGTCCCACCACATGGGCCCAGTCTCATCGTTGTTCCAGACCCAAAGCTGCTCATTATGGTCAAACTGGCACCCGTCTGGCAGCTCCTCGGCTTCCACAAATATGTCGCTGAAGAACTCAGTGCGCACTGTGAGTAATGCGTCAGTGAGGGCTGTGAGCAGCCAAGAAGACACCTGTGCAAGAAAAGAGCACGTACCGTGGATGCCTTCTGGCGTGCACTTTGAAATTTTCGCCATGATTACCTCACCTTTAAAAGGCCGGAAGACCACAAGACGGAACTCGGCTGATGACTTGGCGTCAGCTATTGTTGCTTGCAGCCGCGCAGTTTTTTTTTCTTGGGGGGCGGGGAGACAGCAGTACCGTTTACATTGGCATTTCCTGTGCCCTGGCGAACCAGACCTTCGGATGCCCACAAGAGATCATAGAGGCAGATACAAAGCCCGATTTTTTGGATCACCTGCTCCAAGACGGTCAGCCATGTGCATCTCAAAAGAACAAAATAGTTGTTACACCTGCCTTGTTCGCATATTTGGCATTAATGTTGTCCTCAATGGCATCGCTGCTCTTCTTGTGGAAGTCCTCGGGAGCAATCTGGACAAGGTCCGCAATTTTCGTCTTGACAACAAGTCAGACTGTTGAGTTCTCAAGTTCTGCATTGAAGACTTTTTTGCTTTTGGTTTTTAGTTACCAGGATGAACATTGTGATCTTGACAAGGCAAGGCAATGGTGTTGTGGCCTTGTGGGCTTGTGGGCTTGTGGGCTTGTGGGTAAGACTTGAGCTGTTTGCCAGACTGAATCTCACACAGCCTTTGACTTCAGTCCTTGAGGCTATCAGTTGATTGTCAGGGTCCCTCACGGTTGGTGTAATGTTTTTTTTCCTTGGCTGGGGTGGGTGACGAGTCACAGAGCCATGATAGTATGATACCAGTTCACCACAGAGAATGCAAGTCTTCTGAAAATGAACAGTGAGTGTCAGGATGACATTTGGTAGGCAGGTGACTGCAGAATGCTGCGGCTTGCCTAGAGGCTTTGACGACCCTGTCTAACTTCCAAGGTTGTCTGATCCATTCCTTGTCAGAGGTACAAGATACACCTCAGAGTCTTCCCTGAGGTCAGTCACTACGGAGTAATGCACGGATCAGCAAGTGCCCCCACACTTGGGGGCACTAACAAGGGATCCTTGTCTGGCCTGGTGCAGCTTTGGGGGGCCGACTCGACCTTGTCCACCTAGGCTGCTAGGCTAATAAATCAACCACCACCAAACCAAATCTGATGTTGCTCGACCATTGATAACTCTGCCAGAAACAACAGAATCTTGCAACCCCCCCTTTCATCACCACCACAGCTTCCCCTAGCGTCCATTAACTTTTGGTCTCTACCATCATTACAACGACAAGTGTTGTTTCCCAGGGGGCCTCACCAAAGACTTCTCACACCACTTGTCCAATCCGTGGTACCTCTCGTCTTTGTCCATCAAACCTCCCACGTCAGCCGTCCCTGGCATCTTCCACACCAATCTTGACCCGATCAGTCCCCATCGGATCCAGGTCTCTCAACGGCAGGCCTTGGATCGGTTACCATACCTGCCCCCGAGTGACCGGCCGACCGAACGTTTGCCGAGCCGATATTGACCACACGAGCAACGACCACCAGCCATCATGGCCTATAATTACGGCCCTCCTCCGCCCGCCCCGCCACCTGCCCCCTCAGCCGCGGGTGGCTATCCACAATATCCTCCATATCAAAGCCAAGGTGGCCGTGGCGGCCATTCAGCAAGAGCAGGTAGAGGCAACCACCATCCACACGCTGGCAATAGGCCCGATTACCAGGCTCCTAGCCCGTACGGGTACAATCCGCAACCACCTCAGCATCAGCCACAGCCATACGTTCCCCAGCATCCCGGTCAGCATCCAGGACAATTCCCTGCCCAGCACGCGCAGTCAGGCCCTGGCGGATACCCTCAAGCGCCACCGCAGCCACCGCAGCAATGGCCTGATCAGGGACACCAGCATCATGCCCCGGGTCCTCAGGCCTTACCTCCTCAGAATTACCATCCCAACTACGCTCAACACCTCTATCATCAGCAGCAGCAGCAGGCCTACGGACACCAGCAGGCACCACCACCGCAGCAGCAGCAGCAGCAGCAGCAGCAGACATACGGAGCCCCCCCTCCACAACCTTACGGCCAGCCGTATGCTGCTCCGCAACCGCCAAGTGGTCCTCCTCAGCAGTGGGGTGCTCCAGCCCCTGCTCCTGTGCCCTCGCACTCACCCCCTAACCAGCCTCATCAGCAGCAGTATGGAAGTGGCCGTGGCCGTGGAGGGCATCACAACTCGTCCAAAGCGCAACAAATGGGACCACCAATCAGGATGGGCTTTGACAACGCTCCTGTTCGGGACCCCAATGCTCCAGTGAGCAGCGGGTACCCACCGCAGCCGTACGGGCCTCCACAGGGGTCCAGCCCATATCCTCCTGCGCCGTATCAAGGCTATCCTCCCCCTCCTGCTGCACACCCTATCGCTGGTTCCCCGCACCAGCACGGCGCTGCGTTCCAACAGAACGGCCGCCCTCACGGTCGAGGAGGGTTTAATAACCACGGCAGCAACTTCAGACAGCGCCCCGGGTTCAATGACAACAAAGGTCGTCATCACCATCATCACCACCATAACAACCACAACAACAACAATAACAACAACAAGAAGTCGGGTGGGCCCCCTTCAGCTCCGCAGACGCACCATCAGAAGCCTGATGCCGCCTCAGCTGGAAAGAAGAAGAAGCGGAAGACCAATACTCTCGGTCTTACGCCCGGTGAGGAGTCCGAGGACGACCTAGACGAAGAAGCCAAGCTCAGCGAGCTCATCGGCAGCGAGGTCCCTGAGTATGTGCTCTCTTTGATCTCTGGCCAACGGCCTCCATGCTTACTGACGTGCCCAGACTCTCGGATATTGCTGCATGGATCGAAGAACGCAAGCGCAACTTTCCTACCCAGAACCGCGTCAAGGCCAAGTTGGCCACGAGTGGCATGAGCAAGAAGGGGGACGCCAAGGACGAGCGTACTTTAGCTCTTGAGAAGGAACAGGCCAAGGCCGACAAGCTGCGTCGGGAGCTTGAGCGGGTCGAGTCCAGCTTGAAGCGAAAGCGGGAGCAGCAAGATGCTGGCGACGACATGCGGGGCGTTGCTGCTAGTACCTCCAAGTCGCCCTCGCTCAAGTCCGAGGACGACAAGCCGGAGGTGGCATCCGTCAAGCAGGACCCTAATGCTAACCTTCCCCCACCTCCCAAGAAAGCCGACCCCACCAAGCACTGCAAGTACTATTCCACCGGAGGCACATGTGGCAAGAAGGGCAAGTGCCGCTTTGTCCATGATCCTGCCGTGAGAGAAGCTGCGTTGAAGGAGCGGGAGATGAATGGGGGCCGAATGACGCTTCAGCAGCGACTGACGCTCAATGACAAGGATCAAGAAGATCTGACAATCATCAAGACGCTCGCCTACCTCAAGGAGAAGGGCTTGATGGAGGCCAAGTCAGCCTCGAATGGGACAGGTGCGAACGATAAATTTCCGACCCCAAGCACCAAATCCTCATTGCCTCCTCCTCCAGCCAATGGTCTGCCGCCTCAGCCACCGCCGAGCGTTGTGTCCACGCCGGCAGTCCGTTATCAGGGCTGGAATCTCAGCGGATTTGGGAATACTGGTGTCAAGAGTGACCATTAAGATACGCCCTCTCCTGAACCCGTATTAAGCCCAGTTGTACACTTCAGAGACCAACATCGCGGGCCTGATATGTGAGGTTAGGTTTTTTCCCCGCAGCCGGAATCATAGGCGCAAGGGCCATCGTTGGGAATGCATTCGTTGGTCAGACAAAGACGGCGGAATCGACAGAAGACCTACCACAGTACTGGCGGTGTCCGCAAGCATTTCCGATTTGCGATATCCAAGACGTACTCCTTTCAGACAATTAGAAATTCGACACAGTCCTCAGTGGTACGTGGTCAAACTCGGATCAACAATATGGCCGCCGACGTTGTCCGTGTCAGCCTCGGCCGTTTATCCATTCCAAAAACAACAGTCAACCTAGATCTTGCAAAGTTGTCGAGGGTAGTGTCTCTCGGTCTGTCCTCAAGTTCATTGTGCCCTAGCTATCTTGTGGTCAACTTGCTGTCACCTTTTCTTCTGCCATGTGCTGCAGCATTACCACACGGGTTCGACAGTGTCTGACTTGGCCTCTGGGCTTCTGTGGGACGTTGGTTTCCAGTTTCTGCGACACCTCAGGGGGTGGCACCCCAATGCACCCCAGCTTGAATCTGCTTGATCTTGTGTTCGTGTGGAAGTGGAACTTGTTTTTCTGTTTATTCTCATCTTGCAGCGGCGCTCGGAAAGACTTCATGGGTGATAACACAAACATCACGGCCGGATAGACCAGTAATCCAAACCCTCGCGACTTGCACCCCTTTCCCTTTTCTCAGTAGATACAACGCTTGCCTAATATACGCAGCTTGGCACCCAGAAGTATGACGTACGGGACTACTAGTAACTTTGTCTCGTCCTTTAGATCGCGCCGTTTGCTGTCCCTTACAAACGGATCAATTGGACAAGCACACCAGCTCACCAAAACTGGGTGCCCAGGACCGTAGCTGATCTTGGATCGGACCTCGAGGACTGGAGAAGCAGGCAAATGCCCTCCTCGGGGCCGCCAGCTGAAATCGACTTGGTGTACGTCTGCACGGACAAGATCTGCTTCACAATGTGAATGAGCGAGCTATTGTGAAATAAAAGGATCGCCCCTCATGTCCGTTCAGCTTTTTATTTAACATTTTGAATCGTCATTTCTAAAGAGGCTAGTTGCATCTTCCACCAGGCATATCGAAGGAGCAGTTCCTGGACTTGCAGGTCCTATTTTCTGGACGTGCCACCGAGTTAGTAGAGGGCAACTTTAGTCTTAGATACTAAGACGGACCCATTGAATACTACACAATAGGCACCCTAATTAAAAGATAATAATTCTAAGTCCCTTTAACTTAAAATCTAATATTTATAAGTTTATATTATTACATTCTTTTTTTATAACCTTTTAATATTAATAAATAATAAAAAAAGAATATAATTTTATAATAATAATATTTTAATATTTTAATTAATTATTTATTATTAAATTAATATATTAATAAATAAAAGTTTAATAAAATAAGTTTAATTTAATATAAATAAATTAATATTAAAGTTTAATTATTTTTATAATATAATAATTAAAATTAATATTTATTAAAATATTTTATATTATTAAATTTTAAATATAAATATTTAAATTTAAAGTTTTATTATAAAGTTAAAATAAGTTTATTAAATATTATATAAATTATTTATATATTTTTTAATTTTAATTATTAAATTAAAAATAAATAAATAAAGTTTTAAAAATTAATTTAATTAGAATTTTTTTATAAAACTTTTTATAAACACTTTATATATAAGTTTTAAAGGGAAGAAATAAGTGGTTATATAGTATAAAGGAAAAATATAGTATAGTTAAAGCTTAACTTTTTATATACTTAAAACAATCCTCTAGTATCAATACTTAAGTTCCTAGCGCCCTCACCAGCAAAGCCACGGCCCTTGGAGTTGAACCAGCTGAGAAACTGGAACATGGATGCCTTGGGAGTACGCTCTAGTGAAGTGTAATTGACATACTACATATCACACCGTCAGCAACCTCGGAGAGCACGCTGTCCATATACGACTGAATCGCGCGTGCACACAGAGACAACGAAGGGGGGGGGGTGAAGCGGACTCACCTGTAACCCAAACCGTACGCTACTTCCAGAGAACCACTCATAGTTATCAAAGATTGCCCATCCCCATGCACCTGTGACATTAACGCCATCAAACAGCCTCGCGGCGAGGATGTTATCTAGATATCCCTCTGATACATGTCAGTCGCTTACCCACAGAGCCCAAGGTGTTGTGATGTAGATTGTTACAGAATGCGAAAGACGGGGATTTAGAAAGATGAAGAATGATGCTTACGGTAGTAGTCGGCGCGCCGCAGGTCCCACTGGATGGCGGACAGAGAGTCCAGCGCGGCCTCGCCTGGCTCAGCGAATCCGAACTCGGTGACGACAATCTCGGGGACGGTGGGGAAGAGCTCTTTTGTGATCTTGCTGAGGAAGCGCCGCACGCCCGTCGGGGCGCTCCACAGCCAGCTTACGCCCGAGTCAGCGGCCGGGCCCACGGCGAACCCCCCCGGCGCAATGGGCTCTGAGCTTGCACATTCAGGGTAGCTCGGATGAGAAGAATTCGATGTGCATGCATCCTTGTCGTCGATGGCAGCTTCTGGGTGTTGGTCACCTGCGGGGCCTCGAGTGCCGAACCGACGAGCCATGTTCAAACGTGGAAGAGGGGATGTGCTTACCGGCGTAGTATGAGGTGTAAGGGTCGATGGCGAAGAAGTCGCAGGACCCAGAGACGAGGTCGCTCTCCTCGGGGGTGAACTCGGGCAGCAGGTCGCCGAGGGTGTCGCGCAGGCTGTCTGGGTACTGGCCGCCATTCCAGACGGGGTGGTTGAACCAGCCGAGCGAGTAGTCGTACTGGCGTTGTGCGGCGTCGATGTCGGCTGGCGAGGACGAGTTGGGCTCAAAGTAGTTTCCGGAATTCTTGAAGGTCATCTTCTTTGTGCCGCCGAAGTCGTTCTTGTACCAGCTGTAGACCCTGGCGTGGGCGAGCAGGGTGTGGTGGCCACACAGGAAACGTGACTGGGTGCCGGACGAGACGTTGTTGTAGACGGGGTAGTAGTGGCCGGCCGGGTAGGTGGAGAACTGCCAGTTGCAGTACTGCGGCTCGTTTATGGTGAACCATTCGTGGACATAGCGGTCGTAGCGCGCAATGACAAAGGTGGCGTAGTGGAAGAAGTCGTCGACGGCCTGGCGGTCGTTCCAGGCGCCGTACTCGTTGAACAGGGCGAGCGGGGTGTCCCAGTGGAAGAGGGTGACGGCGAGGGCGAGGCCGGCCTCGACGGCTGTGCGGACGACATCATCATAGTGGGCAACGCCTGCCTCGTTGACGGGCCCCTTGCCGAAGGGAAAGATGCGCGGCCAGCTGATGCTGGGGCTGAAGGCCGGGACGCCGAGAGCCTTGAGCCGGGCAATGTCCTGCTTGTAGAGGTAGTAGTGCGAAGCAACAACATCGCCGGTCGAGTTGTCGGCGATGAGGTTGGGCACGCGGTGGGAGAGCAGGTCCCAGATGGACGGACCCTTGCCCTCGGCGTCGGCGGCGCCCTGTGCAGTTGCGTGCTGGTCAGCAGCAGCAGCAGCAGCAGCGGCGGGGGGGGGGGAGGGGGGAGGGGGAGGAGGGGAGGAGGAAGGAAGGCTTGTATGTATGGATCCCTTCCAAGGTTGTTACCTCGATCTGGTAGGACGAGGATGCCACCCCCCACACAAAGTCGCGGGGGAGGGTGACGTTGGCGAGGGCGGGCTCATAAGCCGGGGCGAGCGGGTGGAACGCGCCGCCCGGTGAGGGGTAGGCGCTTGGCTCCGGGGTGGGGGTCACCGTGGCCGTGACGGGACCCGTGGCCACGGGCCCGACCTGGTCCCACAGCAAGGCAAGGCGCTCATTGCTGAAGTCGGTCTGGGCGAGGTAGGTGGAGGTGGCCTGCGCGTTGTAGCTGGTGAGGGAATACGAGCTGGACGCCCCGCTGGGCCGGGGGAAGGCGACGGGGCCGGTCGTGGCCGCCGACGACCCTGCCGGCCATGTGGCCGAGAGAGCACCCAGGGCTTGAGGCATGGTGGTGTCACGAAGCATCAATGATCCCGTCCCTGCCCCAGCCCCAGCCCCAGCTCTTTATACTGCTCCCTCCACCGTCACTCGGAGCATCTCCCCCCGCGTGACGACATTGCCGCCGTCACCATTGTAACATTGCCAAGATGCATCAGGTCCAACGTTTAGTTTAGCATTCGCACACACGCATCAACACCTACTCTACCGAGTGAGTGCATGACTGCCGAAGCACAGTAGCCGCCGCCACCCCCTCCCCATGTCCTCCTGTCCATACACCGCCGTGTCCTGGGTCCAGGGCCAAGGCAGAACAGCAAGATAAAAACACAAACATAAAACACCCAGTGTGGACAGGCTTGTATAACACCAAAAGCAGAGTGAGAAGACAAAAACAAAAAAGAAAGTGAGAACGCCTGCCGCTATGCTGCCATGCCCTTGTCCTTGCCGTCGTGGTATCCCCAAACACCGCCTTGACCCACGCCCAAGGAAAGGGGGGATATCTATCACCCCCGCCATCTCTACCGTGTGCAGCGCCAAACACATGTCAGCGTCCAGCGGCTGCTCGTTTGCGGGCCTCTTTTTCGCGCCGACGCTGTTCCAGGATGGCCTCCTCGCGCTGATCCTCGAGCCGGGCCAGGCGCGCCGCCGCCTCCTCTTCGTCCTCCACGTCAGAGTAGCCGGCCTCCATGTCCGAGTCGTCGTCCTCGTCGGCGTATCTGTATTGCCTGCCGTAGCCTTCATCCTCTGGCTCGTCCTCGTCGTCATCAATGAAGTCGTCCATGTCCTCGTCGTACTCGTCGTCCTTCCGACGCGGTCTGCTGAACATTCCTAGCGGGTTGGGTGGGCGTGCACGGTCACGTCCATTGCCTGCAGCGCCGGGTTTGGCTTTACTAGGGGCAGGCCGTGCAGACCCTGAATAGCCAGTGGTCGCCAGGGCCGCCTTCTTGGGTTTTCGTTCCTCTACTGCGGCTGCCCCTCGGCTGCCAGCCTTTCCCGTCACGCTTTTCTGCCCCGGCCACTTCGAACTGCGATCAGGAAGTCCGTTGCCGTTTGAGTGCGTCCCGTCCCTCGAAGGAGCGGCCGAGACTGGTTTCGAACCAGGCCGAACACCCTTCTTTACAAGCCTTGCATCATCCAGGTCCTGCTCCTTCTTGGTCGGCTGCTTCTCGACGGCCCTGTGCTGTATCTTGCCAATCGTCTTCAGCTTCTGGGCCTGGGCTGCCGCCCGGGCCTTGATCTCAGCATACGAACCCTTCTTCGGCGCCTTGGCGGCAGAGCCGGCGGCAGCGCCATCCCTTATGGGCTTGGACACTGGTGCAGGTCTCGAGAGCGACGAGTTTGTCGACGTTGCCGGCCGGCTGGCGGTTGAGAAGGTAGGCGTGGTGGGCGAAGGCTTGGCGCCTGCCGTCGACGATGGCTTCTTGGAGGCAGCCGATGCTGGCTTCTCAGTCAATGGCTTGGGCTTGTTGTTGTTGGTTGCCGCGGCAGTAGATGGTCTTGCAGATCCCGTGTAGCCCGATGATGGCCGTTCGGTCGGGCGTGATGCCTTGGGTGCATCGACGTTCGGCCTCGCAGACCCGTTTGCGTTAGGTGCCAGCCGCGGCTGCTTCTGGTCAGAGGGTCTGGCATCGTCATCAGCCTTCCTCTTGGCTGGAACCCCGTTTCCTGCTCTCGCGCGTGCTATCGACGAGGGCACAGAGGGCTTCCCCTCGATGGAGGCAAGGAGGTCGCCGATCTGTGATGGTTGACATGGGTGGTCAGCCGAGTTACGGGGTGTCGGGCGTTGGGTACCGTGTTGAGGCTCGGGCATGCGACACCTGGCAGAGTTGGGAGACAGGGCCATCTCTTCCCCCTGCCCCTTTCTTCTTCTTCCCTTTTTTCTTTTCTCATTTTCATTCCATTTTTCTCGCGGTTTTTTTGGGGGGGTGTTTTTTTTTTTTGGAGAGAGAGGGAAACAAACAGATAGATAGATAGACAGGCAGACAGACAGATAGAGAGGCTTACCGGCATGTTGAATGATTTCCAGGGCTCTGGCCCGTTCCCAACGTTTGTCCCACCCTCGAAATAGACGATTGACGTCTAAAGCCTCATGCCATCGATGGGTGTTGAGTCATCTGCACGAGCGTGCTGCGGGCTGGATGTCGGTGCTTTCGCCGCTAGAAAGTGGCCGACAGTAGATTTTTTTGCGGTCTCGCGACCACCTTTGTCGGGTTGTCCGCCTGGGAATTAGGGGACTTGACACCTTTTGGGGAAACGCCGGGCCTTTGCTCAAGGCGCAGGAAACGGGAGATGAACTGGACGGACGGGACGGCCGGGTGACGGTGGGCCAGGCGATGCAGGAGAGGGCGAGTAGGACAAGTAGACAGAATGGTGCAGGTTGAGGAAGGGGGCAGAAGGTGATGGCGAGGTCGACGTCGTGGGTATTTATGGCTTTTGGGTCAAATGGTCCTAGGTCTATGGGGGGGTGGCCCTTTCCCGCTCCCGCCTTGCGCCGCGCTCGAATGACTGACGGGACTGCTCTTTGCCAAGCCAGAAGAGTGCCACTGCGAGCTGGGCTGTTGCTAATTGGGCGCAGGCTGGCAGGCTGGGATGGATCCGGTTGCGGACGCGGTCAAGGGTTAAGGTTCAAAGGCAGGAGGCTACCTCTTGGGCAGCTGCCGAGCCGCTGGTGCCAGGTGGCAGCTCTGGGAGATCCAGGCCGGCAGGAGACAGGACCAAAGTAGACCAAGACAGGAGGGGTGGCACGGACCACCGCCCACCAAACTGCCCCTGCCCACCCAAAATCTGCCTTCCTGATTGCCGTCAACTTTTTCTGGCCCGGCCCAACCAAGGACTCACCACCATCCATCCGCCAGTCTTCTCAGAACTCGACGAGCCAGTCTCCGCCACGCGGTTAAATCGATTGAACTCTCCTGTTCTTCTACAAATACCAACAGTGAGTCCAATCCCCCAACCCCCCCCGCCCCGCCCCAGCAACACGCCGCCGAGCGCATTGCGCAAGTCTCTGACGAGCCGGCACTGCACAGAGAAAACCCATCAAAATGAAGCACCTCGCAGCCTACCTCCTCCTCGTCCAGGGCGGCAACGACAAGCCGTCTGCCGACGATGTCAAGAAGGTCCTGGACTCGGTTGGAATCGAGGCCGACTCCGACCGTCTGAGCAAGCTCCTGTCCGAGCTCGAGGGCAAGGACATCAACGAGGTATGGATGCGCCCCTGGTAGTGCCCCAACCTATGGGAACTCATTGCTGACCGAGCGCCCCTCGTAGCTCATCTCTGAGGGTAGCTCCAAGCTCGCTTCCGTGCCATCTGGTGGTGCCGGTGGCGCCGCTCCCGCCGCTGGCGGTGCTGCTGCCGGCGGTGCCGCCGAGGCTCCCAAGGAGGAGGCCAAGGCCGAGGGTAAGTCAATTCCAGAATTGCTCTGGCACGCGACACAGGCTGACAAGTTGCTACAGAGAAGGAGGAGTCCGACGACGACATGGGATTCGGTCTCTTCGACTAAGTCATCTGACGTCTCTTGCCAAGTTCGAATCCTCGCCACTCGTGTCAATTTTTCGGAGATGCTTCAAAGCAGACTCGATCGCCCACACACATACCACAGCAAGGGTCCTAGGGATACCATGATACCTCGATGTTTGATGGTTTTTTAGGCCTAGGTTGGGGTGGTGGCCGGTCGCCCGCAAGTAGATTCTGAATGGCAAAACAAGGCTTCGTAACCTCCAAGGGATGTTGGGACACCGTGACAGCGTGTGACTGATCTCGAGGCCGCAGAGGGACTTCTCACGTTCGCCTCGTGACCAAGGGTATTGCCTGTACATACTGAACAGGGCACAGTCTTGAGATGCCAATGTGGTTTGCGATACGTGATACCTGGCGCAATGGCCGTTCGTCCGACAGGCGTGGCACATTTCGATTCACGTGACCCTCTTGACTTTTAGAGTCTCTCCACAACAAAAGCAGCCGTTAGACAAAGAACAGAGTCGCAGCCGAGTGTCACCGCAAGCATGTGCTCTGGTGGTGGCCCGTACTGGGTGAACAGGGAACTTGGTGGACCTGTCACGCAGGTACTACTGTGGTAGGTAGGCGCTGGACAGTTGACGTACTGTGTAGTCAAGTACACAGCACTACGAGCACTCCGCAGGGATCTATCTGTATGGGCCTGCTTACACCATGTAGTTCCCCAAATTTTGGGCCTAATTTGGCTGCAGCTTGTGAAGTCGGAGTAGTCAGGAAAGCACCTACCAGGTGTGTAGTAAGGAAGGCAATGGAAGGGCACGCACGCGCGCGGCCTCGTGCGCGGGAGCTGACAGGGACATGGGTGCTGATCCCAGCCTGCAAACGGAGGTCACTGCCTGAAAAGGACCGACGTTGCGGGGGTAACGGGCGGCGCCTGCCGCCATTGGCCCGACACCACTGCCATAACATTGGAGCTCCATCCGCCGGGCCCACCCAAAACTCGACTCGCATGCCAATTCCATCACTCTCCCACGATGCCCTCCGACTCTCGATATTCACCACACATTGCTTCACCCAGCTGCGAGATCGCCCATGGCATGATCATGGACCTCTGAGACACGTCCAAGTATTTTCTTATATCCTAATACCTGCCTACCTCGCGAAGCATCGCACGCGACAACCAGAAAACAACAAACCACTCATCACCGGCTCCCCGGATCCACACCGACTTTGCGTGAAGGATCCTGGAGCAGTCCCTGGCCCCGGAACCTATCAGCTTTATGACTGACGAGACGAGGAGCCGCATCCATTGAGCCGCATCAATGTCAGCAGCATCACCGACTCCAATGGGCCCGGGCAGCCACTTCACCTCCCTCGGCCGGAGAACATCAGCGCGCCAGGCTTTGCGCAGGCCAACTTCCCGCCCAGCATTCAGTCGCAGCGAATCTCAGCCCGCCGTCCAGGGTGCTCAAGAGGCTCCCCTGAGCGCAAACCGTCTCGAGCCTCAACCTGCACAGCAGCAGTATGATGCCATGCACGACAGCTCCGATGACGAGATCCCAGTGCCCATGAAGCTCAGTGCCCTGACTAAGGCTCTACTGAACGACGGCGGCGCAACAGATGCCTCGGCAGCCCCAACCGCCCGACGTGTCAATGACTCACTGAACCAGAAGCCGGAGCCCAGGGTCATGACGAGGAGGCGGAGTTATCTTACCAGGAACTCTTCATCTGCTGTGGACGATAGGGAACCAGCGCCAGCCCATGTGCCGGAGCCGGAGCCGGACCGCCCGCTTAGGGAAACTCGGCGACACACCAGGACCAGCAGCGCTGCAGGTGCGGTCGCGCCCTCCAGGCAAGCATCACCCGCGCGATCAAGGGAAAGTAGCCCGCCACCGCGCAAGCGCGTCGTTCGGCTTAGCAACACGCCCGGTATGGCACCTGTGCAGACTAGTCGACTGAGGAGGTCGTTGTCAACCTCTACATCCAGACGGCCAGAAAGCCGCGCAGGGGATATGGATGAGAGCATGCACAGCGCGGGCGCTGCCGCGCCTGCCGACGAGGCAGACATCAACACCCCGGCGCAGCCCGTCCGCCGGGTGCAGATTGCAGTTGGGTCGTCACACAAACGACAGTCAGCTGGCAGCTCCTCCGGTTTCGCCTCCAGAAGTGCCGGCTCCTCCATGCGCGGCGACCAGGAGGGTCCTGAAGACCCGCAAACGGCACCTCGACCGCAGTCCGCCATGGGCAGTGTCTCAAAATTTGGCGGCAGCGCAAGTGTGAAATCAAGAGAAGAACAGAATGCCCAGGGTTCTGTCCGGGTCAAGAGGCTCGGAAAGATCCCAGGAAGTTTCCTCAGTGGACCTGCTCGCCGCGGTAGGAGACGCGAGAGTGAGGAGGACCGGCTGGCTCGGGAAAACGAGGACGGCGACATGATGTATGTCCAAGAACAGGAAGACTTTCCGCCGCCCGAAGTTGGCCGCAGCGGTGCTGAGCCCCAACCACCGTCGTTTTACGAGTCGGCGTACCGGGACCTCGCCGCGTCCGGCAGTCCTGTCAGCAGCAAAGACTTGCGAGCAGGGAGCCGAAGGCAATCCCATGCAGACCTCCGGGCAGCCTCACTGAGCGAGGCTCACAGGGTAATTGAGGCAGCCCGTGAGGAGGCAGCCCGTGAGCCGCTCGAAATGCCAGCAACACATGACCAGGAGAACGAAGTACCTGTCGCCTCAGCTTTTGAGAGACGGCGACCTTCAGCCGGTATCCAACCTGAGAAGGACCAGGATAAGAAGCTGCTTCGATCGCCTAGTCTCGTTGAGATTGGCTACAGAGCAGTGCCCCGAGCTGCTTCGCCAGAGCGCCCGATCCTGGCATCAGTCAGCCATAATGTCCAGAAAACGCCACACGTTGTGATACCGATGCAGCGATCTGCACCACCTCCGCCACCGAAGATGAGTGTCCTAGATGCCGCCACTGCTACAGGTGGTGCCGCCACTACGAAAGAAGCCGCCAAGAAGAGAAGCATCATCCTCAAGGTAAACGGGCGTTCGTATCAACGGGTAGATTGCATTGGCCGGGGCGGTAGCGCAAAGGTCTACCGGGTCACGGCGGAAAACGGCAAAATGTTCGCTCTGAAGCGAGTTAACATTGAGAGCGCCGACGAGACAATGCTAAAGGGCTACAAGGGCGAGATCAACTTGCTGCAAAAGCTGACGAACGTGGAACGTGTCATTCAACTCTACGACTTCGAGCTCAATGAAGAGAAGCACGTGCTAAGTGTGGTGAGTAACAAACCCGCCTTCAACACACCTGGCGAGCCTGCACTAACTTGACCCGACCACCAAGCTCATGGAGATCGGTGAACTAGATCTCAACACCCTCCTGAGAGTCCGGCAGAACCAGGAGGGTGCCAAACTCGATCCCGTGTTCATCCGGTATTACTGGAAAGAAATGCTCGAATGTCTAGCCGCCGTGCACACCCACAACATTGTGCACAGCGACCTCAAGCCAGCAAACTTCGTGATGGTGCAAGGTCGTCTGAAACTCATCGATTTTGGAATCGCAAACGCCATCCAGACTGAAGAGACCGTGAACGTGCACCGTGAGACCCAGGTCGGCACGCCCAGCTACATGAGCCCCGAGAGCCTGATGGACTCGAGCCACTACGCATTCACGTCCGCGAATGGCGGGAGATACTGGCACGGGCCGCGGGGACCCAAGCTCATGAAGCTGGGCAAGCCATCTGATGTGTGGAGTCTGGGTTGCATCCTATACCAGATGGTTTATGGCAACTCTCCCTTTGGGCACATTCAGAACCAGATGGCACGCTGCCAGGCCATCATCAATTGGTCCCACAAGATAGAATTCCCAGAGAAGGGTATCGGGGGCGTGAAGGTCCCGCCAAGCCTGCTCCGGACCATGAAGAAGTGCCTCGACCGAGACCAGCATGTGCGGCCGTCATGCGCGCAACTTCTGGGTGAAGATGACGGTTTCCTGTACCCAATCGAGTATGCGAGTGATGTAATGGGCGCCGCGGACAGCCTGCCCATCACGGAGGAGCTTCTGGGGCGAATTATCCAGAGTGTCGTCACTCGCTGCCGCGACAGGCTACCAACGGACGGCGAGGCCATCAAGACGTGGCCAGCAGCATACTGGACCAGTGTACGCAAGGCCATCGAGGCAAAGCAGAGCGAGGGAGAGAGGCGGTAGGCCCAGGGGCCGCTGTAGCGATTGTGTTGTGCTCCGTAATGGAAGCCAGGCAGGGGAACTTGTTCCGGTAATGGGTTTTGGATGTGGTCATTTGTGGCCTTGTGATTAATGATTGATGATGAAGGCTAAGGGAAAGAGCGAACCAGTGAAGGCCCTGATTGTCAGGGGTCTGAGAGGGTGGTGAGGAGCTTGTTATTTGGGCAGCGTTCCATTGTTTCCCACTCTTCAAAACATTTCCCGTTGGTGGCTGTCTCGCGGATTGCTTGACTCCCTTGTTTCTCCACCCACCACCTCCCCCACTTCCACCTTCTTTCTTTCTTGTCTGGGGAGCAGGGGCGGCGGCAGTTATTCTTCTCCTTTTTCTTGCTTGCTTTATGATACCAAAGCTGTATAGACATGCGGACTTTTTATTTTCCTTCGGAGTGGGCAGGCTTGTCTCTTCACAATATACTGCTCAGCACTTGCTGGATCAGGGGCTTTTTGAGTTTGTGGATCTACATCTTATGCCGGTTGTGCTGAATCAGGTGACGGGGAGACGACATCAAGATGCCAATTTCAAGTGGCCTGCCCGGCCCGGCCCCGTCCACCCCTTGTGATACGTTGGCACATTCTCAAGTCCTGATGGGGACCCGCCCTGAGCCTGTCAGAAATCAGCAGAATGCTGTTGGTTCATACGATATATTTGTAGCTCTTCGGACCTCTCTGCTAACCAGCCTCGGCCACAATGTTGTGTCCTCCTTTCAGTCCAGAGGCCAGGGCCTGATACGATCCATCCAGTGAGCTCAACCCACTTCCTTCCGGTGCTGGCTTGGAGGGGGACATGCTGCCACAGAGATATGACCACATCACACGCCAGGGCCAGGACAGCTCGCACATCTCACCACCCTGGCCCTGCCCTTTGAAGACATTTTCCAACCCGGCCGAAAGGAAGTCTGCGCCTGGCCAGTCCGGGTCATGCCCCAAGCTCCTCGGGTGCCTTGATCCTCAGCTCACTGATGCGCAGGACTGTATACCTATGCTTGCTCTTTACAGTCTTGACTTTCCTGTTCCGCCGCTTCGTCTTCTCCTTGAAACGCATCGGTTCGCTGTCCACCCCCACAACGACGGCACGACACTCGTACAACCGCTCGTCAACATATACGACCTCGCCGCTCGCGGGGTTGCGCGAGCCAGGTTCGCTCGGCAGCAGCGTGAGGTCGCGTGAGCCCAGCACCGAGGCGCGGTTCAACCGTAGCACGTCTCCGGGGCGCACGCCGGGCATCAGGAAGGGAAGCCGAATCTCGTCGCCGGGTGTCACCAGGTACGGCCGCCCGTGGATGTGCAGCGTCACGTAGTGCCCGCCCGGCTGCGCCCGTAGCAGAGGCAGCATATCCCTGATCGCTTGTGGAATGGGCCCGGTCGGCTGTGGCGGCGGGGCCTGCGTGGGCGGAGAGCGCGGCTTCGACGTGTTGTGATGCAGTAACTGGCTTGTTGCTGTCGCTGTTGCTGTCGCTGTCGCGGTTGTGGCTGCTGTCCTGGCGTGATCTGTGGCGGAGGTGTTCTGAGCGCGCGATGCCTCGAGGGGGACGCCGCTGGGTGGTGGAGGTGGGCTCGTCGCAGCTGCCTCGACATGTTGCTGTGTCGAGCTAAGCCATCGCGCGCGAATGGGCAGCAGGAAGGTCGGCGGTAGGCGCGACACGGGCTTCCGCAGCTCCAAGGCGGAGCGGAACATCGATCTGCTCATCGTGACGGCGGGCTGGTGGCGCGACGGTCAGGATTGACTGGCTACCCGTGGCCGACTCGGTTCGGCTGGGCTAAGAAGTCTTGCGGGCAAGCTCTAAACTTTCTCCTGGCGCGGCTGCTGGCGGCAACCCCGGTCTTATCACCTTATCAGCGCTTGTGATTGCCGCCTCCCCTAACCCTACCGACGTCAGCCCCAAGATGCGCCGAGTGACGTCAGCCGTCGGACCCCAGCCCAGGCTAGCTGATAACCAGGCCAGATGCAGGCACCGCATTTCCAAGTTTTTGGAACCGTCTGAATGGCAGCACACTGCCCACGGGAGCGAGCGATGCGGTGGCAGTCGTGCGGCCTGCTTCGTCGCCTTGTCGCCTTGGACAGGGCACAATTGGATGACCTACACCATACCCGCCGGCCTCACGACTCTGCTGAGTGCCCCACGACTGACACGAGGCACACATCCCCACAACCCCGCCAGTCCCAGACGTCTTGGGGGTCGTCAACATGCGCATCTTCCTGGAACGACTCACCCTCACACTGGTCAACATGTTCCGTAGGCCCCCAGGCCCCCTCCCCCAACCGGCCCCGAGCCCGCTAACCTCTCTCCAAAAAAAAACCAGTACCACCCCTCTCTGTCATGCTCGTCGCAGGCCTAGGCATGGACGCCGTGGTGAACACCCTCTGGTTTCTGTGCGGCGTCATCCCGGGCCACGTCCACGGCTTCTACGTGACCTGGACCTATTTCTCGCGCAAGAAGAAGGTCCGCAACGGCCGCTACCCCGGCGGCCCCAAGCCCTTCATCTACAGCCGCCGTGTCATCAACGGCGACGCCACCGACGAGCACGTCCGCCAGCTGTGGAGGGCCGAGCAGAGGGTCTCCAGGCCCACCCGTCGTCCTACCCGCGCCCGTACGCGGAAGCAGTCGTCGCCGAGGGCCTCGAGGAGGGCGTCGCCCAGCTTCCACGTCTGATGACTGGCAGAGGTCGAGGGGGGCCATGCGGTGGCGACCAGTGAGGCCAGGCTAGCCTAGACGAGGCCCACGAGCCGCACGTGGTGCAAACTTTGATGGAAACCGCCCAGCCCTCCTCGCCCAATGGCTTCCGAGATACCCGTGTACCTGCTTGCCGTGTGCGTTCTTGAAGAGACCCGAGATTACCACAAGGATGGCCTGCGTGGTCTGTAGCTACACTGCATGCGAGTAATGACAGCAGTCCCGCTTGCAATAACGTTGCATCTTGCCTGGCATTGGGCAGAGCACCAATTTGGGAGTACTCAGCTATCCGGTTCTCGTGCTTTCTAGAACGGGTCACAACGTCAGGAACCCCCTCCCTTGCCACCTTCCTTGCCAACGCTCCTTTCAGCAATAGTACCACTTGTGACCAGGCAGGCAGGCCCCCGGACAAAAAGACATGAGCTCATTTCTTGACCAACCTGTATTTGCCACCCACTACCTCCAGCTCCCCAACATCCACCTTTTCCGCAAGGAACTCCTGCAGGTCCTGGTCGCTCCACGAGAACCCGTCCGCGATCAACATCCGCATCATCGCGGCCAACTGCCCCAGCTGTGCATTCGGCATCGAGTTGGTTAGCATTCCTATGATAAATTGCCAGTATATGGCCCTTCTCTCGTTCTCTTTGGCGTCCATCGCGCTCGTCGTGCCCGCTCGCCTGAGGGAAGTGGGCTTGCCACCCGGCTGCGTCCCCTGGTCGTCTTGCATGACGGCTGGGGCTGAGGCAGCAGGGTGAAGCTCGGGGCGACCGAGTACTTGATCTCTGCGTTCGAGCACGACAAATGTCTCTTGATTGTGTGGGTAGCGGGCGAGCACTTGCTTGGACTCCCAGAACTCGAGGGCTTGCAGGACGAGTTCTTCGTCCATTTGTAACTCATCGCCGAGTTCGTGAGCATTACGGCGGGCTGGACCGCTGTGCTCCCTGTCACCATCCTCATCTTCGCTTTGAAACGCATAAATGACTGCCGCCTCGAAGGTTTTGCACTCCACGCTGATGGTGCGGTCCTCGAGCTCTAGCTCAACAGTGGCCTGGCCGAGCTGGTCGAGCCAGGTGAGTTTGCGCGCTGACTTTAGGTATTCATAGCCCCTTGCATACCTCGCCTGCCGTTCTTTGACAGGTCGAGGGAGGTCGAACGTGTCTTGGACGATGTTTGGCCAGTACAGACGAGATAGTATGCGGGTTTGGTAGGGCAGCAAGCCGTGTTCCTCTTCATCCAGGTCCAGCTGTCGACCGGGATCCATGCGCGGACCTGAAGGTGTTGGCGTACCAAAAACCCGAGGTGCCAGTGCTGGCTTTCCCAGCCCCACCATCCGGATCATGCTGTCGACCTTGCGGGAGTCCAAGATGTCCTTGATCATGACCTCGCAGTTTTGTAGTGCAGACTCGCCAAAGCGCTTCTTCAGAAGATCCAGAACCCTCTGCTCCTGCGTGAAGTCCGTCTGCGCAGACAGTAGATTGTCTGCCATGACTGCTTGAAACTCCTTGATGAAGACGTCTTCGGCTCCGAGCGTAGTGATCAATGTGCCAATGACATCCTCAGATCGGGGACGTTTATAATTGACACCCGCGTCAACCGGGTCGGGCACCCACGTCAGATCATCCCAGTCCAGTTCGTCGTCGTCGATTTCCACCCGCCGTTGTTGGTCTGGGTCGCTGAGGAGCATTGCAAGCTCGACCAAATTGCCGCTGTCCCCAGTGCCAGATACCAGCTCCCCAGGAGACAGCGTACCCGTTCTCTTTTGGGCCGCCTCCGCTTCTTGTGGGCTAGCGAGCAAGCCTGTGACCACGACACGGACAGCGTCTTCTCGCTGGATCAGATACAGCTGGAGTGACGGAACAACTCGACTTAGGAGGACCTTGGAGTGGTCTAAAGCATGAAACGTGCGGATCATGGAAATATAGACACGCAATATATCCAGTGTGGACCTAGCAGGATGTAAAAGTCGCTTCTGTAGCGCCGCCGAAAAGGAGTCCGTCAGCTGCCGTCGACGTTCCGGAGTAGTGACACTGGCCTTGAGGTCATCCAGCGCACCTTTACTGGCTGGCCACTGAAGAATAATGTCAAACAGCTCCGAAATCCGCAACGCAGCCATGTGACCTATAGCTACTTCCTTCCATTGCTGAAGTTCTGTCAGAGGCGCAGTGGTCTTCCCTTTCGAGCCAGAACTGTCGGTAAGACTCCGGACTTCTATGGCTAGACGCGCGAAGTGGCTTTCTACCCAGTTGCACAGGGATACGATGCACCTAGATGCCGGCGTGGGGCCGATGAATTTTTTGGCAGCTTTCTCTGGCCCATAAAGTCCTCGGTTGTTTGCTGCTGAAGCTGTCGTCCAGACTCGTGCATAGGACAGGCGAACGTATCTTCGCATATTTCGATCCATGACCTCGGCAAATAATCCTTGAAACGCCTCGCCTGCCAGTCCGACCTGTGTGAGAGCCTCCACCAGGCACAGGAGCCGCGTTCGTGCATCATCAATCTGGTCGTCATCAACTTCGGATCCCTGCAACTCGAGGTGCTGCTGCTCGGCTGTGGGGATGCGTAGTGCCTGTTCCGTGAGGTTGCCCAGTACTACCCGCAGCGACGGCAGTATAGGACCGGCCGAGTTGCTAATCAGGGCATAAAGATCGTGTCGAAATCGAGCCACTAGAGCTTGTGGACTTCCGAGTGATGCTCTCAGCTTATCCCCGTGCTCGATGGCGCGCACTATCGAGGCAAGGGAGTGGAAGTATTGCTGCAGCGCAGCTTGTAATACGTGCACTGCATTCTCTATGACAACAAGATGGTCTCTGTACGGTATCTTGTCGTCCGGAAGCCCGAGTTGGCTCGTGACAGATGTCGCTGCCATAAGAGGTTCGACATGCTGGATGAAATGCCGCTTAGCTTGATGGCTATGCCAGGCCAGGATGTCGCAATCGTGGCCACTTGCTGGATTTCCGGCCAGCACCACCTGAAGCGCGGCCCTGAACGCAACGTCGTCTTCATGAGACTCGAACAACAACTTCGAGGGCAAAGCCCCGAACGATTCATGGCCTGGTGTTGCATGTGGCAGCTGCAACATAGTCGTGACGGTGTGCCAAGCACTGTCAAAGGTGCCCTGTTCTTCTACGCTTCTCATGGCATCCCTGCCAGCATCCTGGATGGGATCAAGCCTATGAGATGTCGAAGGAGCCAGGGGGGACGAGGCCGTGGCTTGGGGCAGAACCGTGGATGGCTGCGCATGGTACCTTGGGACTGGCGCGGACACGTTGATCTGTGATGTCGGCAGTGAGGTTTCGCTAGGAAAGACAGAGCGAAAGACCTGGGCCCTCTTCGCCCTCCATTGGGACTGGGGCGACTGTGCGACTTGGGCGGCCATGCTGCCCGAAAGCGTACCTGTTTGCTGCAGAAAAGGCGAAACTGGTCTCTAGCAGAGGCCAGCCGGCATGGCTGGAATGGCCCACGCTCCGACTTCCTTTCTCGGCCGAGAGCCGGTTGTGTAGAGGCCGATGCGATCTGCTAGTGGTGGCCAGTAGTAACAACAAGCAGCAGACTAGCGGCGATGATCTCGGAGGGTGCAGTCAGGTGGAGTCCGGCGGTGCAGTTCTTTCGAATCCGGTTTCCGTATGAGCCGGGACGCGGCGTGCCATGCAGCACAAGTCTACTTGTCGACTCCGCAGTGTATGGCCTAGCATGCCGTGTGACAAAGGCGACAAGCGGTGATGATGGAGGTGATAGGTCTAGGGTGGCGTTGGTCACCGCGATGGCAACTGCTGTGGTCAATGGTGATGTTGACTCGCCGCGCCATGTGGGGCTCTGACGACCGTCGCGACTGCCCTGCACACCACCGACTCTAGATACCTAGGTACCTAGGTACCTAGGTAGGCAAGTAGGTAAGCAATGAGCTTGTGTGACTGAGCGCCGCAAGCGCCCGCGCTTAGGACAGGGGTGCGGCTGCGATGCTTTGGGCCAGAGACGTGCTCAACAAAGACCTGCTGTGGTGTTCATCTTTTCCGCCACGGGGCCAGCGAATTGCCGACAAGGGGCCCAGTAGCAACACTCTCTGACGCTCGAGCCCGGGCAAAACCGCCAACAGAGCAAGAACCTCGACAGCTACTTAAGCACTTGGTTACGCAACCCTCCTCTCCCCTCCACCCTACACATTCCTCCCCAGGCCCCGCCATCGCTTCGCCATCTGTACCTAGGTAGAGGGCTTTCCCTAGTCGCCAGGTTCTTCGTGGCGCTGCCTCATTGCCGTGCACCCAGAGAAGCGTCCAGGTCCGTGGCCTGTAAGCATGCGGACCTACCGCGTGACATTGTCTCTTCCGACAAGGACCCACCGGGATGGAGGGTACGGTGACCCTCAAGCGTCTGGCGAGGCGTGTTTGGATGTCTGGCCTTTTTCAGCGGCTCTAGCAAATGGGATCCATGTTGACGCCGCTTTTATCGACCCGTACGGCGTGTTCCCTCACACAACTTCCGGCAAGGCCCGTGTGGTGAGTCGCATCGAAGCCACACGAATCAGGCAGTCTGGGGCCCCTGGCTTATCCTCGGGGACCAACCGCATGAATATTCCAAACACATCTTGTCACGCATCTTGGGATCGTGACAAGAGTATGTACACGGCGACAAGGACAATGACGACGCACCACCATGTCAGCAACCTGGCACTGAGCGCCTATACTGCCTGCAATTGGCCGTGAGATGCGGTCTGTGGCCGTCTTGTGGCAAGGCGGTGGTTGGCATCCGGTGCATATCTCGGCCGGCAATGGCGATGGAGATTAGGTGCTGACGGTGAGTGCCGAGGTGCTGGGTGCTGGGTGCTGGGTAGGACACAACAAGATTGTACGACCTGGGCAGGACGGTGTGACGGGCTGCGGCATGTCCTTTTCCAGACTCGACGCACATGATGTGATGGGGCTCGGAGCTGAAGCAAACCCACGGCGATGCTGTTGTAGGCAGATGGTGACCTGCAGCCGTGGCAGATTGTCTCACTTGTCGGGGCGCATGGCTTGCATGGCTTGCTTGGCCTGCCTGGGTGGCACAGCAGGGGATCGCGCGGCGGGCCGGACTGGTAAGATTGGAAGCTGCTAAGGCTGGATGCTGCTGTTGTACCATGTGGCCCGGGCAATGACCCGGACCGGTGGGAACCGGACGTTGATGGCCGAGTCCGCGCCCGAGTCCGCGGCACCCACGCGGAAACGGCAGCCGGCCTGCACCACGCACGGCGTGGGAGAGCACAGTGCGATGGCGGGTGCTAACGGTACCGAGAACAGGGTGTTGATGCCTCAACGGCGTCGCATCGTGCACAGGCAGGCAGCACGCCGCCAGATCTAGACGCCATTGACGATTGCTAGACCGCCACGAACGGGCGTCGGTCATTTGCCAAGGCACCTAGATAGACAGCGGCTCGGGAACAATGGCCGTGCAAGCGTGGTGGTGGCCGGCTTGGTGGCGCTAAGGTCGGCGCAAAGTCACGACTCACGATGCGTCCAGGGCGTCCTGGGACCCGCCGCCCAGTAGCCGCGCAGTGGGACTCGCTAGTACATGTATGTACCTGAGTACCTAGGTACTTAAGTAGGTGCTCCGTACCTGCCCGCCTGGACACTAGCGTCCATACTGCGTGCCACAGCACCAGACAGCCCAGAGTAGCTCTACTCCTAGTGTGCAGAGTCACCGTTGCAGCCAGCCCTGCATGATTCTATTTCCGTCTCGGGCTGTACTTGTGCTGCCTACCACCGCACATCATTCGCTCATGACCGTCGCAAAGAGCGGGGCATGGCTTCCTCTGACAATATGCCGTTTCCAAACAACTGACCCCACGACGAATCAGAGTCCTGTGGTGAATTTTGCCCATTTTCAACACTTGGTATCCATCCCGTGCCGCCATTACCAGCCCGCCCAACCACATCGCCTCTTCAACCGTACAATGAGCCCAGCGCCCAACTTGTTACCCGTTCTGGGCTCTCATGTTAACGTCACGGCTGCACGGGTGACACGCCCCCTGCCCCCCTTGGGCCGGGCCTCAGTTCCCCTGCAATGATTGGATCCTCCAAGCGACGTTGGCGCAGTGTGTCTGACAACCAGGCGGCCGACCATGGTGTGGTCGACCTCTGCTGGTATTCACAAAAGCAGTGCTGGCCATTGGTGATGGTGACGACCCAAGGTTCTTGTCCGTGTCGAGGACGGATCAGGGGCCGTTCGTTCATCCACTGCAAGCCTCCCCGCCCCATCCCTTCGGCTTACAAGATGAGAGGGGGCCAGGTCACCTTCATCCCTCGGTTGCTGGGAGCTAGCAACGAGCAGCTCCTTCCCGGGACTTGGCAGATCTCGTCAGACCTTCCGGGCGGCGGGACCGGCGTTGGGTGGTTGGAGGCCCGAGCAGATAACAGTAGTCCACAGGGCTGACCTAAATTTGGCGCGCCACGTGGTGGATGCCGGTGCCAGCCGGGGCAGTCCAGACAGGGGCAGACAGGAAGAGTCGAGGGTGGCACCCAGAGGGGCCAGAGGGGCCAGAGGGGCCAGAGGGGCCAGAGGGGCCAGAGGGCACATACATGGCCGCAGCAAGCGGCCGGCTCAAATCTGCGCGCAACGACCTAGGTGGGGTGGGAGTGCTTGCATCTGGATACCTAGGTAGCCACGAGGCCCTACATACGTGTGTGCATGCCCGAGTACGTAGACACCTGGGGAGGGGGTGGTAAAGCCCGGCCAAGTTCTCAGTCGGAACTTCCGACTCTAGTCAGGCCAGGCCCTCCTCGATACCATGGGGTACACCACCCCTACCCGCATCCATGATGTAAGTTCTGTCTTGCATTGGCAGGCGACAACTTGGTTCTGGTCTACAACGAGACGGAGGGCCGCCGGCTGAGACGCATTTGCGTGTCTGCATGCGCTTCTGCGGGCGGGTTGTGCGTGCAGCCCACATGGTGCCGTTGCATTGATGCGACCAAATCGCCTCGTGTGCGAGAGAGTGTGTGGTAAGCGCGTCAGCGCGTGTGGGTGGGTCTGCACAGCGGTCTACATGCCCAGCCAGCCAGCTAGGTATGTATATATGTACTTGAGTAACTGAACATCTAGATGATGGAATTTGGTATGGGGCCCGGGAAGACTGATCCGATCTGAGCCAGATCACTAGCCTGTTCCCAGATTCTTCTAGGCACCGTGTGAGCCACGTGCCGCAGTCAAGCCAGGCCAAGTTACGACCACGTGCAGGAGGATGCGAGCGTGCGGATATTACCCCGTCGCTGTTGAGCGGGAGGATTCGAGTCTGGGAGCAAGAGAGTGACTACCTACCTAGGTAGGTAAGGCAGGTGAGGGCCAAAAGAATGAGATGTGAGATCCAGGTGACTGCAGGTGGGCTAGTACTGTGTAAGCGCCAGCCGGCCCCCCAGGTGCATATTCACAATACCACAGCAGCAAGCCAGGTGGTTCCTTTTTAGGAATAAGGCGGATGAACCACGGTGAGAAAACGTGGGAATCCCTTGGCGCGGTTGCAGAGTTGGTGTGTGTCACAGTAAGACGACAGAGCCAGCCAATATCCCCCAGCCTGCCAAGTACAGGATTGTGCTGTTGCTATTACCATAATGTGCCATGGGCCTGAACTCACGCCTGAGTACACACCCCTAGCCACCGATCTTGTCGTTGCGTGGGCTGCAAAATCCTCAGTGGGGGCCCAGCCTCACCAAGAAAGCCGTGGCGTAGGTGTGCGACAGAAGCATGCACGTCACCGGCGAGGCTGGGATTCTTCCCCTTCCCCTCTTCCCCCCTGCCCCAACTGGGCTGCGTTTTCTGCTTACTCCACGGTTGCGCAGGTGCTGTTGGCGCACGTGGGAGGAACCAAAACGGCATGGGCTGTCAGGCACAAGAGGTGGTGTGGGTGGTGACTGGAGTGGAGTGACTGGTTGGTTATGCCGAACACGTGTACTTTTCCTTGTCTGGGTTATTGCATCGTGGGCGATGTGGTTTTCTTCCTCGTCTGCAGGTCTGTACCTACATGTGGCTGTCAGCCGAGGTGGTAATGGTTGCTGGCGCCTAGGTCCAGCCTGTATCTGGCACATATGAACAGCCCATGATATACAAACATGCCTCGTACCATGAGGCTCCTACCTTGAATCGAGACGAGTGGCCGGTCATGGATCCATCGCTGATCGTCCATCTATTGGCTGATGCCCAACACCGGCGCTGAATTCAGAAGACTCAAGCTACAGCAGACGCTCCTCCCGAGTCATGCCGTGGAAACACCAAATACAGGACCTGCACAGCGGTCTCTCTCTCTCTCTCCTTTTTCTTTCTTTTTTTCCCCTACCCCTCCCCTCTTTGGTGAGGGCAAAGAGGTGAGGTGGTCGATGCTCCCTGGAAACAACATGCTGCATGGAAGGAAATCAGCGTCAGGGTGTTGGTAATCCCGGAGCTGGTCGGAAGGCAGGGGGCAAATGCCCACTTCCTCTCTAGGTACCTAGGTGCCTAGGTACCTTGTCTTCGCCCACCATCGGGGGGTTGCTTGAGAACAAGACCTGACCTCACGTGCCTGTCTACACTCATACCCCCCCCCCCCTTTTTTTTTCCTTTTTCCTCCTTCTTTTTCTTCTCATTTCGGAAGAGGTCACATATACAATATCCTGCAAGGTACACACGTACATATTGCAGTTCGGCATTGATATGTTATGGCACGAGTCTCGGGGATGGGAGGTTGTGGTGGGCAGGGCTCCTTCCTCGTTGCTCATACTAAGTAGCTGATTGAAAATGGCCTGGAGTTTGAATCACTATTTCGTGTTCCGGAATGTCTGTGGTCCGGTCTTAGCGGGATGTTGGCGACGAAGCCCGGGGGGTGCGGCAGGATGCGCGTGTGGACGGCGCATTTTGCCCTTGCGGGCTTGCGGTTGCGTTGCTTTGACACGGTCGCGCCTCATTTTGGCGTTGGGGCTAGGTATCCCGTCCGCCCATCCTGGAAAGACACAGTATAAGGCAGGCAGGTGGAGGTATCGGCTTTGCTCCGGCCGTTGGTGCCAGGCGCGGCGCGGGCTTTTGCTCTGCTCGCCTCCGAAATCAGCCCTGCGGCGAGGCAGGTCTGTCTCGCGACAACCTCCAATTCTCTGCCCCCCCCCTCTCTGTTCAGCATTGATCCTTGGACCCGAGCAACTGTGCCGCGCGCTAGGAGCCACCCCGACATGTGATAAATTTGGGCAAGAATTGTTGGCGATGTGGAGATGACAGCAACTTTGATCTTGTTGGTTGCCAACGAGTCGAGGCGTCGAGGGAAATGTGGTCCTGGCGTGGGTCATCGACAGGGTATATTTGTTCTGTTGGTTGACCCCTACAGACTTCGAGTCTCGCTAGATGAAAATCATGTTGGTTGTGTTGGCGCATGTCACTGACAAGGATCATTCTCTGGAACTTTTCTCTGATGATGGTATATTTCACATCTTATCAAGTACACTATAATGGTTTCTTCCCCAGTATTGGCATAGAAACGCTACTTTAGAAGAATCGAAAGCTAAATCACTGGCCCGATGATGTTTTGATGGTCACAGAAAACACGATAAATCCACACTAGTACAGGTGAAATCTTCACTCCGTGATGTGTGGAGCAGAAACTCCGTTCCGTCTTTGCGCCGCTGGTACTCCGCCAAGAAAAACACGCGTGGGTCTGGTAGGTGGTGGTGGTAGTAGTGGAAGAGGGGGAGGACGGTCCAGTTGGTAGAGGCGGATCCGTTTGGTTCGTGGAGGAGTGGTGACGACCAAGAAATATCCGATCCATCTATTCATTCATATCCCGTTACTCTTGCGTCGTGGACCCAGGCCGTTCAGATAATATGACGCCCAAGTCTGTCCAGATCCTGGAATGCCATCCAGATGAATTATGTTGTTCGTAGTGCAGCAAAGTAATTGGGCTGCTTAGAGACGTGAGGGAAACGAAGTGTACGGCCCTTGTAATAAGCGCAAAACGATTGGGAGAGTGTCCCTGGTATCATGCAAGCCCACATCTCTCTGCCTTGGTCGTTGGTGTGTGGTTTTTCTGTCTTTTGTGCCTCTTTTTTTTTTTCCTTGTCTTCGCTTCGCCTTCCAGTGTCTCGCTCATGACGAGCTCGTCGAAGGCTGCCTCTTCTGCTTGCACTTCTGGTGCAGGAGGTGACCATTCCGTGCAGTCGTCCTGGTGAACTCGGCCCCACAGTCCGGGCAGCTTGCCTTGGTGGCTTGCCCAGACTTCTCCCGCTGATGGCGAAGGAGGTTGCTGAAGGTCGAGAATTGGCGACCGTTGCACCCGTGCTCCCAACATTGGGGCTTGGGCCTACTCTGGACGACCCGGACGTGCCCCTGGTTGTCGTGCTGGTGAGGAGTACCGCCGGTCTGCATCACGGGGGGGATAGAATACATCATGGCTGGATCGTGGGAGACGGGTCTTTGGGCTTCGTTAGTTTCAAGGGTCATCAAACGTCCTTGGTGCTGAAATAAAGGACTTACCCATAATGCGAGGAGAGGGGAGCACCTGTTGATGGGGGATAAGGGTAGTCGATGTACTGTGGCTGCTGGTATGGGCTGGGGAAGCCCATCTGGTTGGAAGACGGGAGCGGCGGAGAGTAAGAGGGCAGAACCATTTGCGGAGCCAAGGTGGTTGGCTCTGTGAGGAGGGAGATATCGGTGGGAGCTGTGGTATAGACTGGCATGCTGGACATGCTAGAGGTGTGTGCAAACTCTCCCTGGGTGGAGGGTGGAGAGGCGACCTCGTAGCCGCTATGCGACCCTTGGCTACCTGCCCGTTGAATGCGTGCTGAGAGCTTAGAGTCCCGGCGTGCCTGCTCGCGTTGCCTCTTGAGCTCGCGCTGCTCCGCACTCATCCTGGGTGGGCTGCTCGTTGCGGAACGAGAGTGCATAGGGGGACTCAGGCTGGACTCGGGTGCGTAATGTCCCATGTCCTGGGGGAGAAGACCACCGTTTGTGGGCTCGAGGACGACGTCTGCTGCAGGGTTAGATGGATGGCCCGGTCGAGCAGAAGAAGGAGGCGGCCAGGTGGTGTCTGGTCTGCACATACCAGGCCAGGCAAAGGAGGATCGGCTGCCCATGCTGAAGTGGTTGAAACCAGGGTCGAAGTGGAGAGCAGCAGTACTCATAGTGTCTGATGATGCCGGCTGCGGTGATGGCTGAGGGGCGAGCGAGGAGTGGAAGGAGTAATCCGAGGCGGGATCTGCTCGTACGCTTGGAGTACCGTCAGGGTGAGGTCGTGATGGTATGTTGAGCCAGGCTTGAGGCGGGATGTGCTCAGGTAGAGGTGGAAACGGCGAGGCTTGAGGTTGAGATGCGGGTGAAGGTGGGTAGGAAGACGAGGTCTGGGAGGAGGAGAGGGCGTTGATATATGTTGAACGTGGTGTTCCAGGCCCAGGGGTCCTGGTAGTCCGAGTGGGTTCCAGGTGGGAGGGGTGGGTAGGGGCAGGGGGGGTGTCGATTATATGCAATCCCTGGAAGAATCCGTGGGTGGTGAAGGTGGTGGTGGAGGAGGAGGTGGTGGTGGTGGTGGAGCCTCCGCTGCCGGGTCTAGCTCTGGATATGGGGTCTGGTGAGCGAGTGTCTCCCCGGGCCTGATCCACGCATGCACGTCCCATCTTGAATGGTCTGCTCTGGCCTCTGAAGGAGCAACAGGGCAAAGGAAATAATAGCAACAACCAAAAAGGGCAGGGAGAAGGGTAGGGTGAGGACGAGTGACGCAAGAAAATTGGCATGCACGTACACACACACTGAGCTGGCCCGAGGTGATGTGAATCCGGTCCGTATCGAGTGGACAGTCCCTCTACAGAATGGAGTTGTGCTGGTATTGCGCTGGTATCTTGGACTTGGTGTGTGTGGTGTAGCTGCGGTATCGCTGTCGTCCCAGGCCGCGCCTACAAAGACGCACTTATAGACAGGCGAAGGCACAGACGAGGTGGAGGTGGAGACGAGGCCGTCGATGGGTATCTCCAGGCTGCAAAATAACGTTACGGGGACGATGAGCTCCAAGGCTCTGTAGCGTCTATCTTTGGTAGGAAGGAAGCTCGACGGATATCTCAGCCTCAAGGGCAGTCCCCATCGAGCAGGGCCACTGGAGCTTATAAGCGCACTGGTTCGGGACAGGGAGAGGGTACATGGGCGAACCGTACCTGGGCCCATGTCGCGAGCGAGGCTAGCAGGGTGCTGGCGAGCAATGTCGGAAGGGAGCTAGGACCAGAGACGAGATGATGGATGATGGGGACATTTGGGCCATGTACCCACGCCCTGGCACAGGGCATAGGGCACAGTGCCGTAGGACCACATTGTGGTTGACAGAGATCAGAGCAGGCCGGAGCAGGGCAGGGAGACGACACACATCGACCCAGCACAAGGGTACCAGGCCGGCCCTGGTCTTGTCCTGATTCTGCATGCGTGCAAGGATGGCGCGGGGTGGGCAACGGTAGGGCAGTCAGTTGCTGTTGTTCTGTGTTTGCTCGCCGTGTTTTGGGGGGGGGTGGTATCAAGTCTGATGGACACAAGCACTTGTAGGTGGGAACCTCGAGGACAAGGGCACCAGACACAGGGCAGGGCAGGGCAGGGCAGGGCTGGGCTGGGCTGGGCTGGGGCTGGGCTGGGCTAGCGTAGACCGAGATACAAAGACACAGTAGCACCGTTGTAGACAGTGTCCACGGAGAGGACACAGTGAGAGAGCAGTTGTCTTGGAGGGGGGTGTGCGTGGGGGCGTGTGCCGAGTGAGATGGGGGGGGGCCTTTTGTGTGGCATCGATGTACCCAGGCCAGGTTACTGGAGTGGACATGGGGCGCATCCGCCACGAGGGCAGCTCTCAGAATAGGCAAGGCTAGGGGGAAAGCGGCAAGGTGATATTCCCAGAGTCACAACGAATGACGATGGACAATGATGATGTGTGCTTGTCTGCCGTGGGCGGACAGCAACTCCGTCCCCGTCCACATGGTAGGGGGCTCGTGGGGCAGCGTGGACGAGCCCAGAGGGCGCCCGTGAGACAAACTGGCGGCACAGACACTCCAAGAAGTGACCCGTCTCGGGGAGTTACCTATCTTGCTCTCGACGGGCGACGGGTGGTGGCTCATGTCAGGCTCACTGGCACTGGCGGTCGAGGAAGGGCGGAGATGAGTGCGAGGGCCAATTCTGGGTGTGCTGAGATGAGCTGAGGTGTTCTCGGGTCTCTGGTCTCTGTCCTGTGTGACACAGGAGCAACGCACGATGAGCGAGTGGGGTGGGGTGGGTTGTGTCTGCCCAGAAGCGCGTAACTCGCCATTGGTGGTTCTTGTCTGCTGTGTCTCTGTCTGTGTCTCGTCTGCGCCGCCCGCCATTTCAGTACTGCAGCCGCGGGACGGAGCCTGTCAAGCAGCGGACAAGAGACCGTGCGGGCGAGGAACACAGACCTTGGAAGGAGGGCAGGAGGGGCGGCTGCAGATGCCGGGGACTAGACGATGGCGACACAGCCATCAGCCCCACGGAGTGCTGTGCGACCGTGTGAAGGGCACAGGCTCCAGATTCCGGGCTGTACGACGTGAGAAATCTGGGTCGTGAGTTGCTGTTGGTGGTTGGGTGCTGCTCTGTCAGACCCAGCGGCCAGGGCCGCAAGGCAGATGCGTCGTGGTCGTCGATGGATAGATGCACGAGCACACACACATACAAAGATCAAGATGGAACCCGACCTTTGGCTGTATACGGCCCCGGTCCCTGTTTTTGGCCCTGCCCCTGTCCCTGCCCCCGATCCCGTTGGTCGGCTGCTGCTCTGTGTAACGTTGGCGCTAGCGCAAGCCGGCGGAAACGGACGATTCTTCAGTAGCGTGCACAGCAGTCCTGGTTGTGTGCCACTGGCACTTTGCCCGCCAGCCCTGCCCTGACCTGCTCCAGTGCCATCCATCCATCCATCCATCCATGGCACTGGCTGGGTGAGTTGTAAGCTCGCCTCGTACTGCTCTACTGGCCGACAGCACATGCGGCAGTATGAGACCAAGGGCTTCGAGGCGCCTGCGAACAAAGAATCCGCCGTTATTTGCACTGCTGCGGCTGCTTCTTCCGGCCGTGGTTCACCCCACCGCGACGTGCTGGGTCCTGCCCGGTCCAAAATGGCGGGTGGGAGGTGGACCGCGGGTGGGTCGTAGGCTTCAGCATTCTCTCTGATCTTGTTGGTTGACGATCAGCGCCTTGGTCCCAGGGTTACAGACCTGGTGGGGCCATGATACGTACCCGTTGGGTAAAATTGGACATTGCGATTGCCAGAATTGGCAACCGCGGGCGGCCGGGGGACGAGACTTTGTTCGGTACTGCGGTACATGGCCAAGGTGCGCCGTACGCAGCACTACTACTCCGTACTGCCAGGGGACTGCCACGCAGCAAGACGCTAGGCTGGCCTTTGGCTGGGCTGCCCTTACTTCCCCTCGTTCTCTGACCACTGACCGTCGGTACCTGCCGCCTAGTAGCCGGGTGCTGGGGGAGGTGGGTATCGACCAGGTTGTACTCTGAAGACCGCATGTAAGGTCCTTTGGTAGGGCTACTGCGGTGCTCGGTACTGCGGTACTTTGGTACTGCGTACTACTATTGTGGTATGTAGCACCAGCCTCGCTGCCTCGATCGGGCTGGCTCGACGGTCGGTTATTGCCCAGGTCGGCAAGGATGAGTCCCAGCGCTGTGTCACCGTGTCGCATTTTATCGTCATGGTCGCACATCGCAGGTGCTACTGCACTCGCACACGCACAGACGCACAGGCCGACCCGTCGTCCTGGGTCGCCGTCTCGCCCCGTCAGCACCTCCGGCTTCTTGCAGCCTGCCCAGCTGCCCAGGTGCCCAGGTGCACGCTGCACGCTGCACGCGCCATACAACACAAGACAACACATCACATCATCGGCCGGCGCTCCAGTACGCCCATGCACCACAAATAGCACTCCCACGATGTGAGCCTGGCAACCTGGCTCGACGTCCCATGTCCTCCTCGGTGCTCTGCGCCGCAGCCCTCAACCAGTCTGCACGACGACAGGCCATGATGAGGGAGGCTTTTGGAGGCGACGCGTGCTGCAGCAGGGAAATGAGCGCATCGCCTGGCATGGAGCTTGGCCAGGGATCTCTCAAACAAACGCAGCAATGGCGCACCTCTCACTCGCTCTGGCATTGTGGATGGAAATGAGCCCACTTCCTCTGCATTGTGTGATGTGCGCTTCCGACATCCCGTCTGCCCGTCAGGTCCGTGGGCCGCAATACAACAAGGGCTATAACGCATTGACCAACGGCTGACGGCAGCATGGAGCAGGCCTGCCTGACTTGGGGCCGAGCTCTGGGCACTGACTGACTGGTTCGCTGGGCCTGGGGCAGCTGTCACAATCACCATGCCGTCTCAAGTGCGTGGTGCGCCAGTGCCCCAAGGGCAAAATACTCACTACCCACTCTTGCCACTCCATTGTACGAGCGCTCTGCTATCGGCATCGCTTGCCCTGACAGCGCAGCAACGGCAGGGACGAGGGCCCTTGACTGCAGATGGACTCTTTGCGGCTTGGACGGTCGAGATCAACGGCCTGCGGTCGATACCATGAGACCCATGCCCCCGATCTGCGACCAGAGCTGGGAAAGCCCGCCCGCACGGGCCCAGAACCCGTCACCAAGGCATACATACGTCTGGGGACATTATTCAGCAGACTGGTGTGGTGATGCATGCTTGTCAGGGGCCCGGTGTGATGAACCCGACGGACAGCACGCCCGGACCCTGCATTACGAGATGAAGAGCATTGCAGACTTTGCAAAGCACGTGGGCTGGGCTGGGCTGGGCGTCTGGCGTCTGGCGTCGTACGCTCTGCCGCGCGCTGCTGGCTCAATTTGAGCAGTACCTGGGTTTGATGTCAGGGCCGATGTGACCGAGAGACAGAGGATTCTCCTATCTGACAAGAATGCACCTTCCTACCCCGCAAGGATTAGTTTGAATCATAGACACCGCTAACAAAAGATGGGTACGCGATGGATCATGTGCGGCAGGCGGTCCGGTCTAGTCAGGGATACTGCGTGTGGCCTGCTACCTCCGGCGGTTCTCAGCCCATCACACAACAACGTTGGCGCGGCAAAGATCCTTCCGACTGCCTTTGGTGGTGGGTGCGTGTGTGGTGCCTGTCCGCCCTGTGTGTAGCAGTGTCCTGCATAGACGCAATCAGGCGCTTCCGGGGGTGAGGTGAGCCACAGCTGCCAAAGAAAGATGATCCGATACGTTGCTCTGCCCAGCCTACGCGGTAGTGTGCCGTTGTAGGACACGATGACAAGGCGGGGCGACAGCCAGACAGAGATCAGGGGGCTGCGAGGACTATCATGCATGTATGCATGCCGGACCTTCACTTCAAACCCGACCCCATGGAAGACGCTTCTTCTCGAGGGGCAGTCGTCACGTATTGCCATTACTCCCCGACCCAACTATCAGTAGGATTGCTAAGAAATTGAATTCTGGCTCCTATAATCTTCTATTTAAAGGTGCAGTGGCATCTGATGCCTTGCTCATCACGCCCGGCCACCGTGCTTGTCTTTGTGGTGATGCTCGAAGGGGCGAAATGTGCACCCAAACCCCCCACCAAAGGACATCGTGGTGGAGGCTGGCGTCTCACTTTTTAGCACCCCC